TATTAGCATAGGAAAAAAAAAAAAAAAAAAAAAAAGAAGTGTCGCTGAGACACAACAGAGTTCCAAATCTAGAACGACCCCTGGCTTAGCCCGTTGGCCACGTTGCGTGATGGGATGGTGATCGGCCTTGTCGTTTCATATCCATACTACCTACTACCTACTGTTTACCGTTAGTTACTGGTAGTGATTGTTACTAAGTCAATTTAGGTAGCTGCACATACCTACAGTCCCTCTATCCCTACCTTACTCACTACTAATCCTTACATGCAACATACAATATCCATACCAACACAATAAACCGCAACCACAACAGCACACATACGCAGGACATTAAGTCTGAAGGAACTGGAAGACACGCACTATCCATGCACCGAAACGGGGCCGCAGCAGCCACGGCGCCATGCCACCGCCCAGCCCACCAGCCCACTCCACTGGCTTAGCGACTAGCTAGTAGTACTATGTAGCTACGCTAATACTCATACCGAGTGTAGTATAGTAGGTATTACTATGTAGGTAACAGTATGGGTATGGTATTCCGTTCTATATCTATGGTATTTGTTACATACATACATGCATACACACATGCTGATAGTATAGTACATACATCAAACAGACATACTTCCTCATCTAATCCACACATATCCATCCATCCTACGGGATAGGACAACCAAATCCCGAGCACTCAAAATCCCGAAATGACATACTACTCCATGAACAGTGACTCCATAACCCACAATGGCACAATCCAATCCACAACAATCCCATTGACCATCCGAATCCGGCAAGTGGAATGCGCAAATCCCAAGAAAGAGAAAGAGAAAAAGGAAGAGGGAAAAAAAAAAAAAAGAAAAAAGCGGGTACAGAGATCAACTGCATGCTACTAGGATGAATGTACTCCGGGATGACGAATGATAACAGATGGATTGAAGCGAAGGGGGAGGTATGAGCCCCACTAACGGTAGGAAAGGGGGGCGGATTTGACATCCGCCAGTGAGGATGCTTGGCTGTCGCTGACCTTGCCGGTTCGGGACAGCCGGGTTGGGATGGAACTGGAAGCTAGCCGACGTGCGCGCTAAAGATGGCGCGCCACTGGGTGGTCAAGTGGTCCCTATGGATAAGGAATGTTTGTGGCTTGACAAGTCATGATGTCATCGGTTGAGCCGATCGGTTGTGTGCCGATGGGGTGGCTGGCAGCTGCAGCAGCGCGATGGGGCTAGTTACAACCTCACATACCATCAACGGTATCCGTATATGGTATAGTTATATGGTATCTGGTATACGAGGAATACAATGTAAGTCTATGGCATGGTTCTTCGTATATCCAACCTAGCGCTTTTGATATAACAAACTCAGACCGATTCCACTAGCGATCAGTCTGATAAACCACCACAACGCAACCATTCCAAGACAATCTGCGGTAAAGCGCTTCGCATCAGGAAACGTAGCGTAGAAGAAAAAGCTGAACCAAAGAACGGGAACAGCAAGAGGAGACAGATCAGAACCACCCAAAAACCACGGCAATTCCGACAAGACTGGACAGGGTATCTATTCGTGTTCCTCGTACCTCAAATCAAATCCTCGAAATTACAAACCAAATAAAATCATCGAAATATGTTGGAGGTCGTGTATCCCAAAGCCCAGACAACGTTGCCGACGATGAAAAATTCAGGATATCGTAAGAAGATATAACACAATGGCAACAACAATAGGGCAAATATATGGCGACAGGGTATCATTGCTCGGGAACTCGTGTATTATTCCCTATCCAACGAACGCCCCCAAGATTGATGCACGCAAACCCCAACTCCGGAAAAACAGGCAAAGGTAGTGCTTGACGGATGTATGTGACCAAGCGTACCTCATACCACGCACCAGGCGCCAAAAAAGACTGTAGAATCCGACCCGAGAAGCCCGTAGTCAAGGGTCAATCGCAGAAAAGATTTGAATGAGACGAGAAGAAAACAAAGAGCGTCGTGGGTTTGCAGAGCAGCGTCAATAGCTCAGTTTGACCTCGACAGCTGCCGGCGCGGCCGTATTCTCGAATGATGATGCCTCGGAGATCTCCACAACCATGTCTTGGCCATCAGGAAGCTCACGAACCACATCATCATCCACCATGATCTTCAGGCCGTTCTGCTTGACGTGCAGGACCCGTACGATGCGCTGCGGATCAATGCGTTGTTTCATGGAGATCTTCTCCATCAGGTCACGGACCGTCCGTTCAGTCAGATAGACGGCCCGGTAATAGTCATCCGCACGCTGATCATTTCGCGGGAAACGTACATAGAAGCATGCGACTAGGGCGTGGTCAGTTCGCAGTCCTGGAATATTACAACCTTTACTACTTACTAGGCTTGACCGGTCGATCCACCGGTGGTCTGTAGGTCGGGTCAATGTCTACCGCCTCAATATACCCCATTGGCGCATTGCCATCGGTTGAAGCAACTTTCTGCACCTTGACGGGATGTTTGAGCGCGCCCTTGTCGCCCAGAACTTCCGAGCACGACCGTGAGTTCTCCCGGGAGGTGGACATGGATCCATGATACGCCGAGTCATAGAACAGATTCGACTGGAGGTTTGTGGGGTGACAGGGGGAGTTTGTGGAGATGCTACTGCTGGTGGGTGAAACAGCGTGCAGGGATGTCCCGTCGATACTGAAACGGGACCCGCGGCTGCTCTCTTGTTTAATGAATTCACGAGACTCCGGCAGCATGACCGGGAACAAGTCCGGGTCATCTTGCTCTTCACCCCGCAATCCTAGAATGCTTACTGGCCGCGTTGACGTGAACATGTCTTGCATCAACGCGAGTTTCGCATGAAGGTCGTCTTCCAGGGACAGCTTGCCAGGGCCGTCCTGCGAGCTCATGGACCATGTCCGTTTGTGCTTGGTGATCTTGGTCGGACGCGGATCGGTTCCCTTGAGCGCAATCGAGCCACCGCTGCGCTTGCGCTTGCCATAGTTGCCCGTTCCCATCTCAGCCTGGGCAATCTGTTGTCGAAGCTTTTCAATGGTCTTCTTGACATGGGCGACATCGTTGGACAGCTTCCGCTCGGCTCCATGGTCCCGGAAGAGCTTGACCTTGCAGTAGCACACTTCGGACTCTCTGGCCGAGGTGGGACTCGCACCATCCGGTAGCACCATTTCGGTCTTCGCGCACAGTCGGACCGGGATACCCTTGACACCCTTGGAATGACTGAAGTCCGTCGACAGGAAGTTGAACCGCACCGGGATCGAACACTCCGACCCTCCCGTGGATGGGTTCAGGGTCCATGTGACGCAGAACCCATCAAACGATGAGCTTTCCAGCTGAATCTGACGGTTCTTGGTGTCTTCAATGCCCCCCTGGATGGGATCGACATACTCCACGGCCTGCAGCTTTCCGCCTCGTTGATGCGCCTCGTTGGATCCCCGACCTTCTTTCCACAGTTGCCAACAAGCAGCCGGCTTGGCCCGCTGTTCGTCTTCTTGGAATGATACGCGGATGTATGTGCGGTACTTGATGGGTAGAGCAGTCATGGGTGGCGGAGTGGAATCGATGACGGACACCGAGTACGCCTGGCCTTTATTGAGGTATGTGACAGGAATCTCCGCTTGGTGATTGATCATGGCTGTGGGTGCGCGCAAAGTGACATGATAACGGAAACTGGGATTCGTCCCCGTCAATGATGGAACAGGCACGGGGGGGGGGGAGGATTGAAGCTCACGTTTCGCCAGGATTCTGAATGCTGGCCTGATCATCTTGCATCGTTGATGTTACGAATTGAGAGGGGTGACCCTGCATATCCACATCATTTAGAGACAATTCTTCGACAGAGTCATCCATGGCATCGTAACCTGTATCACTCTGAACAAAAGCACTAGGGGCAAATGCCGGTTGCTGAGCAAACGGTTGCGGGTTTTGGAAGTGTGGTGGGATGTATTGCTGATCGAAATGATCCAGGCCCATGGCTGCAGTGCCCGCAGCGTTGATGGTAGCGGCGGAAATCTGCTGCGGGAGGGAAAGCGGAGTAATCATGCTGAGACCCATGCCTGGGGTGTGCAAATCCCCTGCTTGGCTGTGGTACATTGCACCCAGTCCACCGGAGTTGGGGGTATAGTAACCATGGGGCTGTAATGGGTTGACATAGGAGACCGCATTCGGGTCAACAAATGGTGGTGCGAACCGCATGTCGTCTGTGGCGCGGGGGGTAGGATCATTAAGCTTCAGATCGTTGTTCATGCTCAGCCTGGCGCAGGTGACCCGTTAGCTTCGCTCCACAAGTTTGATTTTGCCAGCCGTATTCCAGGAGGAACACGACATAGTCACATTTAAAGGTCAAGTGGCTTATTACCTAGCTGGAGTGATAGGTCCAATGGGGATCTGACCGAAGCGCGTGGCATTGCGGTGAGGGACCTGGGGAACGACATCTGAGAAGGTTCTTTGGAATTTCTGAATGAGCTCATCGTCAGGCTTCTGAGAGTTCTTTCTGGAAGGACAATTATTCCGGTAAGCATTTTCCCCAGTCGTTACCTCAAGTCCCGAGATCCCAACATACCTGTTACGGAACATTATCGACAAGAGTCGTCGGAAAGTGATTACTTTTTCGTAGTGTGATTCGCGAGCGCCCGAGAGATTATGGCGAAATGACAAATCCAGGAGAAAACAGAGGTGCGCCTGAGGCTAAAGGTGGCATTCGGATCGCCAAGCGCTATCTGATCCGGAGCCTCGAAGTTATCGGGGGTTGTTGTTGTATAGCTCTCCCGTTTCCGTTGCGAGCAACTTTAACACTGGTATGGCGACGATTGGAAACGGTTCCCGTGTCACATCACAATCACCGGCTACCGAGAAATGACTGCGATCGCAGGTATGACCGCCAGAAGGTAGTTGGGAAAGCCGATTTTCGAGCTGGTATCGGGGTCGTGGGCGGAGACAGAGATTGGGGGGGGGGGGAAAGGGTTTGGGGGAAGAGGTCCGAGTGGTGTCGAAGACGAGCGGGATTTGGCAGGTGGTATTGGGTTTATAGCGGATGCGCCCCTTACTCAACGATCATATGAGAGGCGGCGGTGGGAGAGGACCAAGGGAGAGAGAGAGAGAGAGAGAGAGTGTGTGTGTGTGTGTGTGTGTGAGTGAGGGGAGAAAGAGTAGTAGAGAGAGAGGAGAGGAGACGAGCAGAAGCGACAGGCGTGAAAGAAGATACGTATGCGGTATAATTTGTACAGGGAATAGCGGGAGGGGAAGGGGAGGAGAGGGAAAGAAGGAGAGAGACAAGTCGGTAGTACTTCAGGGCCCAAAGGAGGGGAGAGGAGATGCAAGAAGTGATGATGAATGTTGGGGGAGCACTGGGACCAGACGGTAAGACAAGCCCCCAATAATAGTTCGGATGTAGGGTGGATATGGACGCTGAGAGGATGATTCCGAGTACCTCTGCGCTGAAGAGTCGACTGTCCGAGAGGATTCAGGAAAAGATATTTTTTTTACCAAGTCGGAGGATTTGTGGAAAGAATGTGATAGTTATTAATAAAAGAAGAGAAAAAGGGACCACATGGGAGGCGTGGTGACGTGCAATAATAACGGTTGGTTGAGTGATAAAAAAGACGCAATGAGGTAGGTATGAAAGAAACCTTCCAGAAACTCTTCTGTCCCTTTCTGATCTTTCTCTTACTTTCTCTGTCGCGCGGCCTGTCGCTCCTACTTTTTTTTTTCCCTTTTTTCTCTTTTTCAGTTAATATGCTTTTTTTTTATTTTTATTTTTATTTTTTTTAGATTAATCTCTGGGTCTGTCTCCGAGATGATTTTCTGGGTCGGACTCAACCAGACGAGACCCAAGGATCAGTGGGGAGGGTGTGAGGGGTGGAGTGGATCCGGTAAATAGTAATATTCCGTGGTAATACACTCGTACAGTACCTCCAAGTATACTCGGCTGTATTTTACCGTTTCGGTATTATACCAGCGACCTTCAAGCAACTGCGAGCGGGCATACAGCGTCGAATTCAATCGACCATCTCTGCCCGAGTTCAATAGATTCCCAACAACATGGATCCTATTATAGTAGTCAGGGGACATCCAAGAATCCTGGACCTCCGTATCTCCTTCGCTCAACGATCCCGTCTGCGGGGCCCAGTGGGCTGGGTGTAAACCCACATCCGGATATCAAAATCCTACTCAGCTGGTCCTGGCTCAATACTTACGGGCTGACATGGTATATTGAAGCCTCATGCACCTATCACTAGCACCGGAGCGACCACGATACGGTGCCAGTCCTACAATGGGACCGGACCCAGACACTGGGGAGTGGGTTCGAGCCGATTTCCGACTTCCCAATCAACAGGCACATTTACTAACCTGGAACCTACGTCATCTTTCCCCCAGCCGGGGCTGCGGTTGCTGCTGTTGCTGCTGCTGGCGGCAGCCCCATGATAATGCACAAGGAACTTCGAATTGTCACTGACTGGCCATGCACCGCGGTGCGTACCTAACCCTACCGGGGGCACTCATCGCGGTACCTTAGCAGTCACGATCAGCCACATCTGTCGCCTATCCCAAGACGGTGGTAACTCAGGCATTCATACAGATCTGGTAGGTGGTCCTTTTGAGTTGGGCGTATAAGAAGTACCTCCCGAGATAGTACCTCGGAGTTATCTATGTCCTCTTCGAGTAGCTGTGGTTGCGGGCGTGAACCTTGGTTGTCCTGCACGGTGTACCGAGTATGCTTCCCCCATTATGACACCTGATAGAAGAATACACTTTTTTTTCTGCACAGAACGTCTCGTTCGTCCCAGGGGGGAAACGAAAGAGATGGAGGGAAGAGAGAGAAAGGGAACATTCCGGAGGGTCGCAGCGGGAGTGCCAGGCCAACACATCATAACAACCTTCATCCCAGTTTGGAGGAAGGTTGTCCGTCCTCCTTCCTGAACATACGCGAGGGAGCCGCTCCGCTCCTCTCCCCAGCCGCACAATTATGGTGCAAGGGAAGAGGGCCAAAAAAAAAAAAAGAAAAAGAAAAAGAAAAAGGGAGGGCGAGAGATCTAGAAACCACTCTGCAGCACACAGTAGATAGTTGTGCCAACCCCATTTCTGTCGGCGTCGAGTGGATCCACCGACTGACATTAAATTTGAAAAAGAGCCAGACTACTGCCAAAGTAGGCATCTGGCCAGACCAACTAAGCCCATTGATCTGCAATTGTTATCACATGGCACCAGCGCCATTATATGATTGATGTGCCCTCGTAGCGTGCCTTCGACGACCCATCTCTCTGGACAACCGTCCCATTTTCGACTCGAAACGGAATGGAGGCCCTCCGATCGGTCCCAATTGACCCATCCCGGCATGAGAGGGAGGGGGGTGGGAAGAGAACCAAGTTCGTCCTGAGCACGCACAGCATCCTAGGTTCTCCTCCCCCCAAAGCGGGCTGGTGGAATCCTCTGGCCTTGGAGAGTGGAGGATGGAGACATGGAGACGGAGCGAGGTGGATAGAGACTATCAATGCGTGCTGGAGAAGTGAAACATCCGACTGCCTTAGCAACAGTTATGGAGTCCAAATGGAGTCGAAATCTGGGCCGGGAGCTTATTCTGTCGTGCACGGGGTCTGACTGGGGAGCATCCAACCATGAATCATCCACTAACCATGGAACTGGACCATCATGACACAAGCTGCGCCAAGCACAGACATCACTAGAAGTGGACTGTTGATTCAGCAGATGATCCTGCAGGTCAACCAAAGGCCATTCCCAGAATTCAACTTTGGTGCACACAATTCTCATCGCAGCATCTGCATCTCACCGACGAGTACTCTGCCGGCCACCTCTGTTCGGGGGTCGAACGCTGATACTGTACCATACTGAAACCGTGGATTGTATGGACGCGGTAAATGGTGGTAGGGCTAGGCCGGCGCCGATTGCTTGGGACACTTACCCGCCAATCAGATGCATGGCATGTCAGGCCCCGGGTCACATCGGACGGAGCTCCTCAGAACCTTATTACCTAAACAGCGTCGTTGGCATGGGGGCAAGGGCCAAGTGACAGTCAGTCCAGTTCCGCCCTCCCGTCGCCCAGTTAGTCAGCCTGGACTAGCACTTGAGCAGACGCCCTGAAGAAGTAAGGCACCGACCGACCAAACGGAGAGGGTTCCAAAGAATGATGAAAAGTTGCTGTCCTAACCTCCCGGTCGACCATGGGCGGGTGGAAAACCCATAAGACATTGAAACTGTTTCCTTTTCGAGGCAGGAGCCAGGGGTTACGTCATGTATCTCAGGGGTACCGGGGGGCTGACAGTTCATGCCTGCCATCCATTCTATCGAGAGGAATTTCAGAGCTGACGGGTTCACGGTATACCCTACTAACTTTCCGGGAGTGGAAATGATAGGTCCGGCTTAAAAGAGTGTACAATGAACGGCGCGCGCTGATTGGTTGGACAACTGCTCCGAGTCAAGGGGAAAATAGGCCCGCTCCCGCTCGACCAATCACAGTCTGTTTCATCGTAACGGAAGCCCCCCGGATTACATCATAGCATTCATGGGGCCCTTCAGGAGTTCTTTGCTTTCCTTTATTTTTTTTTCCCCACCAGCGCAAAGGCACAGCTCCATTGCTGCTTGGAGCTCCCGTCATTAAACGGTGGTCGGGGTACTTTTGTTAACGTCATGGTGGATTCGGTCTAGACGCGGATATACAAAAGATAATAGTACTCGGTATCAGACGTCGCCCGATGCGATCCCGATCGCGTGCTAATTTCTGGTGGACGGTGTATCGCTCCCCCAGTGGCAATTTCCATTTAATATCGGTTAGACATCATATGGAGCACTCGGTAGACCCCAATTAATCATTCTGGCTTCGGACCATGCCCGTCTGCGGCCCTGGGTCGAGGGATCTTCAAGGAGGAAGGATGTGGCTGCTTTAGTTCGTTTGGCGTCTTATCGCGGGTCCCCCCTATCATGTTGTCCCTATCTGCCCCAGAAGACTTGATTGCACCATCAGACGGTGGGCATCGGCTCAGCTACACTAGGCTGTGTTGATATCAGTCATAGACTCCTTGGGGGAATGATCGCATCCGGATGTGGAAATAGGTCGATAGATTACGTGTCCTCTGGTGGGCCTCAGGCATCATTCTTCCCGAAGTGTGCAGAATATATAGCTTCATCACTCAGCATCAAAACGCCGGTAACGACTATCAATCCTCGAGACGAACCATAAACGCCATAGGGTCGGGCTGCATTACCCACGCCCATGCATCTAGTATAGTTATTTCGGTGGCTACGATAACAAGCCTTGTAAGCCAGCCAGCAAGCAGTAAGATGTCGCTTGACCGATGCGTAGGGGCCTCCGACGCTTATTCGTCGGAGCCGCTTGCGCAGCTAGTACATAACAGTCGAGGTGCAGGGCAACCCTGAGGAGGGGCCGCATTGGGGTTGTCGGATGATAAACACTGCACCGGCGGCGACCATCATTTCTCTTCACGAACAGCAATCACGGTTTTTGTTTTGGCTGCAGCGCTGCCTACTACATAGTACATGACAGGGGACGCGCGGGATAACCTTCGATCCTGCAGAATTGAGAGGATCAATCTGATTTGTGGATGGCATTCCGTAAGCGACAGAATGAATGTCGTTGATGCTTGAGGAACCATGAGTAATGTAGGTGGACGTTGCATGGGGGATGGTCGTAATCCATAAGACTTACCCGATCCAGACTCGGGCTCGCTCCTCCCAGTGGACTCAGGCCCCAATGCGGAATGGCGACTTGCTGCCAGTTGTTTGGTCGCATGCAGCCCGCATATATTCTCCGGACGCCGGAAGTGGTTGTCCTGTGCCACATACTTTAGGCCTGGGTAGTACTACTATGTTAAGTGGCCCTGCCGGTATGGGATGGGGAGGTGGGGAGGTGGGGAGGGAGGGATATCGCCTACGCAGTACCAGCGTATACCCCTTACGAGGTCTATACATCCATACCAATGGGTTAGGCCTCGGTTTCTGATCGCAATCGTGTGGATGGGGGTTCTCCCAACATGTCGGACGGCGTACAAAGTACGTAGATGGAAACCGCCCGGCTTGGTGATATCTGACTTGATTCGCCCCGCGATGAAGGTTGATGGACGATCTTCCCCATGGTAGGGCCGCACGACATGCATTTCCCGCGCTCCATCTGCTCCATCTGAAAGCTACTCCAGACTATCAGTCTATCACACAGTTCCCCTTCGGAGGCCGTGCTTTCCGAGGCGTCTTTAATCTATTCTGAGGCTGTGACCCATGGTTCCGATCGAATGAGAAGGGGTCACGCTCTCCCGCTCTGCCGTCCGACACGGCAGAGAAGGAGGGCGCAGGGATCCCATCGGTGGCAAGCATCGTGTCGGTTAGTCAGGGCGGGATCTCATTCGATCCTTTGTCGCGGATCGGATCAGATTCGCTGCATCGACTCGATGGACGGCCAGTTGATGACACTATCATGACGTGTCGAGGCCATGCCTCCGTTCTCAGCATGCTGGACGTTGTGTGTTAGTCAGTTCTACCCAATACATTCCAGTACTTACTCTCAACATACTACAGGGTATACATCGTATAGATAGGATGTACGGTTCGCCGGTGTGGACGGGAGAGTGACAGGTCTGGGAGATCTGCATGAGGATGGGGGCTTGGTGGCTGGCTCCACGTTGGTTCAGATGGAAAGGATGTGGATGCACACGCCACACAGACGCCAAAGGAAATACCTAGGCCACAGGTCTACTGTGTGCACCAGCACCGTACACGCCAGCCCTGCAGAAATCGGGTTCATCGAAAGGACTATTGCCCCATGGTTCGCCGAATCTTGATTCCATGTCTCCGTCAGGTAGCAGCACATGTGACTGCACTGACTGCACTGACTGGACATGGGAAGCGCCATATTCACCCGCTTCGGGTAATAGCCTGTGGCCTGGGATCGGGAAGGAGATAGAGATGGAGGTGCCGATGGGCAGAGCCCGGCAGGTAATGCGAGACCCAGAAAGCACCTAGTAGGGAGAAAGCGACAGAATAATTCCACTGTGGCGTAGATAGTGACCGAACTAGTCCCTTGGCCTTCCTGAACCGGATGCCTCTGACACCGTGACATGGCGTCCCCTTGCGTGGAATCGATATGGAATCTTCGAACGGTCGCTGCTATGATGGTTAGGAAGCATGCCTCCATCCTGTTCGTTTGCAGAATTCCATCCCAGATGCCCCAGCCATGACTGACTCATCCAAGTGAATACATAACTAATACGGACGACGTATGAAGGAGTTACCGCCTGGTTGGGTCCTGTCACTGTCATGCGAACGGTAATTACCGGGAGTATCACCTGGTATCGAGATACTCCCGACTCCGCCTGTGGACTCGGTCGATAGCAACTGGACAGTTCGAGAAGTTGATCAATGGTCCGTCTGGAGGCAAGAGTGTCAAGACATCCAACTCTGGTCGGCTGGACAGCTTCCAGTACGGGAGGAGGGCCTGGTGACACACAGCTTCACCGGAACGCTGGATTCCAAATCTCAATCTGGACTGCCGCCACCTATGGCCTGGAGCTGACTGGATGGCGGCGGTATGGCTGACACGGGACAGACCCATTGGTCATCCCCGTCACCACTAGGGAGGTACCTGACGCCGTGGCTGAACCATAAGGCTGATGGCGATCAAACCAAGGAGAAGGGGGGGGGGGGGGGGGTTGCGACCCGACGGGTCTCGGACTCCACGAAAAGTCGATCGACACACTAAGACCACAGGCAGTGGAGGTGCAGGACGTGCCGTATGGTCAACCCCGAAAGGGGCAGGAGGCACAGGAAACCTACCGGCTCCTGAGCACCAGGGGGTCGAGGAAGATGGTAGCCAGCGAGGGAAGACCGATATTGGACCTACCGTTCACCGCGAAGTTTCCATTGCTGTAGGTCCCAAAGCTTGTTGGCTCGGGTCACAGCATTCTATCTACCAGCTCGTGGTCCTGTTCCATCGAGGGTGCGTGGCTCCTGCCTTGGTCTGAGCCTCTGAGGTCTAAATCGGGGGAAACTTTGGTGCAACTGCGACTATCCCAACATAAGGCAATGCATGTCATACTAAGGCATGACCCGTCCTACCTGCCATGCATATGATGCGCATGCGCATCACTCTCCGTTCCCTACTCGCTGCTGATCTGAACCGAGGGCACCGAGGCGGTACCTAGACATCGCCCACCCATCGGACGAACCCATGTGCGATCCCAAGTGATCGGTGACGTGCGCTCTACAAGGCCAGATAGGCTATTTCCCCCATGTCTTCCTACAACATTGCTTTCTCGGAGCCCCCTGGGATGCCGGCCAAGGTGCACACTCCGAGACCTGTACGACTGGGCCTGCCCCATTGTAGACTAGAACCCCCCTCAATGTGCCATCAACTGGCAGATGCAGTGCATGTGCAATTATCTATGGGCCCCTCGGCCAACCATCAATTATGTTCCCTAAACAAATATGTCCCAGTATGAATCGCCATGGTTCCAAGTCCTGCTTATCTCATGGCATGCACCGTGTACTGACCCGCCCCAGATCTTCAGTAACAGTCCCTCAGCGCAAGGCTCCAAATGGGAAAGAAAAGAAAAGAGATGACAAACGAAAGAGGAAGGAATGAAGGCCACCGCAACTCCTGGGCGCCGCCCAATGTAGACATGTCACGACTTAAATGGCAAACAGACAAGAAGAAACAAGAAAGGTAAGGACATATAGACAACGTGCGCTCTCAGGCGCAGGGCAGATGAACTGCAAGGCTCAAGTCGATCTGCAAGTTCCGCTCGGTCATGGGTCTTTTTGGGTAGACGTTTGCTGCGAGCTGACAGGAATCGTTGAGCTTAAGTCGGGGCCGCAGTCGGACGCACGCACAAGATCGATCGGATATCAAAGGACGTTCCACGAGCGACACGAAAAGGCACATCCGGATCTAATCTAAGATCGGATATTGCTGATATCGTGATAGGTTGACTCTGGCTATAAGATCCAGGTGCTTCAGGGGCAAGTCAGATATGACCATGACTCGGATTCATGATCAGCGCTCATGGAGGCAAACGCTGAGGATCCCATGCTAATCAGCGTGCAATACGAAATCAGTGCATGATCACCAACGAAAAGCCATCGACCCAAGATCCACTGGATCCGGAGATGCCAGCGATCTTGTACCCAAGAGGAGGGATTAGAGTGTATCTGGAAGTGCCGGGTTAGAAAGTTGACGCTATTGCGAGTAGATAGAAACTGGCTTGGGACTTGCATACCCTGTGCCCCCTTGGGGATTTCCGAACATGCCAGATTTCCGGCCCTGGCTGGTCAGAATCTCAATGCCATCGATCCACTGTCCAGCCCGGACATAGAAACCGAGTAGGATCTCTCCTCTTCTGGTATCTAATTTAAATTGTTAGTCTTGATCGATAGCGAATCTATCAGAGTACCGGGCACCGGTCATGATTTGGACAGACAATTTGGGGGGAGAAATTTACTTACCAAGAACGAAATCATCAGACTTTCCTCCTCGATTACCGAAGATTTGGCTCGTAGCATCTTCATAGAAGAATTCCAAGCCATGGAGCGCATTCTCATGGTAAATCCGAACAGAGGTCAGGAGCTTGGTCGACGCGAAGGCGCAATCCAGCAACAGCTGCTCTGGCTGACTGCCGTCCAACTGCGAGAAGCCCATCTTGTTCCCCTTGTACCCGGTATGACTCTTGGGTAGTTTCACCAGCGCCTGCTTCGATTTTAGATTATTGATTGAATCAACATTGTAACTTCCGAGGCCGCCTGAGAAGACAACCAGCCTGATGGACTTCTTCTTCTCCTTCTCGGTGCCATACACGCGTTGCCGCAGTTCGCTTTCCGTCACAGTGACTTGCTTCGGCAGCCCATTGCTGCTCGACTCGCTGTTAAGGTATTCGATGAAATTCCGGCATACGTTGTCCCCCTCAGCGTACAGTTCTATGAACGCTATACCCGTCAAGGCAGTAAACACGATCTTACCATTTTCAACGGGCCAAACCTGGATGCTATCGTCCGAAGCCAACGGAGCATCGCCGGGAAGTCGGAAGCAGGGGTGAAACCGGAAACGCAAAGCGTCGAGACGATGCCAACTGCACTCGTCTTGAGGCAGGCACAGTTTGAGGCCCTGGGTCTTTGTTCTGGTTGCGAAGGGCTCACGGGTGAGAAACGACCGGCTGAGGCGGACATAGTCCCGGAGCATGATACCCGACTCCTGATGTGGGCACCCAAAAAGATGGCCGACTTCGTGAAGGTGAGCACCAATGCCGATATTAGCTGCTTCCCAGCTGGAGCCACCCTCGCCGGAATCGTTCGCAACGAATTCTGTGTCGGTTCTGGTGCAGTCCGAGAAGGCGTCTACAACATCCTCCAAGCTGGTAGGGTAGCTCTGCAGGCTGTGGGAGCCAAATATCGCTAGCTTAAGATCCCCGGTGCTCGAACCCAGAGCGGCGTGACCGGTGATAGTCTGAGTGCCCACATCCCAATGGGAGTCAAGAAGTAGGACTGAGACATACTGTTTCTGACCGGGTTGAAGACGGAAATGGTCCTTCACTGCCTCTCTAGCGATTCGGAACAGCTCATCCTTGTGGGTAGCGGAATCATTCTGCTGGGCAAGGTTGAGGTCCCTGAGCTCTGCGACCGTTTTGTCGGTCCGGATAACGTGGACCTTGGCCTCGTTCCGCATCTGGCCGTTAACTGCATCACGGCGACTCAGGCTGCCCGCCTGCCACTCTTCTTCGAACCGGAAGCATCGACGTCCAAAGTTGTTCCGGAACATCTGTTCACCAGTAAATGCCTGCCAAAGGTACGCCGCCATGCGATATTTTTGAATCGCCGTTTCGAGTCCATTTCCTTCCCGTTGTTGTCTCTCCGGAACGGCGTCAAATGTCCCATCCGAGTCCTTTCCCAGCAAAATGACAAGGTGCAAGGGCGGCGTGTTGACCAACGGGAGATAATTAATGCAGATGTAGGAGGTATGGGTGGTCGGATGAGAACTGCCGGATGAATGCTTGGCTGAGACGAACTCGAAGCGCAGGCGGTTCGGTCCCGGAACGAGGTGCACCAGGGTCTTGAAGTGGGAAGATGTGACCGGCCAGGCCACCGACGGGAAACTATCCTGATGGTGATAGACCGTTACAGTTCCGTCCAGCGGATGTTGTCTTGGGTCTCCTATTTGGCCGTAAACAAGCAGGACCTTCTGGTGGACCTGTGGATGAATTGAGGAGTCAGCTTGTACACAAGTCCATGGACAGAATACACGTGAAATGGGGATACGCTAGAGTAGGGATACAAACCCAAGAGTTATCGGAGATGGAAATGATCCTCGGGGCGTACGGAGAAGAGGGAGTGGGCGACCGCACGGCACCATTGACAGACATATTACTGCCAAACTGTACATATGAACAAGACGGTTAGCCTAGAGATGGGGTCGAAGGGTCGCTAGCTCTTACATAGGCGCTATTCCGCTGCGACGGAGCCGTGAGTAGGGCTGGACGCTGGGAAGGTACAGAAAGAGGGGAAACGGCGTTGTTGGAGGTGCCGTTGCTCTCGCTGAGGGAAGGGAGGTTGGGGGATGAAAGGTTTGGCTTGATGGATGAAGGCGGGGTGAGAGAACTGTATGAAGCAGTATCAGGCGTGGTAGATGACTTTCCCGAAGTCAGCTCCCCATTGGATTGGGATTCGTTGGACCTGGTCTCTGTTGACTTGGTGTGGAAATTGGCCTTCGAGCGACGACGAAGCTGTTTGAACAACGGCATGATGGGCGATGTTGCGGTTGCTGTTGCTGGAAGTATACCGGAGATGGAAAGAGTGGTCGAGGAGGGACCTTTCTTCAGGAGGTAAGTATGGACGGGACTCTCCCAGTAGATGTCAAGTCAAAGTGTTCTGCCAGGGATGATAAACGAGCGACTGTAATTCCCAATGCCTGCGCTCTCTCCGTCTCTCCTTTTTTTGGTTATTTTTCTTTTCTTTGTTATTTTAACGATTGCTTCGTAGACAGTTCAGAGGAGTTGGTGGCAGCGAGGAGTCGGAGAAAGAGGAGAGCGACCGTTTGCGGTAACTAGCGGAGTGACGAACGAATGGCAGAAACACCCCGCATCAACCAGCGTGGTATCCAGGAACCGGGCGAGGAATGAGTAAGCAGTAGAGTTGAGGAGGTAGTAGGTATAAACGAGAGAAGAGGTGGAATGGAAGGCGACAATTGGTTCAACGGGCATCCATTTAGCGAGCTGTGGTGGGATGAAAGGAATAAGAAACGAGGGCGACGAAAAACAGGAAACCTGCGACCAGGAAGGAGGGACTTCGAGGGGGGAGGGGGCAGGAAAGGCGAGGAGAAAAAGAGGAGAAAAGGGAAAAGGAAAGGGAATTGGCAAGCTAACCACCAGGGAGTATGGAGAGAAATCAGGATGGAGTCGATTAGTGCCTGGCCTAAGAGCTAATCGCGAACAATAATGTCATTGGTATGTGAGACAGCAAATAATAATGTAATCTCACCTGTCTTAATCTACGTAGGCGAGACCTAGATCGTTACTCCTTTCGAACCCAAAGCTTGTTCTTTTCTAGCTGGAGTTTGCGCTCCTCCTGGTGATTCAGATCTGAGGGTTATCCCTCCATCCTCTCCATCTAGAAAATAACTCAAGAAAAGTAAAAAAATATCGAATAAAATTCACGCGATCATGGAACCGAGATGGAAAGCAATGCGATGCGATCATGGTCCCTGTTTTCCCAGGTGGATAGAGATTACCCTACATCTCCAGGCCACGCTGATAATAATTGCTATCGTGCTAATAATATAACGACAATCAAAGAAAAATTAAAAAAGAGGGAGAAAAAAGTAAATTGATCCAGGCACTAAAGAACGCAACTGCCACCCCGGTGGGGCGCATCCAGCTGCAGCTTCTTGTTCGTTGCGAATAGACAAGGGTGCGTTACGTATGCTGGATGCCACTGGCCAACGGGCGGGAAGAGATAGGCTTCCTGGTTTCACCGTCTCACCACCCGAGACGGTGGAGCCTAGACGATCGCCTGCTATATTTGTCTCCGTTGGCGGCGCTGGTAGGCTCTGCTGCAGTATCGGACTGCTCCTGCGTGCTCACTAGTATAGTACACAGGTTGTCGCCCTCCCAAAATGGGGCTTTATCTGACCCTTGATGACCCTGGCATCTTTGGGTCTCAAATTCAGGGTGGCCAGGCCTGTGCAGGAAGGCGAATGGAGAAACGAGAGAGGGAAAAAAAAAAAAAAAGTGAAGATAGCAATGCTGGAAGGGACATGGGGACCCCTTAGGTCTCACCAACACCAAAGCAGTAGTAACCAGGGGCAGTATCCCAGTGGAAAAAGCATGGAAGGGTTGCCGTCGGACAGTTCTTGTGGTTGACATTGTTCCACTTTTGCCTCTCCATTGCCCCTCCCCCTCCCTCCTCTCTTTGTGAATGAACCATGTTTGATGTTACAGAACTCGATCCGAGTTCCCATTCCCGCTGTTTCTACGATGCCATGCGGAGTATCTCCGGTGTAGAAATGAGAAAAGAGCCGACTTAGTAAAAGGACACCAGAGCCCCAACCACCCAGCCACGGGCGACAACTACAGTACTAGTCGTCATCCCCTCCCCTTTCCTTATCGGCCACTGCTGCCAGTTTGCCTAAAAAGAATCCCGAGTTAGTGTCTGTAGGCAGTGGTCGGGGCCAGTCCCCTTCAAGTAAGAAGAGCTTGGCGGCAGGTGCGCACCGGCTCCAGTCTTGCCTCCAGAAGCCAGAGCCCAGATCCATCCGCGAACCTGGATGGATCCTGCTAATATCCATCCCCTTTAGTTGGCTTGCTTCCCTGGGGGCGGCCAGCCTGCGACACACGTCCGTCCCTTATCACACGCCCGGGAATTGGTCCAACTGATTCGCCTAGACGCAATGTCATCATCTCACGCATGTTTTTGTTTGTCTGTTCGTAACTGCCAGCACCAATCAGACCCCCTCCGGGTTCTTCTTTCGCCGGACCAATGCACCTGGGGATTCTCCTCTCCGCTGCCTACTCCGTAGGTGCATCTTAGATCGGGTTTTCCGCTCCTGGTCCACGTCATGTCATGGCGAGTTCCCTGTTTCTCTACTTTTTGGGTTCCAACCTCTCGTCCTGCGTCGCTTCCTCTCTTGCTTTCACGGATCTTCCTTCGCCTCTGAATCCCTCATTATATTGATTGCACGAGAACCACCAGTCTCCACTGTTGTAGGGCTGGCTTTCATGTCGCCCAGGCATTCATATTCCGCTGAATAATCATGGTAATCACATTGCCTTTATACCAAGGGCCCTCCACCAGGAAATGCAAACTTGGTCTCAAGTGAGGGAAAGAAGCAACGGCAAGATGGATTTAGAATGTCGGGTATCACTGCTCGGGGCCCGACAAACATACTGAACGCCCGGTCCATCCAAACCCGAAGTGTTGCACCGTCGGCCCATAGCCGCCGCAAAGGCCTATTTACAACAGTCTACATGCACCAGGCAAGCTTGCTCCAACGCCTCCTTCAGGATATCCGGGGTAAGTTATGAGGACTGACTCTCGGTCGTTGAGTGCCACTGGCCTTGTACTGGGGTGTGGTTGGCACCGACCACCTGGCGGGATCTCATCAATTCGTGCGTACAGACGGTAAGAATCAGGGCCAGTCCATGTGTAGTAATGTGTGTGGCTGAGAGCCAGGGCTTGGACAACAACTGTCATTTGCACACTGGGAGTGCCGAGAAACGATAGACATACCGGAGGCTGTTCAGTATAGAGGAGAAAAACCTCTGAAGAACATGCTGCAGGAGAGACAAAGAGAGGGGTAGGAATGAATGGATCGGAGAATTCTGTGGCATGTGTCTGGCCAGCAGTGCGCTGGAGCATTCCGAGTTGATCGCAGGAACCATTGGTTCTGAGAGGACGAAAGTTATCGGCCGGCTGCTTCAGAAAGCGAGTTGAGCGAGTCAGGCGAGTCCCAGCTTTCTTATGTAGTACTCGAGGCCTCGCGAGTCACGGATTGTAGACCGACGGGGTTGTGTCAACTGGAGACCATCATGGTCGATCTGGGTGGATTGGGGGGTGCATGATATTATCGCCTGTACTCCGTAAGGAATCGGCTGCTATTGACGGCGACCGGGAGAGAAGAACGACCTCCCTTTGTCCACCATCACTTGTTGTTCCGCATTCCCGCGTTCTTTGACTCCTTTCCGGGCGGGTTGGTTACCCAGGCATCCCCTTCTCCATCATCTCTCGTCCATCGTCCATACCGCTTCCGTGGTGGGCGCTAAAGAAGGGATTTCCCCAGAGTTGGTGGCTGCTTTAGGCCGTGGCCTCCCCTTCTCTTTGCTGACCCGAGCCCAAACTAACCTCACTGACCACTAACCACGAACCGCTATTCCACTATTCCACTATTCCACTTCCACTAACCACCCGACTACTTACACCAGTTCGCCAATTGGATTGATTGCCCGTGCCAATCTCCTCATCTCCTCCCCAGTCTCCTCAACCTATCGTCCCCCTCCCTTGCTCCAACCGACCTGACGAGACGACTCCGTGACTCGATCTCCAGTCCTTCCTTTGGCAGGGCCCGCCTCTCATCTCCTCACCTTTCGTCGGTCGATGCCCACCGTCAATTCTCTTCTACTGGGTGAATAAGCCTATCGTCGATACCACCGAGCAATGGCTCTTACGCAACCGTCAACCTCGGAGCGGACCATCCGCAAAATTGACATTGCCCAGGTATGTGATCTTTTCTCGCTTCGCATTGTCGGCGTGGTCTGAAAATTTCCCCCCCTCTCCCTGTCTGTCAAGCAAAGTCTAATTGAATGGGTTTCTTCACGATCAGGTGTCCCTCAGCCTCCAGGATCGCTTGGGCCTCGCCAAAGTCAAGTACCAGAACGGCCGTCTACATGCCCTCGGGCCCAACCACAATGGCGGGATACATGTCTGCTTGGAGAGCGACCGGCCTTCGGATTCCTCGTCGGACATCTCTCACAGCCGGAGCGAGACTCCATTGACGCCGCCTCCCTTGCCAAACTCGTCCTATTCGAAAGAACTACCCAGGTCGTCCCGGAACAGACATGCAGCAACCTTCGATTCCAAGGCAATGCAACCGATGCTGTCTGCCAGCCGAAAGCGTCTGCGGTCCGACTCGATCACAGACCGGACGGTCAAAGCCCCCCGGGTTTCATGGAAGACTTCACATCACCTGCCTGAATCGTCCCCGGGCTTCAGCCGGCAGCACATGCACCGGCACCTCCCCCTCCCGTTCATGGCAGAGATCCCCGAATATTCCTCTCCAGCGTACCCTCCACACTCCGAAGACGATAACGACCCCGACCTTCCCGTCCACAGCTTTCAGCATATCAGCTCTTTGTCGGGTTCCTCCCCTCCTCGCACGCCTCCTCCCAAGCACGCCCGTCCGTCCCGGAACGACCGCACATTGCGGCATGCCGACGGGGCAGATCTGCTTTTGTACCTGGCCAATTCCCCGACTCCAGCCAAGCCCCAGGGTCGGGACTTCCCTCCTTCTACACCCCCGAGCCAGCATGCCGCTTTGCCTTCGCTGACCCCGACCCCTGGCGGCGGCGGCGTCTTTCCTAATTTCGGCACTCCCAACCAGCAGTTCAACTTTGCCGATTTCGTGAATGTGACCCCCAGCCCTGCCCAGCCCCCCTGGGGCGGTCGCACGCCTGGAGGCCCCTCGAAAACGCCCCTTGCCAACAGGGAGCGGAAGAGATCCAACCTCGACGGCCTGCTGCCCCCGAGCACGGATAGTCCCAGGAACCGCGGAAAAGGGCCTGCCATGGTCCTCCAACTCGGCGAAGAGCTACGACCCGAAAACCGCAAATAAACTGGATGTACAGATGCTTCCCTTCTTGTTTATGCATTCCCCTCCCATTGTTGATGACTCTTAATGACTGTTATGTGCCCATATCTTGATTTCCACCCATCCTCATACCCCGCCGCTGTATCCAGTTGTCTATCCGATTTTCTTGTGTTGTACGGTCACGCCCTGTGACCGGTGTTTTAAAATAATATACACGTCACTGTCCATACCACATACCCTTGCTACTGCCCTGTGTTCCAGAAGACTTTTGGAAACGTTTCCTTTGTGTGCAAACATCGTGTGACCCACTATTCGGCTAATATTTGACTTCTTTGCCCCTCTACTGCTGATTCTTGTTCGGCACCACGAATGAGTAACCTGTACGACGGATGTCTGAGTATAGTCTGATTCTTATTGCCAAGGACCAATGAAGCAAAGATGTATTAATTCGTATCCACTTTGATGTGTCAAGAATATTCGGCCGCGATCTGTAGCTTAGATAATGAACCCGTGTACGGAGTACGGAGTATCCAGATCGACAACCGGATCACCAAGACCATCTACCCTCCATGACGTCTACACTTACGACATGCCTTGCAGAGACAATTGTCTCGTGTAGGATTCACTTGAACCCATCCCATTTCTTACACTACTTGATCTCAACACCAGGCCCTGACAAGATATCCTCGACAGAACAAACTCTACCATAGCAAGAGTAAGATTCTTACCGTCCAAACAGCCCATCCACATTCCTCAACCTCTCGTTGGAACCTCTCAGCCTCAACTAAAAAAGAAATAAGTAAAAAAAAAGTCAAACCCAGAAATAAACCTTCTCCTTGTCAATACATCCCAAGGATCACGTAATCACGCCCCAAGCAGGGTAGATACCACTAACTGATAAATACTATGATACGCATACCTAGAACTTGAACCATGAACTACTAGTCCATAGTACCTATCTATATCGAGTTAATGTCTTATCTGCCCCATGAGTACTAAGTAGTCAGTAGTATTGTTGAAATAAGCTTTTCCCATGGCTTGGAGGGGTAATGAGATCATCTAGAGTAGGTATAGCTCGTGTCTCAGTAAACGGGCCAAACATACTCGCGGTGAGTGTCAGATGGATACGTATAGTCTAGCGTACCTGCATCATGAATGATTTGATCCAATTCGACCCCTCCCATTAGCAAGCATCAATAAGTACTCCGTACTTCTTTCCATAAAGTCAAAAGCCACTCAACTCCCAGGGCCCCAAAGTACAAGAGGGAAATCAACAGTCTCAGCCACGAAAAAAAAAAAATAAGATGACGCGACCGAACGCGTCCAGGAAACTTTAATTCGTGGTCATTTCGCGTTCGGGCTAGACTGATTTCGGGTTAGTGAGGGATTCGGCTGATCGGGGAATTTACGGTTTTGGGTTTAGGCTGAGATCGGATCGGGAGGGGAAGGGGCACGTGATGGGGGTGGTTTGTTCTTTGGGGTTTCGATTGTTCGATTATGGGGATGGAGTACATACTAGGGTCATGGTGGGATTTGGGACTTTTTGTGTTTGGGGGGTTGGTTGGCAGATGGATAAAATAGAATAGATTCATCAAGGGTTGTGTAGATGAGTATTTAATATAATATGTTTCCAATGGCTTTAAATATATCCAACTTTTATCAACGTTTATTCTTCCACTATGTCAGCGGGTTGCTCGGCTTCCTGCTTGGTCCGTTCGGACTGCTTTCGCCAAAGCAAAGCCAGGTAATCAGATGTGGTCGCCTCGTCGATCGATTTGTCCTCTCGGACTTTGAGAAACCGGGGAAATCGTAGACTCAGCCCTCGTTCATCGCTCACCAAGCCGATGGCCGCCGTGTACGTGGGACTAAGTGTGATGTCGGCAAATGCCATTTCCCAGACTTCTTGCGGCTCGAACCACACGTCTGGCTCCCCGTAGTATTCGACATAGCTAGGACGGGAGATGATGTTGGGCGTCCCCTCGGCGTATTTGTCCTTGTTGGCTTGGTAGAACTTATCAGTGAAGCCGGACATGCACTTCGTTACGGCTTCTAAACTTCCTGTCTCGGGATTGCGAACAGCGAGGAGGATCGGCGACCACCATTTGGCCTTGCGGCCTTGACCGTGCCATCCGGCTACGGGAATCAGGTCGAGGGTCTCGGATGACGCGCTATAATCCTTCTTGACCTTGAGCCAGGAATCAAGCCGTTTGTCGGGCTCGTAGGTGGAGAGCAGTGCCTTTCGGCGACTGCCTTTGGAATTCCTTGACTCGGGCTTTTCGTCTGTCTTGGACGGCGGATCTGGTACCCCGTCGGTATCAATGGTTGGTGTTCCGTTATCTTCAATATCCGGCTTGGGCATATTGTCAAGCACTTTGACCATGATGCCTTCACATTTCGTGTCGGTGGCACCCTTGAAAAACTCTAGCACCGCCTCAGAGTCGGCAGACGTGGCGTCCAGGCTCTTCACCCACGTAAACCGTCTGGGAATCTCCACGAAAAGGCTCCGGAGCAGCTCTCGCCGCTCGCGGAATGATCGGTCTAGCAGTGGCTGTCCGTTGAGATACATCAGGTCGAATGCAAAGAGACAGACGCTGACTTTGATCGCCCCGATATCAACGTTCTTTTTCGCACGGTTGGTCAGGATTTGGAAGGCCTGCAGTTCACCACTTTCTTGATCCACAGCGACCACCTCCCCTTCCAAGATGAAGCTCGACACGCCTTCTCCCCTGATCTGGGGGACTAGAGACACGAGGTCTGGGTATTTCTCGGTCATATTCTCCAGGTGACGGGAGAAGATCGATACTTTGCCTTGCACATCGCAATGCACCTGCGCGCGCTGACCGTCATACTTGTATTCACAGCTGAAATCGCGCCCTTGCAACTTCGTCAGCATGTCTGACAGGTCCCGCGTGATGCTGCCTAGCATGGGTCTTAACGGAATATGCAACTGCAGACCACAGCGGACAAGAAGTTCGTCTGAGACCCCGATTTCTAGCAGACAGGGAACGAGATCGTCGTAGTTTGGATGCCTGGCATAGGAAGCCTTCACAATCTCCTCTGCACGGGTATAGATTTCAGCTAGCTCGTCTTTTTTCAACCGCGCCATTTCCTCCTGTGAGTAAATCGAAAACCCCGCCCCTTCAGATCTGGAGTACAGAAATGCCCTTGCAAGCGCAATGAGCATCGTGGTTTTGACAGCGCCGATGCGGAGATTTTGTACCAGAGTTCTCACAATGTATCGACTTTCTTCCGCCCCGCGAGCATCTTGCAGCAGTTTCTCGACGATCCTCTGCTTTGTCTCCTGACTTCCCCCTCCTTTACTCATAGCTATCTTTTTCAGTGACTGATAAACCCCCTTTATCCGGAGCGGTCTCGGCTTCATCAAGGTGAAAGACTGTCTCTTTTTCGCCTCGAACGCCACATCGCCGGCATCACCGTGCTTATCGTACAGTGATTTCAAGCCTTGACTGTTTAATCCGTATACCTTCTTAAGCGCCTTCGATATCGAGGACCCACCAAGGCCTAGCTCCGATTCGTCGTAGGGAGGGGATATCGAGCTGGTCGCCAGCCATACTGCGGGAAGCACGCTGGACGGGTCGGCTTCAATCAACACGCGGAGGAGGTTGACCAACGTATCAACAATCTTGATGCGACTCGTCGTGGCGTTGGCAAGCAAAAATGCCCTAGTAAGGAGGGCGTACGAGGCGTCGCCACCTTCCGAAGCCCAGTGCCCCTGCAACTCGTGCGCATATTTGGTGGCATTGAATGTGATAGGACTCTGATCGAAAGGGACTGCAAGAGAGACAGTATCCTCCGTGCCTGTAGACGACTGTAGCGAGAGGACGCCTTTCTTCTGCACAGTGGTCGGTTCCCGATCGTTGTCGCCAGGACTCACTAGTGGCAACGAAGGCTCATCGCTGGGCGTATCGGCCTGCGAGGTTGGAAGCACATCTTCTTTATCCCATTCGGCCTGCAGCTTACGAGCCAGCGCCTCATCTGACAGAGTCTGTTCGGTATGAACTTCAGATCCAGGCTGGGTTAGTTGTTGCGTCTTCTCGGCCTGCTTGCCCGCCTGGCCCTGGAAGAATGACGCTATGGTCCGGGTGCGCTGCGAGGCAGACCCCGGATCATCTCTCTTGCGCTTTTTTGCCGGACTTGACATGGCGGGACTGGATCAAAAATCATCTGGAAGGTGGATTGATGGCTATTACTCGCAACATCCACCCCGCGTGCTCCATGGTGCCGGAGTTGGAGGCGGGAGTGACGTTGCTGCAGTGGAGGCGGAATGCGGAAGACAAGTGAATCGCCCGAGGCGGAGTTCGCGACACCTCGCCCGTCTCGCCGTGCTTCTTCCCCGCCAGCCCAACCACAATGGCGACCCCGGCATCTGCCCTGTCGTCGCACGAGAGGACCCGGGTCGAGGATTATCTTAATGACAAACTGCAGGTTTCGGCCGACTTGGACAGTCTCGACTCGTTGCTGTCGAGTCTCCGGGCCCAGCATGAGCTGCAACGCAAGCAGGTACCGCGGTCTTCCCTATTGGGCAGATTTCACGTTAATCTTGAAGACTCTCGCTGACGATCTGATACTATAGTTAGCAGAAGCACAAGAAGCGCTATCCAGTGCTACGAAAGCCTCCAACGACCACACCGATGCCACCCGAAAGCGAGCCGAAGCATTCGGCGAGCAGCAAGCGGATATTGACCGGCGTCTGAAAGCTCTCACGGGGTCGGATTCCAGCGATGAAGCGGCGAAACGGTTCGAAGCCAGTATCGAAAAGCTGCGGAGGCTTGAAATTTCCAGGAGTTACATGACCTTGCTGAAGGAGGCGGAAGGGTTGAGGTATGGGATTACTTTTTTATGCCTTCAAAGGTGGCGGTCGCTGAGATCGGATACAGCAAGGAGGCCTTGGACAACATCAAAGATCAGCCCCGAATCGCAATTCAATCATATACCCGTCTGCGCAAGGTTGCCCGATCCCTCACAGAAGCTCAGCCGGCAGCAGAAGGAGCGGCCCCTCACTTGGTCGACTACGTGGGAAAGCTGGCCTCGGCCCTTAGAGAGCACATGAAGACAGACTTCACCCGACGACTGCAGGAAACGATGGAGAAAATGAAGTGGCCATCGAAGGATCTACACTTTCCGGACGATTTACAGGCGCAGTGGAAGGAGAATGTGGCATTGCTTCTGGACCTGCAGAAACCGTACGTGCCTATCAGATCCACATTAATACTCAGGTGTAACCAGTCAGCTATAGAGAGCTTCAAGGTCATGCCTCTGGAGTTGAGCCTCCGGTCCTGCTGCCATTGGAAGTAATGGTGCATCCTCTCGAGCTTCGTTTCAAGTACCATTTCAGCGGAGACAAGCCGACAAATAGGCTGGACAAGGTACGTACGTCGATTGCAGTAATAGAGCCCAGTCTGACCCATGCAGCCCGAATATTTCCTGGCCCATGTGATGGATCTGATCAACAACTTCGGCGGATTCTTCGCCTCGTCCCTGCAACCCATCTTCGACCAAGAGGCGCAGAACGTCGGCACGGACCTGGAATGGAATTTCTACAATGCCTCCCATGCTTACATCACGGCGCTTCTGCCCGTGCTGAAACACAAGATCACCACGTTTCTGCCTCAAATTTCAACCCATCCGCAGCTGCTCAGTCACTTCATGCACGAATTGATGAACTTCGACAGCGAAGTCCGCGAGTCGTGGAACTACCTCCCCGACCCATATTCCAACGAGGACTGGAGGGGAATGACTTGGGATGTCCTGACCAAACAAGGCTGGTTTGATCGCTGGCTCCAGGTCGAGAAGGATTTCGCCCTGGCCCGCTATAAAGAGATTATAGACACCCCGGATAGTGGCCACATCGACTATGATGGCGTCGATCTCTCTTCAACCAAGCCTACCAAGGCTGCAATCCGGGTGAATGATCTGCTCGAAACCATCACGGAGCGCTACCAGCCACTGTCATCCTTCAGCCAGAAGCTGCGCTTCCTCATCGACATCCAGATCACCATCTTCGACCAGTTCCACGAACGCCTGCACTCCGCACTCGAGGCCTACCTCGCCATGACCTCGACTATCGGACGCACCGTGCAAGGCGCAGATGCATCCAGCATCGAAGGCGTCGCCGGCTTGGAACGACTCTCCCGTGTCTTCGGCAGCGCAGAGTACCTCGAGAAGAAGATGGAGGACTGGAGCAACGAAGTTTTCTTCGTGGAACTCTGGACCGAGCTCCAAGAACGCGTCCGAGAGAACAAGGATGGCGGCAAGAACGTGGCAGGCACCATGTCCGTCGCCGACGTCGCATCCCGCACCTCCCAGGCCGTCAACCCCAGCAACAGCCCAGGCACCGCATCCGAGGGCGCCCTCTTCGACGAAACCGCCTCCGCCTATCGTCGTCTCCGACTCCGCTCCGAATCCATCATCACCTCAACCCTCACCTCCAACGTGCGCTCCGCCTTGAAACCCTTCTCCCGCGTGTCCACCTGGGCCACGATCTCCGCAACGACCCCCGTCGCCCCCCTCCCCCCAACCTCCGATCTCTCCCCCGCCATGCGTACGCTCTCCGCCGAAATCTCCTTCCTTTCTAATGCACTGGGCATCTCCCCCTTGCGCCGCATCATCCGTCAAGTCCTCCTCGCCATCCAGACCTACCTCTGGGGCAACATCCTAACCCGGAACACCTTCTCCGCAGCCGGAGCATCCCAATTCATCAGCGACGTCGAACACCTCTGCAACGTGGTCGATACCGCCCTCGGAGCAGCCGGTCAAACCGGCGGTTCCATGCGAGTCATGAGAAAGCTGTCCGAGGGTCTCATCCTCCTCGGATTAGACACCACCACCACAACTGAAACTGAAGCCGACGCCGAAGCCGAAGATAAGACAGCGGAAGAGGGAGAGTCACGTCCAGGCCTATGGGAAGTCGAAAAACGACTGTTCAAAGACAACGAGAGCGCTCGCGTGGTGCTCGCTGAGCTGGGGATCGAGACCTTGACGGAGGCGGAAGCAAGGAGTGTGCTTGAAAGACGAGCTGAGATTGGTAACTAGGCAGCTTAGTTCGGTTAGTTGTCTCCGGTGTCATTACCCCTAGTATCTTAACGGGAACACATACCGACGGTGGCGATGGTGCGACGTATATACGGAGGGAGGGAGAGGGATGATTATTAATTCCTGGTAGCAAGCAGCATGAGATATCCATTGATTCTGATTCTAGCCCAACAATACTAGTATTTCTTTTGGCCTCGCTCGGCTTCCGTTATATAATATACATAAGACCTCCGTCTATAGATGATCGAGCTATTTCCCGCCCTGTTATCCTGATAAACACCCATCCATCCAATCTAGTAATCAGCAATATATCCCAAAATCGTACATATACATTCTATCCTCCTTCCTTTCTTTTTGCTTCCTGATATGATCTCCTCACGGATGATGCACAACCGGCCCATGACCCCTCTCGCCTAGTCGCCGAGTCGGAACCTCAGTGACACTCTCCGCCTTCAATCGGTCAACAATCTCGGGCCCGACCTCCTCAATAGCCCGCACCAGGGCTTCGACGGTCTCTTTCGTGGTCTGGACATTGACCACGCAACGGAAGAACTTCCCGTTCCCGACGGCGTCCTCGTCTCCACTGGGTGGGGCAAAATCCACCATGAACCCCTTGCGGACGATGGCATGTGTCACCTGCTCGGTGATCTTGCTGTTGGCTTTGGCGCGCTTGGATTCGTCGGAGACGAGGCCCCGCGGGTGCACGAATGTGCGGCTGGGCGCGTAGTAGAAGCAGACTTGGAGACAGGGGGGCGGGTTCTCGCTCACGAGGATGAAGTTCGGGTTCTCTGAGATTAGGGTGGCGAGGTGGGCGGCGACGGAGCAGGCGGTGTCGATTTGACGCTCGTAGCCGGCCGTGCCGTAGTAGGTCCAGCCGAGGAAGAGCTTGAGGGAGTCGGCGCGGCGGCCGCATTGGAGGGTGAGGTCGGCGAGGTCCCAGACTTCTGGGGAGTCGACTTCGAGTTCGGTCTCGCCGTTGAGGGTGTCCGGGTCGGTGTCGGCGTTGTGGAAGAGGTAGCCGGCGGGGAGGGTGTTGGCGAGGTGGAATCGACGGAGGTCGGCGGCGAGTAGGAAGGAGCAGGTGACGGGGACGCCGAGCATCTTGTGCGGGTTGATGGCGATGCTGTCGGCTTTCTCGGCGCCGGAGAGCTTGGAGCGCTGCTGGGCGGAGAAGATGAAGGAGCCGCCCCAGGAGCCGTCGACATGGAACCAGAGGTTGTATTTCTTGCAGATGGCGGCGATGTCGTGGAAGGGGTCGAAGGAGCCCATGACGGTGGTGCCGGCGGTGGCGTTGACGTAGAAGGGGGTTCGGTCCTCGGCGAGGGCCTTCTGGACGAGGGCCTCCAGCTGGGAGGCGATCATGCGGCCTTGTTTGTCGACGGGGACGGCCCAGACGGAGGAGCTTCCGAGGCCGAGCATTTGGGCGGCCTTCTCGATGCTGTAGTGGCCATGGGCGCTGGTGAAGAGGACGAAGCGGTAGTTGCCATTGCCGTCCTTCTTCGTGCTGGGGTAAAGGTTATTGCGCGCGATGACGATGGAGGTGGTGTTGGAGGCGGAGCCACCCTGGACGGAGATGCCTCCGGCGCGGGCGCCATTGAGGCCGAAGAGGGAGGCGAGTTGCTTTCCGGTGTGTTTCTCGATGATGGTCAGGGCGGGGGAGACCTGGTAGACATGGACGTTGGTGTTGAGGGCGGCCAGGATCAGCTCGGACGCCACGCCGGGGGCGTTGGTTGAGGCATAAAGCTTGTCGAGGAAGCCCTGGTGCCATGTGTTGACCGAGTACTGCAGAACCTTGCGCAGCACCTCGACCAGGCCCTCCTGGCCGGTGCCTTGCTCGGGGAGGGCTAATTGGAGGAGCTTCTGCAGCTCTTCCGGTTTCTTATGGTCGACGAGCGCCGTGCCTGGCGACTTGTGGACTCCATTGGTGCCGTTTGGCAGCGATTTTTGGCCGAGAGGATCCTCGTCGGCGCTTCGGATGAACGGAATCAGAAGGTCTTCGACGGCGTTCAGAAGCTGGTTCCGGAGTCAATGCGGTCAGGGTCGTTCTAATCGAAGATGAACACGCTCCAGCTGCACAAACAAAGAGGATAACTTCCTCAATGTGCGCAGACCTGAAGCATGAGGAACATGACTCACATTTTGTACTTCATCTGCGCGACTGGACGGCGGGGAAGCAGCCATGGATGCGGGGAAGCGAAGAGACGGCGCGAGAGAGAGCACGGGATGTATCAAATCTTAAGATGCTCCCAATCAAGGAACTGCACACGGAGAACCGACGGTGACTTCAGAGGGATAGGGAACTTTGAAGAAATTGGCTCATGGCCCCTCGAAAGCCATTCCATTGTGGCCGTCGAGCTGCGAGCGGAACCGTTGGGGGAGAGGGATCCACTGGGGATGATGACATTTTCCGGGTAATCGACATCATGGGCTCCCAAAGCCCCTACACCAACTACTACTACTATGTATTATTGCATGTGGTGTGTCTGGCGGGGAAGTCCGAACTGTGATCGATCGGATTGCAGTCATGGCCACTACGGAGTATCTATCGGTCGGTACTTCTTCCCTCGCATCGGCGGAGGGTCCGGCAGAGAATCGGTCAATAATATTACAGCCCTAGATTGAGACTTTTCGAACCCCCCAAACCCCCGCGGACACGCCCCAGAAAATATGGCTAATATACATAGTGTTCATCATACATGGAAGAAAGGACAAGAAGACAACTATACGGCAGAGTAGATGGCAGAGATATGTCGCCCACACTCGACGCGCTGTTCCATACTCACGGTGCGACCGTCGGCCTTGGCCTTGTGCCGGGGCATGATCTGAAGTCGCGCTTCCTGCTGATCCTCGGCGCCTTTGCCCTCTGGAGGGGCGTGAATGTAGTTTGGCTTTGACAGGTTGCTGCGTTTGCCTGTGCCCAGTTGGAAGTGCTCGTTGCCTCCCCACCAGAGCGCGTCATATCCCCAATCGTTGGTGTCATCCAAGGAGGTCGTGGGAGCCGCGTCTACATGCGTCTTGTTGTCCATGACCGCCGAGACGTGTGTCGTGCCAACCGAGATGTCATGGATACGAATGGGCAAGAGGCTCTTGGTTTTCTCGTCGTATTCAGACAGACCACTCAATGCCTTCACCTTGGCCAGAGAGTCCTGCACATGGATCCATTTTCCGGTACCGAGGGCACCCCAGATGCCCCGGCCGCAAGCCCATGTATCGGCTGTAATGCGGCCCAGGTCACGCATGGTGGCGGGGTTCTCATTGGAGCCGGCAATGCGCTGCGCATCCACGGTGAAGAAGCTGTTGGCACCTCCAGCCGCAACCCGAGTGGCCTTGGCCAACCAGGGACCCCGGTAGAGGTTCCGGATCGGCACCAGAGTGGGAGTATCGCAAAACGGCGAGGCCGGGTTGAATTCCTTGGCTAATTGTCCAAAGGAATTATCGCCAAAGGCAAACACGTTGCCGTCTTTGTCCAACGCGAGCGAGTGATAGTCACCCGCAGCAATCTGGACGATTTTCGAGCCCTTCAGCGCCGTGACCTCGTGGAGGGTGTCCACTGGTCCGTTAGGCCGAGTAGCCCAGGTCAAGCCCGGAACACCCAGTTGCCCGAAGGAAGGATAGTTCTCGGTAGAAGAAGCAACGGAGAAAACCCGACCGGAGCTGGTTAAGAGGAGGGCATGGTCTAGCCCGCCGCTGAGAGCTGTGATGCGCTCACCCAACTTCAAGCTGGGCTGGAGCACGCGATAGCTGACGCCAGCCGTCCCTGACCAGAAAGGCACCCAAGATCCTTCCTTGAGCTTGCGGCCAGTCAGTTGGTCCTCTTTGGCAATGGGCAGGGAGTAGATGTTGCCGTCGGAGGACAATGCAAGGATCCGGTCGTTCGACATGCACAGCGAAGTCAGATTCTTGCCAGTGAGGGTCTTTGCGGGTTTGAATTCAGTCTCCGAGTAGCCTTTGCCCCATTGCACCAGGTCGCCATTCCCAGTAATGGCCGCCCCAGATTTCTCTCCGAGCTTAAGATCCCTCAGCACCTGGCCTTCAAAATAGGCGAATTTTCGGGGAGTCTTCACAACCGATTCCTTGGAGTTCGGATCAACCACACGATAGGCATTCGTGCCCCAGACATACACTCCAGGGCTCTTAACGCTTCTTTTATGCTGCACGTACTGCAAGCTCAGCTCTTCAGCCGACTTGGAGAGGTCTTTGACCTTCTCCGATGCACTCTCAATCTGGTTTTGGTGGGAAGTAGCATATTCGTAAATCAGAACGGCAGCAGTACCTGCACCTGCCACGCCCAGGGAGTTCCGGATCCAGTGCGCGTTGGTCGACGGCTCCGATCCTTTGTTACTGCTGGCATAAGATCTCCGCCACGGCGTGGCGATAGACCGGTTGCTTCTGGCAAGGCGACGTGAAGAGGTGGTGACGACGGTCGTCACCGATTGCCGCCCTCGATGTGTCCACATGATGGTTGGAGATCCTCAACAAAGTTTCATGCCGAATCCTTCAATGACTTGATGCTTCTTTGCTTAATTTCGTCACTGATCTGGTTCGATCCATAAGAAAAGGCAAAAGATCAGCTGGAATGTTGCGTCAAGTCGCGGGAGCGGAAGGCGGCGGCAGAATAGCGCATTGAAGCCACGGCGGAGGCATCGCCTTCCCTCTCGCTCCTGCGCGTTGCGTCCGGGGCTGTATTGGGATCGTTTGACTTGTTGTTGTCGAGAGGCCTTGGTACAGGGGCAGTCGTCCACGTTTTATCTTCGTTGGTTATTCTTTCACCATGCGCCAACAAGCTGCAGGACAGCGAAGTCGACGCCAGACTGCCCCGTCGGGCCCGGCTCTGGAACTGAAGATCAAGGAGGCCACCGAGCTCGAGACGATCCCGGATAGCTTAGATTCGATTAACGATATTCGCAATGAGCTGGAGTTTGCGCAATGGTATAACGAAGTAGAGGAGAGCTTGCTGGAAGCCAGCTATGATGAGTACCAGTAAGCGGCGACATCTGCGGTCACCCCGAGAAGCCCCTGGCCGATGCTGACATCCATTGCTATTAGAGCTTGCCTCCAGGAGCTTGAAATGTCCAAATCTCATCTGGATTCGCTATTGTCCGATACTTCGTCGACGCTGAACCTTCTGACCAGCCTATCGAACGACTTCCGCGCCGTGGAGTCGCAGACATCCAATTTCCAGAAACAATGCGAAGGACTACTCTCGGCACAGAAGCATGATTCGGATTTGGCAGCGGATATCCAGGAAAACCTTCAATACTATGATTTCCTGGATCCTGCGTCGAGGAGACTCAATGCCCCAGGTGCGGGAAACACGGTTCGTGGGAAGGAGTTCTCGGATATGCTGCGACGGCTTGATGAATGCTTGGACTACATGGAGACACATGTGAGGATGGCTCGCATCTTTAGTACACTCTTGCTAACCAATTTGTTTCTGCAGCCTGATCAAAAAGAGGCCGGTGTATACCGCTCCCGGTACCGATTGCTCATGACGCGCGCCCTCACTCTTATTCGAACACACTTTGTTTCCTCCCTCCGAGATGTATACGCCGATGCTTCGAAGAAAATCGCAGACAAGCAGCTCAACGACACCACGATGTCTACCTTGCTCTACGCCAAGTTCAGAGTTGGCGCGCCGGAACTGAAACAGATCGGGCTCGAGATTCAGAAAAGAGCGGTTCCTCCATTGGACCCAGATCAGGGCACAGAAGCCGAATACCAAAGCTTGCTCAACGAGCTTCATGCCAACTATGCAGCCACGCGCGGTAAACTGATTATCCCATTAGTGCGCAAAAACCTCTACGACATCGCGCAATCTCCGACATCATCACAGGATCTCGTGTCCTTTGCCCGCGCGAGTATCAGCTACATCCGCGGCGTCTGTCTAGACGAGTTCGAACTATGGGGCGAATGGTTCCATGGTCACGGCGGACTGTATGATTTCTTGGAAACGATCTGTGAACCTCTTTACGATCACCTCAGACCTCGGATTATCCACGAAGACAAGATTGTCAAGCTATGCCAACTCTGCACTCTCCTGCAAACCCGATACTTGCTCGACCAAGACGAAGAGATCGAGCAAGTAGACGCCAACCAACTCGACTTCCCGACGCTGATCCAGCCCGCACTCGAAGACGTCCAAACCCGCCTTGTCTTCCGCGCGCAGGCTTTTCTTCGCGACGAGATCGAGCGCTACAAGCCTCGGCCGGAAGACCTGGACTATCCGGCGCGAAACAAACAACTCTCGATATCCGTCACGGAGGGCCAGATCAGCGGCCGCAAAGTCGCCTCCGCAGATACCCTGGTGAACCTGCCCAAACCAACGAAACCAACCCAGGATGGCGACACATCCCTGGAGCAAGACTCCAAATGGGACCTCGAGTCCCCGAACGCTCTAACCGGATGGTATCCCACCCTCCGCAAAGCCATCTGGCTCCTCAGCCGAATCTACCGCCTCGTAAACGTACATCTCCCCTCCCTCCCCTCCCCAAACCACCCCCACTAACCACCACCCAGTCAACCGTCTTCGACGACCTCGCCCACCAAATCGTCCACCAAACCAACACCTCCCTCCACCACGCCAGCACCCTCCTCACCAGCAAAGCCACCCCGACCGACGCCCAACTCTTCCTCATGAGCCACCTCCTCATCCTCAAACAACAAATCGTCGCCTTCGACATCGAATACGTCGCCCCGGAAATCACCTTCGACTTCTCCGGCGTGACCAACACCTTCTGGGAACTGCGCGAACGCGGCGGTCTCTTCAACCCCCGCAACCTCATGCGTCTCGTCGGCCACGGCCTCCTCCCCCGCGTCGTCGAGAACATGCTCGACGCCAAAGTGGAACTCGACGGACGTCTCCGCACCGTCATCAACGACTTCATCAACGCCTTCGCCTCGAAAATGACTACCTCCCTGCCCGCCTTCATCGACGCCCGGTCCCTCCAACGCGGAGAACTTATCCACTCGACGTGTCGGAATATTGAAAAGGAGGTTCCGAATCTACGGAAAGTGTTGTCGGAGTATTTGGATGATGGGCGCATGCGGGAGACGTTGGTCGGTGCGGTTCAGGATCGGGTTATTCAGATCTATGAGGATTTCTTTGAGAAATATACCTCGTCGGAGAGGAGGAAGGGGAATCCGGTGAGTACGAAGGGGAAGGGGAGGGAGGATACGGTGTGGGATGTGGATACGTTTGCGGAGTGGTGTGAGGGGATCTTTCGCGTTGGGTTTTTGGGGTCTGGGCAGGATGGTGGTGGTGGTGGGGATGATGAAGATGATGATGCGACAAGTAGGAGTGTGAGTCGGAGGGGAAGTCCTTGATCCTTTCTTCTTCCTCTCCGTCGCCTTCTTTTTTTTAACGGTGTATAAAATCTACGGTTTCCAATGTATATACAAAGTATTGAGGAGGAGAGAGGGACCGTGAGGTCTCGAGTGACGCGAGATGCAGAGATTAAGAATATCCAGAGTTGTCATATTCAAATAAGGTCACCAACCGATCATCGTTAAATATACTATGCACACCGAACGAAACGCTGCTGAGTTGGGTATGATGCAGGGAGGAAACAAAATGCATAGTCGAAACGCTGGAATTGAGACGCTTTGTGAATATATTACTGAACATTGGGCTGGGCTTAGAGGACGTGGCGGATCTTGGCGTAAAGCTCGGTATCCAAGAAGTTATACTTCGGGTCGGGTTCGCAGAAGGGATGGGTCAGGAGGGTCTCGGCAGTTGGGCGGTCGCGCGAATCCCTGCGGTATGTTAGTCTGGAGAAGTTTTAAATCAAAGGAAAGCAATCCGAGGCACATACACTGTGAAGCAGTCGTACATAAAGGCGAGCGCTGCTGGTGTGATGTTCATGGAAACATCATCGGGAATTGGAGGCGCCTGACTCAGACTGCCGAGCTTGAAGATAGCCCCAATGGCCTCTTCCTTGCTCCATGGTCGACGACCAGCAAACATCTCCAACACCACGCAGCCAAGGGACCAGATGTCGACCTTGGCGCTGTAGCCTTGTCCTTGGGATTGGATGACCTCCGGTGCCATCCAAAACACCGACCCTTGCATGGAATTGGTGGAATCGTTTCCGTAGATGTTGTCCGTCTTCTTCGAGATTCCAAAGTCGGAGATCTTGCACGTCCCGTCCAGATCCAAGAGAATGTTGTCGGCCTTTAGGTCACGATGAAGGATTCCCTGGTTGTGAAGATATGCCAGTCCACTCAGGGTCTGGTGGGTGAGGGATTTCACGACGCTTTCCTCAAACTTGCCATGCTTGCGAAGACAGCTACCGATGGAACCACCAGAGATATACTCGAGATAGATTGAGATGGAGAGTTCTCCTCGTTCACAACCCAGATACTGTACGATGTTCGAATGCTCGAGATGTTGCATCGTGTCGATTTCTTGGTCCATAGCGGCGACCATCTCTTTGATGCGATCCTTGTCGGTACCCGCAATTCGTGGATTGACCTCCACTTGCTTCACAGCCAGGACCTCACCATTGTCCGCGTTCATGCCCAGGTACACTCGGCCATAAGTTCCTTTGCCGATAAGCTGACCACGAATGATGCGGAAAGTGGGCTGTCTTTGGGGCAGATTTCCTGCAGGCACAGGATTCTGAGGGATAGGATCAAGCTGGCTGAGTCGACTGCCACGCTTCGGACTGATTTGCATGATCTTCGCGCCGAACATCTTGGTGCTCTTACGGCGCAAAATATCACCCGACCGTTGATTGCCAGTAGACGACGTGACGCTCCGATTCCTACTGGCTTGGTTGGCGCCCTTTGCAACTTCTCGAATAGACTTCATCCGGGTGAGTCCGCCCCCAGAGCGACTGACGTTCCGGCGAGCGACGACACCTGGATCCTGGGGCTTCACAGGTGGCTCGCTAGCGCTGGGAGCATTGTCAGCCGGGGCAGGTGGATGTTGTGTGGGGGTGCTGGTAGTGTATGGTAGGCCATCGGGCTTTTCCTTGTGAATTTTATCGCTCTCGGCCGCAACCTTCGAGGCCGGTGATGAGGGAGGCGACATGCCCTGCCCGTCTAGGTAAGGCGTGTCAAGATCGATATCCGGGAAGAAGTCGTCGAGGTGGTCGATGACGCCCTCAACCGGGGGTCTGCTCGCCCAGAGATCGCCTTGGGCAAAGGAATCCCGACGAGGCGGCCTCTCTTCCTCTGGTGAAGCGCTCAGATCAGAGAAGGATGCATTTCTGTTGCTTGACTCCCCGCTCGAGCTGGCGAACGTTTCGCGGGTAGCACTAGGGGACCTGAAACTGACGGATAGTCCTTTCCGTAGCCGATTTTCAGTATTTAACGTGAGAGACGGTTTCCCGGCTCGCCTTTGGGATTCCGGCGAAATGGCCACGGGCGCATTTTCTTTGACTGGGGTCTTGGTATTTGCCAAAGGAATAGCAAAAAGACCATCATCGGAGTCGTCATCAGACTCCTCCTGAGGCACCGGTGAACCTTGGAAGGAGACCTTAGTCTCTTCGAAATCAAACTCGGGCCCGAAGGACTTGCGAGACTGTATAGTCGGTCTCGGCTCATCAGGGGTTGTGGACGAAGGTTGTGCTGGAGACTGGCTGGAGTGAACCGTCGGGGTGGTTTGGTTGTCCTGCTCGGCAGGTGATTGGGACGGCCCTCTCAGCTCTTGACTGGTCGTGGCTGTTGGGGTCGGCACTGATGGCGACGGGGTTCCAATGGCGCTGGTCATTCTACCAACGCTAGCTAGCACTGCCCCGAGGCCATGGGTTTGGGCTGTAGTTTGGATGCGGGGACGGTCGACGTCTTTCTTTCGCAGGGAATTAACTTTGGTGAGCGTGCTGGACTCATGAGGTGCTGTGGGAGGTTTCCGAAGTGGCACAAGCGTTTCCGATTTCTTGTCTTCGTAAGGAGAAGTACGGGGCACATCGAAATCAATGACGCCCTCACGCCGGTAGCCAGTTTCGCCGTACGCGTCCTTTCTTGGCTGTGGCATGGGAGGGACCTTTGAGATGCGGTAGGCCCTTTGCTTACGCTCTACCTCACGCATATGTTCCTCGTGACGAGCCAACAAGTCTGCCTTTTCCGCGTCAGTAGGTAGCCCTACTTCCGGCACACCATCAATGGGAGACGCGGTGATTGTTGGTTGTGGGGTTAGCTTAGCAGTAGGCGCCTTGAGTTGTTGTCGTGAAGAAACCTGAGGAGACGTGGGCTTGGCTGGATTGTGAGGTGCGATCCTGTGGAGTGCGTCATCGTCCAGCGGCTTCCTGTGAAGATGATGCGCAGATGTCGGGGAGGCCGTGCTTTTGTCTGGAAACGAAACCCCCAGACCAAAGTGGGCAGAGCTGTTTGCACCTAGTTGCATGTGCGAGCCCCGGACGAAAAGTTTCAGTGAGCCAGTTGTGTCTGACTTTGTTCTCCGACAAAGTGCCAGGCTGGTGTCACTCAAAGGCTCGTCGTATTCGGTCTGACCAGGCTCCGTCAAAAAGATTTGCGCGCCAGTCCAATCGGCAATCCCAAGGCTTTGGCATATGGCAGATCGCAGTGTCTCCACGGAGTCCATCTCCGTTATGTCAACCAAGCGATAGTTCCATCCGTCCAGAGTCACGAATGTCCACTTCTTGCTCTTCTGCATTGGCTTGCCCCGCAACGCCAGCCGTTCGTGGTCCGACATTGACGAAGATGACGGACGCTCGCCCAATGACATATCACTGGCACTGAAGTTGGGCTTAGAGTAAGGCAAATGAGGGTTCTGACGCATGTTCACCGGGCTTGTGGGAGATTCCAGGAACTGCTCCTCCGGAGACGGGTGGTTGGAATCGCCATTCTTGGATCGTTTTTTGAAAAATCCCAGAAGCCCATTGCGGTGGTCCTTTGGGTATGAGGACGGAGTTTCTCCCCCGGAATGGCGGTTAAATTCCTGCGGCGAAGGGCGAACCCCGTTCTCTTGCCTGATTGACTCATAGTACCGCCGCCCCGTTGTTGAATCAGAACTGTTGCCGCGCGAATGTTCGGATTTGACGCCCAGATCTCCTGTAGATGACGAAGGTCCAGTCTGTGCGAGGGTAGCATGTTGCATAGCTGGGCTCCCGCTCTTCGGGCTGTCTTCGTACGGTCGGATGGGAATCTGAAAAGTCCCGCCATCACTGGATATCGAAGGGCTTTGCCTGTGGTGGTCGCCAATACTAGATAACACAGCTCGCGAATATTCGGATCGTGCCCACATCGTATTCGCATCGCCTGTAGCGAGCTCGGAAGACGGATAATCTTGAGTTGTAGGTATGGGCGTGGTGAAGGAACGCATCTGCACGCTCTGTCTTTGGCCATAAGCAGGCTGAGGCGCCTTGAGGTTAGGGCTGTTTGCAACGTTTCCTGAGCCAGGGCCAGCGGATCGGGGCTCATAAGTCGGTTTCGGTGAAGCCTCGGATCCAGGATCGGGGGCGCTGTTGGGGTGGGAGTCGCGTCGCTTCTGGATGGAGATCTCGGCATCGTAGCTGCCGTCATCATGGATCTGCTTGATTAGCCGGCGCATGCGTTTTCCCTCTTCTCGCTCACGGGCCTGATCCCACCCCGTGCCACTTGATTCGCATTCTTTAGCAAGCTGGGGATAGACAACGTTGTGCATCTTGCCCAGATTGGGTCGACCATTCGACCCATGTCCCAGCTCGAGAAAATCCGCCCCCTCGATCTCCAAGGCCCTGAAGGTCTCTTGCCAGTCTTTGGAAAACCCGTTGTTCCCAAGCCAGAGCAGTACACGATCGAGGGGCCACTGAATTGCGGCCTCATTCGGTAGCATGCCGCCGAGCAGTGTGCTGTTATTATGACGATGACTGGCTGACTTTGTGAGTTCCGCAGATTGGGTTGGCATTTGTTGGACCGGATTCTGCGCGGTCACGGCGGAAAAGCCGGTGGGCCCCATGTCATGGGTACCATCGTTGACGGCTAACGAGGAAGGGAGATTGCGAGTTGAAGGCGTAGGGGGATGATTAGAGTCTCGCTTATATGTAGAAGAGTCCGTGCCGGCATATTCATAGGCTTGAGTGGAAGGCATTCGCTGTCTGTCGCTGGACTGCATTGTTCCCAGGCTTTCGTACGTGGGAGTGGAATGTACATCGAATGGCGGTATCCCCACACCCGGTCCAAAGGTGCCAGCTTGAGGAACATAAGTCGCAGACGGCCGCGTTTCAGCCGAGGGTATTGAGAGAGCCGCAGGGCGCCCATACGGGGATTGATTCGCAGGTACCATGGGAGGAGGCGGAGGGGGTGGAAGATATCCCTGAGACAGTGCTTGCCTTGCCCAGCTCTGTTGCTGCCAGCCCAGTGTATTTTGGTGTTGCAGCTGAGGGTTGGTGAGTTTAGAGGCACCATACGCCGTCCCTGGAGGCGGTCCAGGGGGAGGGGGGAGCATGACGCCCTGGGATTGAGTTGGAGGGTAACGCGGCGGCGGTGGTGGTAAGGGGATTATGTGCGATTGAGAGGATTGTGTCGCCGACGAAGGCGGGGGAACTGGTATGTACTGCTGCGGCCGTTGTCCGTCCATGGTGGCGATGTCTGCGACGTCTCCAATGGATTGATGCAAGGAGGTGGGTATGAGCTTAACACGCAGACAGTATCTCTGAGAGCCCAATAGGATTCTGCCCTCCTATACTTCACGGGGTTGCGCTATCAAACACGTCCCTGAAGTGGGGAAAGATACACCATGGAAGCTTAGAACCCAAAGAAATTCTGCATTGTTCGTGCTGGGAACCCAGCTTTACGTGATGGACACCTTGTCGCTCCGGTCGTACGGCGCCGAGGAGCACTGGTACTGTGGCCAAGGGGAGAGAAGGATCAGGAGCAATGGACGATTCGCAATGCCCGTCAATCAGGCGCAGATAGCCTCCAGATCGGGGCGGGCGACAGTACGTAAGCGGGAGCGGAGCGAGCAAAGGGCGGCCATCAGCTTTCCACCTGGTCGGGGAATGCACGGGAGGCTGGAGGAAGAGGGATCGATCACACGCAGTCAAGCTGCAGACGCGGGCAGGGGCGAAGAAGCGAGTTGGGCGTTCTTCGGAGGGGAGGTGAATATCTTTAAGATCGCTGGGTCCTTTCAATCAGCTAAATCTCCTGGCAGATTGCGGCAATCAACCCCTGATAGTAGGCGTCGCTAATCGAAGGGGGAGGAGGGGGGGAATGGGAAATGATGCCGCGGAAGGCTCGACGGGAAGCTAAGACATACCATTAACAAAATTGCGGTGGGTTAGATAGACCACGCAGGAGATTAGTCGCAGGCGGCGGTAAATTAGCAGCCCACCGCATAGATTAATTATCTTTTCATCAACGAGGGACAAAGGCCTGCTCGCAGGTCGGCAAAAATCATGGGGTAAGTAAGTAAAGTAACCTGTCGCCAGTGTGTCGAGGCCCGCCCAGGGAAGTCCAGAGGAGCTTTGATGCGCTGGCCGCCTTAGCGCCTAGCGTCCCGTCGATCACGTGGTGCGCCGATAAGCAGCCGAAGTCAGTCGGTCCCTTTTTTTCCCTCTGCTCTCGGCTCTTCCGCCCTCATCGCCGGTTCTCATAGGCTTCTGGTGCCCGGTGGGTGGGGTTGCGAACCCGTCTAGTCGTCGACCAAACATCCCACGGTGGCTCTGACAGTCAACCACCCCCCCCATTTTCCCTTCGTCTCCCTCACCGGATCGGGTTTGCCACCGTTGGAAGCACTCAGCCCTATCGAAACCTCCGACCCCTCCTGCCCCCTTTTCTTTCGGTCCGAGATAGTACATAGACAGGTCAGTCGTAAGCACAGCTGTCCATCGCTCCCCTTTCTTTCCAAAATGTCTCAAACTCTCTATTGACCAGGGTGGTAATTAGTGCCGCTACAATTGCCTTGGCATTCGGAGGGATGATAAGCACTAGGCCCTAGACAGATAACCCTACAACGCCCAGCCAGGCTCGAACCACTACCGGGGCACGTGAGCGTAAACAACATTATTATTTTAGATCATTACAGTTCGTCTTCTGCATCCAGACTACTTGGCCAGAGTGGGGTCTGTTTCTCTCCAGGAGTGACAGGTAAAGTGAAATGAGAAAGATGACAAGAAGAGGGGGAAACTGCCTCCTTTCCAGACCAACCTCCATTACTTGTTTCTGGTGGCCGCTGCTTCAGCCGTGATTTTTAACGCGGCCGGAGCATCATCACGCGGCATGTGAAGCTCCACCAACTGAGTCGTCCGGGTCAGCACTTTCTAGACGCTATGGAAATGACAGGGTAAGGAACATACCTGCAAGAATGGCGCCGAGGCGAACTCTTCGTTTGCAAACAGCTGCCTCAGCTCGTCCCTCGTAGTCACCTTATATCCCTTGTACTTGTCCTGGGCTCCGAAGACGGTGGGGAGGCCTTTGATGTCCCACGGCTGGATGTCGTTATACTCTTCGTCCCATCCATGGATGTATCGCTCAATGGTATATCCGTTATTGCAGATCACGAAGCTTGTTTTTGTCAGTGCCATCGCATAGCAACAACGTTAATCACACTTACATAATAGGGTTGAGATTATTTCTGATCATGGTGCTCAACTCCTGCACTGTAAGCTGGAGGCTTCCGTCACCAACGAAGAGAACAGTCCGGCGGTTACCCAGCTCCTTCGCCGCCAGTGCGGCACCCTGGCAAGCTCCAACGGAGTAGCCGATGCTACCCCAAAGGACCTGGCTGATGGCTGTCACATTCGCCGGGAACCGAGTCTCCCAGATGCCAAAGTTTGCCGTACCCGTTTCGGTGATGACAATGTCATTTTCCTTTAGCCACTGGCCAACGCTGGGCCAAAGCCAGTCGTGCGTAATTTCTAGGTTACCTGAAGACTGCTCGGCCTCGGGGATCGTATTTGAGAGATGCGGAACTGGGGCGGCATTGACGGCGCCCATCTTCTGGATGACCTTGCGCAGGACTCCTTTCATGTTGATGTCGGGGTATTCGGAGTATCGCACGCGGACGAAAGTGCTATGGAAATCGATGGTGTTTAGCTGTCCAATATGATAGGAGAACCCGCTGGTGTTGAAATCCGACTTGATGGCACCGATGCTCAGGATAAGGTCGGAAGACTCGACTTGTTCGCGAACGCCCGCATTCGATCCCGTTCCGGCATACACACCTCCGTAGTTTGGGCGAGTCTCATCCACTGCTCCCTTGCCCATCGGGGCCACGAAAGTAGGCAATCCGGATGCTTCCATCAAGTCATGAACCTCATCAAGAACCCGGTGACGGATGGCACAAGCATCCACCAGAATCACCGGTTTCTTTGCCGCATGCAAATACTTCAGGACAACGTCCACCACGTAATCTTCCTTTTCGGGGTCATTCTGGGGCAAGGAGATATCCAGCGGTTTATCGAGTCGATCACCCTCAATCTGCTTCGCGATCATGTCCGTGGGGAGACTGATATAGACGGGCCGACTGCGAATCCAACATTCACGGATGGCGTTGTCGATGAGGGTCGCCGCCTCCAGCGTCTCATTCAGACGTCCAAGGGTGCAGGAAATGCCTGCGCTCATCTTCGCAAAGACATCGAAATCCCCATTTCCCAAGGTGTGGTGAAGCAGCATGCCATCCTTTTGAGATTTGGTGCCGGGTTGACCAACGATGTGGACGATCGGTACAAACTCGGAGTATGATCCAGCAACGGCATTGAGCGCCGAAAGCTCGCCTACACCAAAGGTAGTAATCAGAGCGCCGATTCCATTAACTCGGGCGTATCCGTCAGCGGCATAGCCTGCATTTTGTCCACGTTAGTCATGCCTGTCAACCGTGACCCTAGTGTGTGTAACAAGGACGGTGGGATCAGATCCAGCATACCGGCATTGAGTTCATTGCAGTTTCCCACCCAGTGGAGACCACACTTGGGCAGATAGTCCAATGCGGCAAGGTTGTAGTCACCTGGAATCGCCCGCGAAGATTAGCAAAATCGCCCATATGACAGCCGCGGAGGAGGACTCACCCGGAACACCGTGCACTGAGCGAACGCCAACCTCGTGCAGACGGCGGAACAGGTACTCAGCCACTGTGATGGGCTTCCGAAGCTCCCGCGTAGCGATATCGGTAGTCGCCATGATGACAGTCACAGCAGTAGGCGAAGATAGAGATCACGTGGAATAGTAAATGATGAAAATGAACGAAGGAAATACTGGTAGTCGATGAGAGACAAAGTGTTTACATAGGCTGCTGAGGGGGTGAGTATAAATAGGTGTTTCACGAACGCGAGTCTGGAACCCAGCGGTGGCCGTACGTCATGGAGGAGGGCAGAGCGTGATGTCATGCTGCGAGATGGAGACAAAGCCAGTGTCACCACCCAACTGCCACGCCATCCTTCGATGAATGCTTGCGGGATGATAGGGAGCCGTCTACTGGACAAGGAATAGATGTTTTGCGTGAATTCCAGGAGATCTCCGGCCACGATGGCATGGATGGTGTGGTTCGATGGAGAGTTCAGGTCGAATAAACTATGCCGGATCCTTGGAAGAGGCGCGGCGGAAGTGATAAGAGACTAAGACTAAGAGAATGAATGATAATCCAGTCCGGCCGAAAGGGCCGTCACTCCACCGAGTGGGATGATGATCGCCTGTCTGTCCGCTAGTCCTCATGCGGAATTTTATCCCCCCCGCCTGCCATACCATGCCTTATCTTTTCGAACCCTCGTGTCACCCGGGCGCGCATCTAGAACTTCGAGGACCGGTTTAATACCACCACTAAGCTTTGATTCCTCCGAGTCAACTCCGACAAACAAGCAACGTGCATTCTTGTGTGGCCAATACCCTCCCAGTGCTCCCACACACTGAAACATCGTACTGTCCATCTCATCCACCAGCGCATTGACGCCTGCCGATGGCTGGACCTGGAAAGAGAGCCATGCCTAGTAACAAACCCGTTCAGTGCGCTAAGAAGAGGAAGGTTTGTACCCCTGAGATATCTGTGGCATGCTTGCCACAAACATCATGTGGTTGGGTCTGATATGTGGCACAGGGAGGTGCCCCATGGCAAAAACAACAGGGCAACAAGGCGGGCATCGAGGGCGGTGATTGGGGAGTCTTTGTGACATGCGATTTGGGCAAGGAGAGCAAATGTATGGCCGAGGTGGTGGATCTTTTCTCCCAGGTTAGTGGCATGAATGGCAGACTTCGGGCATGAAGCAACCCATCTTATCTGCTCATTCACCTGACTTGCACTACTACTCAGAGTGTGGAATCAACCAGCAGCGACGATCATGAAGACAAGTCCGACTCCGATGACGATGACATCGAGGCTCAAATCAGAAAGGAGGTCGAGGGACTAAAGCCCAGCGCGAGCAAGTCCCGTCCGTTCCATGCCATCAGGATGGACCTGCCATGTTGTGCGTGAACGCTTTCGCTCTCACTCCCGCCTCCCTGGATATGAGAGACACTAATACGCATCAGTGTCATTTGTACGATTCGACAAGTCCATCGACCCAGAGAAAATGGTACATCAGCTTTGCACTGAAGCCTATGCCAACCCGGAAAAGAAACGGTCCAGATGGATCCAGCGCATGACTCCTGCAGTTTCTGTTCGCAAAACTCTCAGTGTCGACCTCGAGGCCTTTGCGCGAGAAATTCTCAAACCTCATTTTCATTCTGGGGGACCCCCTAAGAAGGTGCGTTCCAACTCTAACGATAAGATTTGTGGCTATGGACGCCTGCTGACGGAGCTCTTTCAGTACGCCATCCGACCTGTGGTGAGAAGCAACAAGAAGTTCAACCGGGACGTCGTCATTAAAACCGTTGCGGACGTCGTGGGACCCGAACACCCCGTTGATCTTACGAATTATGACTTAATTATCCTTGTCACAGTGGTCCAGGTCAGTCTCTATTATGGACGGAGCTTCGAGTTAGTCCACCCAGCCCATGACTGACAATCAACTCGCAGAACGTAATTGGCATGAGCGTTGCCGGGAGCGACTATGATCGGTTAAAGAGGTATAACCTGGCCGAGTTGTACGATCCCGCACCAAAAGCTGAGCCCACCGAATCCCAGGCCTAAGGTTTAGGATTAATCCAACATCCAGAAATTTTCTTGGATCATGGATGGCCTGTGGCTGCGCCTCTCAGCCGATGATAGCAAAAAGCAAGAAAAATGTATATACAGAGTTCGTGGTATCCTTACTAACCGACTACATTTCCTTCGATGAAATCGTCGATGAGCCACATAATGTATAGTGCATGCCCATGGTGCGCAGGCTGTAATCAAGATATAGGGAGGGTCCAGGAGGTGAGGGCCGGGATCCCCCATCTCCCCGCCGCAGGGACGGTCCGCCTGGGAAATAGCCTGATTCAAGAAGGGGAAGAACAGGGTTACTCAAAGTTTCCCCAACACCACAATGTATCAACCACCACTGTCTGGTGCCCAGCATCTCCCCCACTGCAACACCGGCAGTCGGTCAGTCCAGCCTGGGCCGAAGCCTTTCGGTAAAGCCGACCGCTGATTGGACGGCCGCATGGTCCCTGCATCGCGCCTTCCTCAGAGCGGGAGCCTTAGGCGAGTCTGCGTCTCCATGGAACAGGATTATTATTCAGCTTCACCTCCCCGGCTATACGCGCACAGTTCCCCCGTTCTTGAACCGCTTGTACATGTCCCGGGTTCGCCTTCTCCAATTTAGACAGTGGAGATCGCGGACGGATGTCCTCTTCGGTTCTAAGGGGTTCGGAGATGGAGTTGCCGCTTCGCTTAATGTTCTCAAATACGGGATATGCTCCATGTCCTCGTCACGACATTATTTATCATCTGACTCGCAAAAACGAGATAGATCAACCGAATTCCCTGTTCCTGCCATGTCAGTGTCTGGGTTGGGCAAGTTGATTGCCTAGGAACTTGCATCTCACTTCTGACCCATGTCCGCCTTCCATTGTATCCCGGGGTTTCTTGGGCCCCTCCCAAGGCTACAGGAATGTTTGCTATCTGTTTATATTGCTTACTCGCCCACAGCCTTGTAACATATCTGGCGAGCATGCGAGCAGTGAGCACTGGTGCTTCAAATCTCAAGCATTGCTATAATGTCACCTTATTTTTCCCCTCCCTTCATCTCTGACGCCGAACCTTCCCACCCCCTCGGCTCGATCCTCCGGCGCCACTTTCCGCCTCCGGTGCATATCAAAGGAATCTACCCACTACAGGGCCACCTGCACTCGATCAATCGTCTTGTACTATCAAACGGGGTCCAACTGCTTGTGAAGTGCTCCCCGGGGTCGACGACCCCCCTCTTAAGACGAGAACAACTGTTGCTCGAGACCGAAGCTCGAGCTCTTTCCATCCTAGAACAAAGTGGGATCCCGTATATCCCAACTTTCGTACATTACGGTCTCCAAGGGGGCTCGCTCGGGTCTGCCTTCTTAGTACGACACTATGTTATCGGAGCGACATTGCAGGAGATGGAGGCCCAGCTTACCGTGCAAGACCGGGACAATGTCAACAGGGCACTTGGCTTACTGGCTCGCCGAATTGGACAAAACGTTTCCAGCACTTTTGGGTCCCTAGACCAAGTAGCCTGTGGATCTGGAAAACAGTCGTGGCGAGAGGCGTTCGTTACGCTCTTGGAAGGCATTCTTCGGGACTCCGAAGACGCCTTCGTTCATCTCCCATATACTGAGATCAGACATCAAGTTCGTCGGCTGTCCCCTGCACTCGAGGAGATTACATCACCGCAACTAGTGATAGTTGGGTTAGGCCGACCATCGCAAGTCCTGTTGGATCCGGGGTCCAAGGAGTTAGCGGGACTCATCGGGCTTGAGAACGCCCTGTGGGGTGACGTATATATGGCGGAGATCTTTGAGGAGCCGTCTTCGGCGGTGCTGGAAGGCTTTGGATCCCGATTGACAGAAAGCGAGGCCCAGGCGGCCCGACAGTTGCTGTATGTACTCCGTAATTTCCAGGTGATAGCGGTCTATGCGCTGACTGTCTGTCCTTAGTTATGCTTGTTATCGTGCTATTCACCGAGTTACGATACACTACTACCGAGATCAGGGAATGGCAGCTGAGATTGATGCCAGGAGAAGATTAACGTCGGTTCTAGCCGAGATGGCTACCATATGAGTTGAGAGGCGGGACCTTCAAAACAATAAAGCAGGGATTGATAGGTTGAAATTCGGTCTATCATGAGTGAGAAGGTCCAGACGGATTATCAGATGCCCAGAGGCAATCCGCCTTCAATGAAGGTCTCAGACTGGAAATGATGACCATTCCCGGCAGCGACAAACAGCGGTGTTCTGCCATCAATCTACATAATCCCGTAGGCAAGAGAATAGTCGAATGCAATATTTGTCATTCCGGCATAGACATTGTCTTGGCAGGACACCGCGATTGCTGCTGCCTACCAGGGCCGGCGAGTCCCGTAGAGTTCCGCACCGTGAGGGTTACCTGTGGTTCTGGGAGACCAACCATACCACTCAGGAACCCGCCCTGGAAATGTGGAAATGTAGGGGCGTGGAACACGGCATATTGTGCATTACCAACATATGTTGACTGTTTCCAATTCTCATTGGGAATACAGAATCGAGTCTAACGTCACCGTAATCTTCGCAGCTGCAGCGGAGAGGGCCTAAGCCCGAGCCAGGCAGTAAGGCAGGGACCCATTCATCCTTGCGGGCGGGGCAGATCGGCCGCCCTGCAACAACGAATGGCGTCAACCGTTGGTCTCCCGCGGCCCTGCGCTTAATTCCAACCTCTCGTGGGGTCGCCGTTCTGCACCGTTGACCGTTGACCAGTATTCTTATCTATTGTCGATTTCCGTATCCTGAGTTACCTTGTGACAACCTCTTCCTCTCCCCCCTCTGCAGCCCTTCCCCGGCACCATCCCTTCCGTCCCGTGTCCGTGAGAATGGCGCATTTTCTGCGGGGAAAGCAGGCCGGCATCCAGAAGGACTTCTCCGAGAACCTGTCGCCGGACTTGTTCGCCCTCGATGATGTATGTCTGAGCAACAACTGATCGCTTTCAACTGAAGGCATACTGACCGTCTGCCTTTCCTTCTAGTTCGCTCGATGTGGTATAAACTCCCGGATCAGTGCGATCGCGTACGATCCCGTCCAGTCGCTCCTCGCTGTCGGAACCAGCGACACGCAGTTCGGTCACGGTCAGATCTACGTTTTCGGTCAACGACGAGTGTCGGTGGTCTTCTCGCTGCCTCGCAAGGCGTCCGCCAAGTTCATTCAGTTCTGCGCAGACAAGCTGGTCAGCGTCGACTCGAAAAGCGAAATCAGCATTTTCTCCCTCGAGACTAGACAGACTCTCGTCTCTTACGCCCCTCCGAGCCATGCCAGCGCCTTACTGACGGATCCGAGTCTCGATTATGCTTTCATTGGTCTACAGAATGGTAGGGAATGAACGGTATACGAAAAGAGGCATCATCTTTGCTGACGAGGTCTACAGGCGACATCATTGCCTACGATCTTGACCGTGAGACCCTGACCCCGTTCCGAGTGCCCAACCTGTGGGCTCAGCGCAATCCCCGTGTTCGCCTTTGTCCGGTCCTCAGTCTCAGTTTCTCGCCCCGCGATATTGGAAAAATATTGGTTGGATATCCGGAAGGTGCTGTGACATTCTCATTCAAACAGAACGTCGCACAGAAATATTTCGAATATGAAGTCCCTCCGGGTGCACTGGGTGGAAATGGTGACGTCCCGTCTCCAGACTTGCGAAAGCCTCGACTGACCAGGGCTCTGTGGCACCCAAACGGTATCTTCGTTTTGACGGTGCATGATGACAACAGCCTGGTGTTCTGGGACTCTAAGGATGGCCGCAAGATAATGGCGAGATCGATTGAGAATCCCAACATTGACCAGCCAGGCGTAGGCCCCGAACGACCTCTTTCGGCTGGCACAACCGGGCTCAAGGACCCGATCACTCAGGTTGCATGGTGTGTTAAGGACAACGGGGATGACAGTGGACTCCTGATCGCTGGTGGCCGACCTAAGGCTGAAGCCAACAAAGGACTAACTTTCATCGACCTGGGCCCGTCACCCAACTATCAAACTTCTTCATGGGCTATCATCGCAAAACACTTCGAGACCCCCAAGCGCAGTGCACTCCTACCTACTCCTCCGGGCGCAGAGGTAGCCGACTTCTGTCTTATTCCGCGCAGCACCCCTTACTATGCCGGTGGCCATGATCCTATCGCATTGATCACCCTTTTGTCCTCAGGAGAAGTGATTACGATGAGCTTCCCCAGTGGCCATCCGATTACCCCTACCAACATGGTCCACCCTCACCTCAGTTTTGTGCACCCGTTCGTGACCAAAGCTACTCTTACTCCAGTGGACCGCTCTGCCTGGTTGGGCCTGAAGGAAAAGAGGTCACAGGGGCCCAAATTCTTGCTCGGAGGAGCAGAGTCGAAGAAAGCCCTGAAGCGTTTTGAAGATCGCAATGTCCTTACAACATCTCATGCCGACGGAACTCTTCGCATCTGGGACGTCGGCAACGACGACGAGATCGAGAACGGAGACGTCATCCAGGTGGATTTGGCCCGCGCTGTTGGCCGTGTTGGCAATGTTGAGGTGACTGAGATGTCCTTGGGAGGCTCAACCGGGGAGCTTTCAGTCGGTCTCAGGACCGGTGAACTTGTCGTCTTCCGATGGGGAAGCAACCAGAACTTTGGCCGTGAGGAGCCTCCGGGTGCCAATGAGGGGCCTGGAACCTTGACCAAGATCACTCACCGGGTCGACCCTGGGCTGAAACAGGGTATTCTTCCGCTGACACTTTTGAACATGCAACAGGGCCCGGTGACTGCCCTCAAACACAGCCAAGTGGGCTTTGTTGCAGTTGGATTCGAAGGTGGCAGTCTAGCGATCATTGACTTGCGTGGGCCGGCCGTTATTCACACCGCACACTTTGCAGAATTGTTCAAGGTAAACAAGCGGAGCAGCATCTTCACTAAGCGCAGCTCCGAGAGCCCTGCGCCTGAATGGCCCACCGCCATTGAATTTGGTGTGCTGACCCTAGAAGGCGAAGGTAAGAGCAATCCCACAGGTCACATGCAGTGGGCATACTGACGTCCGGTAGATTATTCCAGTATCTGCTGCTTTGTGGGTACTAACAGAGGTAACCTGGCAACCTTCAAGATTTTGCCGGCGGAAAATGGAAGGTACATGGCGACGTTTGTCGGAACAAGCTTGCTGGATGACAAGGTCATCAATATCATCCCCATCAACGCAGACGACGGCGGCCTCGCGTTGGCCACACCCAAAGCTGTCGGAGGCCTTAGAAACGGAGCCCGCGTGAACGGTGTGGTCATTGCTGTGACCGTTTCCGGATGCCGAATCTTCAAGCCGGCAACTTCCAAGGGGGCTCATAGATCCTGGGATGACTACTTGTGCGATTCGGCAGCGGTTGTTAAGACCGAAGCCCGCGGCTACAGTATTGTCGGACTCTTCGGAGACGGTCACACTCGAGCTTTCTCGATCCCTGGTCTGAAAGAAATCGGGTCCAGTCCAATCAATCAGATTGCTGATATGAGACGCCTTTCGGACGCTACGATCTCCTCCAATGGCACCGTTCTGGTCTGGACAAGTCCTTCTGAAGTAGGATTGTTCAGTGTCTGGGGAGGCGGACATGGGCTGTACGTGACGCATGTTATATTAAGAATTGAACGAAAGCTGACCAATGGATAGCCGACCTTCTGAAGACCAGCTCTACAACCCGCAAGCCGTCATTCCCCCACGGCCCACGATCACCAACATCCAGTGGATTTCGGGCACTCAATACATCTCTCCGGCTGATATGGACATTCTGAGTACGTGACCAATGCTCTCTGCCTGAAGCCAGCTGACTGATCTTTAACAGTCGGAGGCCCTGATCGGCCGCCATCGAAGCGGATGCAGGAGCAGATGCGGTTGGACGAAGAAGAGCGGCGGAAGGCTTTCCGGGAAGGCCGAACTCCGACTAATCAGTCCTCGAGCAGTAACCAGGAAGGATACTGGTCTTACATGCAACGTCAAGTGAACGAACGCACCGAAAGACTCAACTTTGCGGGAGACAACATGGAGCGGCTGGAGGAGAGCAGTAGCAATTTCGCCCGCGACGTGAACAAGTTTGTTCAGAACCAGAAAAAGAAAGCAGTTCTTGGTGGTATGTATTCCCACCGGCTGAAGTTGACACAAACTAATAGAGATACAGTGCTCGGCTCGAAGTTTGGCCTCTAAGATGCGATGCTTACTATCGTCGGACTTGATGCAGCGATGAGCCTTATGATACAACATTAGAACCATTATTTCATACATACCCATAGTCTGTTGGCGTTATAATCCTTCTTCTTTCTTCTAAATAGGCATGAGTCGGAATTCAAGGTGTCTATCTAACCAACATATAATCATCTTCGGTCCTTTGCCCATGAACCAAATAATCACTCTGTTTTACCTGCACCTACCCACCATATATCTTACTGCCTATCTAGTCCCTAGATACTCTAAATCCATCACCAATCTACACAGGCACATCCCCCCCATCCCCAATTCCATCCCCATCCTTAATCCCAGTAACTCATTCATCTATCCATTCATCAACACTCTAGAAAACAATAACCACAACAATCACCCACAGACAAACCCCCCTCTTCCTATCAGTCAATCTATTAATCACTATACATCACTCATCACTAAATGCAAGGAACTAAACCCCCACTCACTCACTCACTAACCAATTCCCTTACCTCCCTTCCTTTCCCTCTACAATCACTTCCCTTCACCGCAGATTCACATCCTACCACTATCTCTATTAAAAGAGCATATTATCACTCCACAAATTCATCCATCAATACTCAAATACTATCAATAGCCAAATAGCCAAAGAACTTGTTTACCCCGGAATTATGGCTGGCATTTCTTCCGGGAAAAGGGGGGGGGGGAGGAGGAGGGGAAATAGTACTGCAGAGACCGTTAATCTGCACTACACTACACTACCCACTGCAAATGAACCTGAAAAGTGACTAGTCAGGTTACACTGCAGAAGCGGGAACTATGTATATACTCCGTATACCGGCATATGTAGGAGAATTATGCAGGAGGTGGGGACGGTTGTTGTTGTTTTCCTTGATGAGGGTGCTTTGGACCTTGCGTTTATACAATGTATGTATGCGGTTAGGGATGGATGGATGGATGGATGGGGCATGGGGCATGGGGCATGGGTCGGTTGCTATGGCATGGGGTTTGTCAGGGAAGTTTCCTTGCATTTTGCGTTGGTAGCGGTGAGGAATGTGGAGGTGGAGAAACAGTATCTAGGAAAGAGGTACTGCTACGGAGGACTTCGTATACAATCAACATGAGGATATGGTTCGGATTATGTTCGTTCTATGTCATAACTAATTACTGCAAGATTGAGGTGATGATAGATGGATGTCATGAAACGTTGCAACCCAATCATAAAATCATTCGACGGATAAGAATAAGAAAAATATACCAGCCCCAGCGTGTAGTCGGGACGAAAACGGGTCCATCTAGTGAACCATCAGCTCGGGCTGCTGATGAGCCGCCGGGTTGTTACTGGCGCCTCCAGCCGACTCATCCTTCGGCTCGGTATCATCGCCCATCTCGACGTCGTCGTCGCCATCATCGCCCTCCTCCTCATCGAGCTCCTCGTCGTCCTCATCACTCTCATCCTCAATATCCTCACTCTCGGCATCCGAGATGTCTTCCTCCTCTTCCTCCTTGACAGCAGGGCCTTCGGTTCCCTCCATGTCTTGATCCTCGCCCTTGGGCGCCTCGAGTTCCCGGAGCTCGTTGAACAGGGCGGCTTCGAGCTCGGCTTCTTCCGCGCCATACGCAGCACTGTCGTCTCCTTCCTGGTCGGCTTCGGGCTGGTCGGGGGGGTATTCAGCGGGGGCGGATTCCTCCGAGTCCCTAGAGCGGTATGCATTAGCTTTAGGTAACAGACAGGAGAATGAAGGCACTTACCACTTGATCGCAAATCGGGTTACCCTGGGCTTTTCAGCCAGGATGTTCCGACGAATGCGCTCGATGATCGGCCGGGCCGGCGGCTGCTCCATCAACTCCTCGGAATCATATTCATTGTTTACATAGTATCCGACGCGGACGAATTCTCTGCCATCGTAGCTGCAAGTGAGAAGAATCACGGTCACGCCGAGAATCTCGGAAGTAGGAATGCGCTTGAGGTCTGGCGGATCGGCCTCGAAGATGAATTTGTTGACACCGACGGGAATGGGTCCGACCAGAAGGGAATCGAGTTCCTGGTCGTACTCGGAGCTAGTCAAGCCAGTTAGCAGGTATTCAGTGCGGTGTAGTTGAGGGTAGCTTACGAAGTTGCCGAGCCGACGTAGGTGAGCTTCCACTCCAGATCTAGAGACCGTTAGCGGCGGCAATTAAGCTGACGCGGGGTTGCCAGCCTACCTTTCTGGAGCTGTTCAAGACACTCGAAAGTGATCTCGAATTGATAAGGGTCGAGGAAAGAGGCTGGATTGTTGACAATCTTGACCCCGAGGAGAGAGACAACCGACATGGCTTTGAAGGAGGGGCGTCAAGCCTGATGGAGAGTGTAGGTAAAGGATTAAGGGAAGAGGGGGAATGAGGTCGAGGCAGATATGTAGAAGAGAGAAATCAAGGTAGGAGTGAGGCGACCGGGTGATATATAAAGATTAGAAGGGAGGAGAGAAAAGCAGTGCTTTCTCATGGAGGGGATGCAGCCAGCAGGAGAGCCCACAAGCTAAGGCAAACAAACCGATTAATTAAACCAGCGGAAGGAGGATCGACGACGCGCCGCGTGTGGGCACGTATCGCGGTACGTACCTGCTAACTAGTAGTCCGGCGGCTGACCGCCTAGGTCACGTGCACCGCCGGGCAAGGCCTGCCTGGAAACTAACAACGGCCTCCCATCCATCCATTCGAATTGTCGTCAGAGTCGCTGATCCACCAGGGGCCTCTTCATCGCCCGCTCCGGTCCTTAGGCAGATTCTGTCCCTCCCCTGACTTATCCCCTCTCTTTGTCGGACTTGAACCCTCTCTCTCCTCGACTCGTTACTCTTCGTCGTGGGTGCTCCCCGAGTGAGTCAATGAATGATTCATCGCTCATTCTGCGCCTCCCCATTCAGAACCTCGTCGGCTAATCAAACTCAGGTCCCTGTTCATCTGTTCCCCCTCACCTCCCACCACCCACCTTTCACCCCCCTTATCACGCAACGCACACTATCTCTGTCGCAATTGAAACCACCTTCTACGGTCATGGCTGAAGATGATGCTGAGCAGGCCTTTTTTCAGGCTCAGGCAATGAATGCGGATTCTGTGGACTATAAAGCCGTTGAAGAGCAGGGTGCAGCAGATAGTTCAGATTCAGATGATTATGATCCTTCAAAACCACTGCCAGATCAGTATTCTGGTTCCTTGACAGACTCCAAGCAGACCGAAAATGTTCCTTCTGATGCCCCTTCTGATGCTTCTCCCGATGCTTCTCCCGATGATACTCCCTCCGACCCCAACCCCCCCGAACAGACTACTTCCCTGCCTCCCCCTGAATCAGACCCGAGTCAGCCAGCTGGCACTGTCTACCCTTCCCAGACACCTTCACGAGCTGAGTCTCAGGCATCAACATCGGGCCCCGCCACCGGGGCCTCGGTTCCGCCGAAGACCAGGACAATTGGGGGCTTTGTGGTCGAGGATGAGGATGAGGATGAGGCGGGTGATGCAGATTATGAGCCACCAGCTGTACTAGGTGTCGAAGACATGAATACTATACCTTCGCAACCCATTGGAAATGCAATTCAAGCTACTTCTACCCCTGATGTATCATTGGATGAAGCTGTGCAGGAGTCTGCCAGCGCGAAGAATGTCCCTAATAGTTCTTTCCCTGCTGCTTCTAAAAATGATGCGTCTGTGACTTCGGGTCAGGATCTGTACAGTGCACGTTCTGCGCCACCGGAGAATGCGCAGGAAACGACCACCTCGACGCCCGAGTCTCCCTCAACCGCGAGAGGCCGGTTACCTCACGATCGCGTTGGCATTCTGGAAGACCGAATCCAAGAAGACCCCCGTGGTGACATTCCCGCTTGGCTGGAACTGATTAACGAGCACAGAAGTCGCAATAGGATTGATAATGCACGCGACGTGTATGAGCGTTTCTTGAAGGTCTTTCCATTTTCTGTAAGTGTCTCCGACGTCTTGCGACACCTTAGAGGAAGAGATCAACTCACTGTTGACAGGCTGAGCAATGGGTGGCCTATGCGACAATGGAGTCCGAACTTAATGAGCTCTTCCGTCTGGAGCAAATCTTCAACCGGACTCTGTTGACCATTGCGGACGTGCAACTCTGGACCGTCTACCTGGACTACGTTCGTCGCCGCAATCCCCTCACCACAGACACCACCGGGCAAGCGAGACGGATCATTTCTTCCGCCTATGAGCTGGCGCTTCAGCACATCGGTATCGACAAGGATTCGGGGTCGATCTGGTCGGATTACGTCCAATTCATCCGCTCCGGGCCCGGAAACGTTGGAGGCTCCGGATGGCAGGACCAACAAAAGATGGATCTGCTTCGCAAAGCTTATCAACGGGCCATTGCGGTTCCCACCCAGGCTGTCAATACTCTCTGGAAAGAGTATGACCAGTTTGAGATGGGCTTGAACAAACTGACGGTATGGCCCCATCAAGCACCTGTGAATCCCTGGTTTAACACTCTTGATTGAATAGGGCCGTAAGTTTCTGCAGGAGCAGTCTCCGGCGTATATGACTGCCCGCAGCTCTTTCACCGAACTGCAGAACATCACCAGGGATCTGAACCGGACCACGCTGCCAAGGCTGCCTCCTGTCCCCGGCTCGGACGGTGATATCGAGTTTCTGCAACAGGTGGAGATCTGGAAACGCTGGATCCAATGGGAGAAGGGAGACCCGCTTGTTTTGAAGGAGGAAGACATGGCTGTTTTCAAGACACGTGTGGTTTATGTCTATAAGCAAGCACTTATGGCTCTCCGGTTCTTGCCCGAGCTGTGGTATGAAGCGGCCGAGTTTTGCCTCCATAATGACATGGAGACCGAAGGAAATGAGTTCTTGAAGCATGGCATAGATGGTAATCCTGAGAGCTGCCTGCTCGCCTTCAAGCGTGCCGACTGGCTGGAAATCAACTCCGAATCTGAGCAGGATCCCGTCAAACGCGGTGCTAAGGTCAGAGAACCCTATGATAGACTGCTGGACTCGCTTTACGATCTCATCGCCAAGGCGCGTACTCGGGAGTCCCAAGACGTTGCTCATCTCGAGGAGACCTTTGCAAAGATGAACCCCGAGAAGCAACCAACCAGGAATGAAGATGACGATGATGACCAGGGCGAGACCAAGGCAAGAGAGTCCGTGAAGAACGCGCAGATTGAGGCGGTTCGACAGGCACATGCGATCCAAATCGGCATTCTATCCCGGACGATTTCCTTCGCCTGGATCGCTCTTATGCGCGCAATGCGTCGTGTTCAGGGTAAGGGTAAGCCTGGAGAGATGCCTGGCTCGAGACAGATCTTTGCGGATGCGCGCAAGAGGGGTCGCATCACCAGTGATGTCTACATCGCCAGTGCTCTCATTGAGTACCATTGCTACAAAGACCCCGCTGCAACGAAGATCTTTGAGCGGGGTGCGAAGCTGTTCCCGGAAGACGAAAACTTTGCCCTGGAATATCTGAAGCATCTCATCGACATTAACGATGTTATCAGTAAGTCTAATATTAAATGCGCGTGAGACGTTGCTGACGACTGCCAGATGCTCGAGCTGTGTTCGAGATGACCGTGAGAAAGTTGGCCTCCAATCCGGAGAATGTGCAAAAGACGAAGCCGATCTTTGCATTCCTTCACGAGTATGAGTCGCGGTACGGTGACCTGGTGCAAGTGATCAACCTCGAGAACCGCATGCGCGAACTGTTCCCGGAAGACCCCACGCTGGAGCAATTTGCGCACCGATACTCGAGTCCTAACTTTGACCCCACCGCTGTGCGACCCATCATCTCCCCATCTCAGACGCGGCCCAAGATGGCCTACCCGGCAGAGCAAGTCATGTCCCGTCATGCTACACCTACTGCGCGATACCAGGACGCCTCGGCGACCAACTCGCCCAAACGGCAATTGGATGACTTTGACGACGACATGGGTCGGCCGCGCAAGTTTGTCCGTGCCGAATCGCCTCTCAAGACGACGCAGAGGCGCCAGCTGGACCAGAAGCGCACGCAGCAGACGATGGGTGGCCAGTCTGGGTCCCAGTTCCGGTCGCAAGGATCACCGGCACCGTTGCCGCGCGACATTGTTTTCCTTCTGAGCATTATTCCTTCAGCTTCCTCGTACAACGCGGGGAGATTCTCTCCAGAGAAAATGGTTGACCTGATCCGGAGGATTGATATGCCCAGTTCGATTTCCCAAATCCCGCTTCCGCGGGGACTGAACGCCGGGCAGACGCCCCAGGCATTTCCAGGTATGCCTATTCAATCGCTGCCCTCGAGGCAACTGTGACGTCCGAGCAATGCGACTAATCCCGGATGGCAGGCATGTACCGTTCATAATCTCTTGATGATATAGACCTTCCGTCACCACCCTTCAAGCGCAAATTCTCCCTCTCAACCTAGCGCCGTATCTTGTTCTTCTTCACGCGCTCGACCGCATGTATTGCCGCAGCGTGGTACTGGAGTGTATAGTTGTTGGATGTTGCTTGCATTTGATGAACCGGCGTTTCCTTGGTTGGCAATCACGATGAGACTTTTGGCGGCTGGGTGATGCATCATTATTCGACTTTGAGATTGGTGATTCCATTTCCGCACTGGGTGGGTTTTGTATATTTTAGTGCCGTTCAGCATGGAATGAGAGTGAGCCGGTTACCGATGTCTACTTTTCTTTTTATAACGATGAATATCAATCTTTTACTGTTGATCCGAGTAGCTGCATACATAGTATAGTCGAGCATCCTAATTGGTCTGATCCTATGATGGTCTAACGGCATGTAGTTAGTGTAGTGGTACTCCACCGCCCTGCGCGGTCTACTTTTTCTGCCGCGAAATTTGGAGAAAATCGAGCAAAAGTCGGCCTCGATCATCTTCACCAACCATCATGGCACCCTCCCATTCCCCCGAACCCGTCATGGACGAGACTCACGATACCTCCGATTCAGAGGTCGAACAGACCGACCTCCAATCGCGCGCTCCCAAGAGGAGACGTCTCTCGGAGTCGTCCAACGACTCCTACGTTGCCCCGGCGCCGCTCCCCACTCTCTCCCGTATCAAAAAGAAAGAAGCAAAGCAGGAGAAACCCGCGACGGAGGACAAGGACGAGCCCGTCCTGATCAAGGATGCGCTGGAGATTGGCCTACAAGATGCGCAGTCCTCCTTCACCTCCCTCAAAGTGGCACCCTGGTTGATCGGTGCCCTGACGACCATGGCCGTCCGCAAACCCACCGCCATTCAAAAAGCATGTATCCCAGAGATCCTGAACGGACGAGACTGCATTGGAGGAAGCCGGACCGGTTCCGGTAAAACCATCGCCTTCGCCGTGCCCATGCTGCAGAAGTGGGCAGAGGACCCCTTTGGCATCTTCGGCCTCGTCCTCACCCCAACCAGGTAAGCATCTAGATTCACCCCTTCCCATGCTCGCATGCGCTCATCGAAGCCAATTTTCCAGAGAACTCGCCCTGCAAATCTACGAACAAATGAAAGCCATCTCCGCCCCGCAAAGCATGAAACCCCTCCTCATCACCGGAGGTACCGACATGCGGCCCCAGGCCCTCGCCCTCTCGCAACGCCCACACATCGTCATCGCCACCCCCGGCCGTCTCGCCGACCACATCAACACCTCCGGCGAAGACACCATCCGCGGCCTCAAGCGCGTGCGCATGGTGGTACTCGATGAAGCCGATCGCCTCCTCGCCCCGGGACCCGGCAGCATGCTCCCGGACGTCGAAACCTGCCTCTCGGCCCTCCCCCCCTCCAGCGAGCGCCAAACCCTCCTCTTCACAGCAACCCTCACGCCGGAGGTGCGCGCCCTGAAATCCATGCCCCGCTCCGCCGACAAGCCCCCAGTCTTCGTGACGGAAATCTCGACCGAAAACAAAAGCTCCATCCCCCCGACCCTCCAACAAACCTACCTCAAAGTCCCCATGACCCATCGCGAGGCCTTCCTCCACGTCCTCCTCTCCACCGAAGGCAACGCCACCAAACCCGCCATCATCTTCTGCAACCACACCAAGACCGCCGACCTGCTGGAGCGCATGCTCCGTCGGCTCTCCCACCGCGTCACCTCCCTCCACAGTCTGCTGCCGCAGTCCGAGCGTAACTCGAATCTCGCTCGCTTCCGCGCCTCCGCGGCTCGTCTGCTCGTGGCCACGGACGTCGCGTCCCGTGGTCTGGATATCCCGTCAGTAAGTCTGGTAGTCAACTTCGACGTGCCCCGCAACCCAGACGACTACGTCCATCGCGTTGGTCGTACAGCGCGTGCCGGCCGACACGGTGAGGCAGTGACGCTGGTTGGCCAGCGCGACGTGAGTCTGGTGCTGGCGATTGAGGAGCGCGTAGGTCGGCAAATGGAGGAGTGGACCGAAGAGGGCGTCAGCATTGAAGGTCGCATTGTGCGCACGGGCGTGCTCAAGGAAGTCGGCGAAGCGAAGCGCGAAGCCGCGGGCGAGATCGAAGAGGGACGCGACATATTGGGTCGGAAGAGGAATAAGCTAAAGAAGGTTCGGTGATGCCTTAGCATTAGACCTCAACGAAGTAAAATAGAATTGTACATATCTCATTTCTTACAAATTATTCCCGTTCGAAGTGTGTTCAATAGTGGTATCATTGACTCTATCCATTGCATTGCATTATCCCCAGCAATGGGATCTACTTGTATGTATCAGCCCTTCCCATCTACCATCTATATAAGATCCATCCATGCATGATACGATACAACTTCTAATCCACCACCCCCTCCTCCCGCCAAAACGATAGTGAAAGCATCACCCACTCCAAACCTCCAACCCCTCACTCTGATTTTGCTTCGGGGTTTGATCCCCCGTCTTCATCAACTTCAACAACCCATCCACTGCATCCCCCTTTTGCGATAACCGACGTTGTCTCTCCTCGGGGTGTGAGTCCATTTCCTCATCACCTGCCATCTCTGTCTCGACTTCTACCTCCTCGTCCACACGCACCATCTCCTCCGTAGTAAGCGTACTTCTCCGTCTTGACACCGTTGCTGGCGGACTACTCAATTGCATAGGGGATGGTATCCGATGGTGGGATTTCTGGGTGGGTGTTTTCATGGGGTCCTCGTCTTCATCCTCCTCTTCCTCTTTCCGTGCTTGTTCGGGGTGTGGTTGTTGGTCTGCTTGAGAAGCAACCGGCGTGGTGGATAGGGGCGGCGAGGAGAGGCCTGAGACGTGCAATGCCGACGAGGGCGCGGAGGGGGTAATATGTGAGGTGAATTGGGTAACGCGGGGGGTCGTCAAGCCGGGATTCGTTTTCGAATTGGAAGAAGAGGCAGAGGAGGATTGGGCGGCGGTGGAGCGTTGTTCATGGGGGAGGGACAGACGGGGGTATTTGCGACTGTGGGCTTCGAGGTCGGAGAGACGGCGGTCGAGTTGGGGGTCGTGAATGTGGCGCATGGCGGTTTGGAGGCGGGTGCGGAGGAGGGTTGCTTTCTGGGATGTGTTAGTGGTTGTATTGAGGGGTTGGAAGTGGAGGGATTGGGGATGGGGGAGGGTACCTCTTGGATGAAGCGTTTGCGAAATGCTGGGTCATTGGCAGGGGGGTCGGAGTGTGTTGTTACTGCTGCTGCGGTGGTGGTGGGTGGTGGTGAGACGGGGTGGGTATCTTGGTGGTGTTGTTGTTGTTTGTCCGAATCGAGCAGTAGTGTTTCTGATTCCGTCGCGTGGGATTGCGATAGGGTCTGCTGGGTCGGGTTAATCTTGGGTACGTGCATTGACTGCATCAGAGTACATACGGGAGAGTCCTGCTGGATGTCATCCTGCACATCCTGAGATGCGTCTGGCCGCGACGGGGCCGGCGCGCTGGGTTGGGTGCTACTCGGGGCCTCGCTATCCACCTGGTCGATGGAACGTTTCTGGCCCGCGAACAACGGCGAGCGAAGCAGTTTCTTGGGAGAGGAGGGCGTCTCCAGGAAAGGGCGTTTGAGGGGCGAGACAGAAGCGTGCCGATGGTGGGCCGGGGACAGGCACGCGTTGGCGGGCTTTTCCCCGAGAATTCGCCTGCCGTCTTTGACGGGGCTGGGATGTGATGAGGCCATGGTTGAGGGCATGTTCAGGAGATGCTCCGTGGGAGAGAAGCTCTAAGAAGGGTGGTATCGTGTTGTGGACAAGATCAATGTTGGGGTTAAGTTGAGGGGAGGGCCAGGATGAGGGCCAGGCAGTAAGTACTAGTAAGTAATAGTAGGCCAGTCACGATGGCACGCGCCGCACACACGTCGTCCAGACTGAGGATCACGAGGAGCTGCAATTGATCCGAAAGGTTGAGCAGAAGGAAGCAAGGAAGAAAGAGAAAGTCACCGGAGGGGTCAGAAGACTCAATGGCCGCGAGTGGTGGAGAGATGGGGGGAAACGAGGCGCGTGGGCATCCGCGTCGAGAGGGCCGGTGGTCCCCTTGCGGTGAAACTAAGCGTTGTCCAGCCTCATAGCGTGTCCGGCCCTCCACGCGTCGCCCACAATCCACTCTCCCGTCCCTTTCATGACGTCTCGACCCGGGGAGTTTGGTCTTAAGCATGCAATGCTCCAATGCCAGTGCCCAATAACCAACGCTTGATCGATTGAATGCAGTCCACGGATTTCCAGGCTGGGTTCCACCGCATCGCGAATGAGATCCGCGCAGGCAGCGTCCACATTCCTGACGCCCTGCAAATGACTGGCTGCAGTGCTTGGCGTCCATCTACCAGCCCATGTTGTTGATCTGGGTCAGTGTTAGGGTGATTCACCGCTTCGATCCAGTTGCTTGACGCGATGTTGGTTCTTTGTGCCTGCTCCCTTGGGCGCGCGATCTTGAATGGGGCAGACCAATACGAGTAGGAACCTCCACCACTGCAGCTTTATGATAAACCTAGAGCGTATAGAACTGTATTCATTGGAATGAAGTTAGTGAACGTCTGGTCCATGGCGATTTGGCGTCCATCTGGACTCCACCACGACGCGCTCGCGTAAAAGCTACTACTCAGTTGCTGAACATTGTGTTCTTGCTACCTTTGGGCACCATATAAAGAAACTCAGGCAGTATGGCAGTAACTAGTGGCGGAGAAATAAGATTATTGCATATTCTGCTGTACAGCACATGCATTGATACTTTGGCGGAGACATATTTGACACCAGAAGATCTCCGTTCCGCATGGCACAGTGTCAACTGAACGTTAAATCCAAACATGGAGACAAATGGAATTTCACTAGTCCTCATGACTATCAGACCGGTCGAATGCGCAGTGTACCCTCTGGAGCAATTTGAGCAGCCTAACCTTCTCCATGTCTATCCAAAAGAGGCACCGTATCGGGTTAGTGTCGTGTATTTGCGGGGTAGCTCGTTGCAATTTAGGTTAGCCTATTGCCCCTCTAGGATAACCTGGACTAGTGGGGTTAGCTCACAACAGCACGACAGTCCCTGATTGGTGGGGAGGATGCATCCTTCTCACCTGCAAGCACCAAACCAGGCAACTGACAGTTGAAGCCATTATCTTATCGCGTCTATACTCTACAGAGTACATAGCCAGGCAGGATAAAGCAGCCTGCTAGAAGTTCTTAGCTCTCTTCCATTCATGGGGCTTTTCTGAGCACATTTTCAGCACTGGCTGTCACAAGCAATGCTCACACCAGCGTGCCTCTGTCATCAATGCTCTCAAAGGCCCATTTGACGGACATGGCAGTCGGTTGGATCAGCTGAGCTACAAGCTGCTTTTTAAGGGCACACTCACTATTTGGCTGAAAATATCACTCAACCCCAGTGGTCTCAATATGCCGGCCGAGGGGACTCGACTGCGTATCGATCCTGTGTGGTGTCGATGCATCGCGAGAAGAGAAGTGGTGATCCAGCCACTGGACCGGAGGGTAATCCCACCGGCTGCGGGACCCCCCAGCTTTCCCCGCATTTTGGTCGCGAGCTCCTGCCATCGGAGTACAGAGAACCCAAGGAGTTTTTCAAGTCTTGCTTGGCTGTCCAGCACTGAATCTACTGGTGGCCAGTGCGGAAGCTCCTTGGCTGTCCCGACCTTGTCGATCGTTGCTCTGACCGTCGCGCATTGCATCATCCAGCCAGCCCGGCGGCTGGCGGACCAACTCTCTTCTCTTCCACCCTTTCCATCGGCCCTGGTGGATGGAACGCCTTCCCCCATCCTCTCCATCATCGGTTTTCTTTTCCTCCCTCCTCTATATATTGCTAGTCAGTCAGCTACTATCGATTGACCATGCGTCTATCCCTTGCGGTGCTGGCCACCGCCTTTCAGGCGACCGCCAGCATAGCATCCAGCTTGACGCCGCCGGTCCTGCCCCTGACCGTCCGCAATCCCTACCTGAGCACCTGGCTGGGAAATGCCCGAGACGTTCCCTGGTCCAAATGGCCCATGTTCTACACGGGCGAGGAGGTAGGCTTGTCTCTGATGGCCCACGTCCCCAGCACCGGCACCGTGTATCCATTGGTGGGCAAGCCACATGAATCCCTGTCCGGGTAAGCGCTGGCAGGCCACAATCCCTCCCGGCTCGTTTTCACTAACATACGCTGCTAGGTCGTTACAAGTCGACTATCCCACCTATCTCGGAGCCAACTACGACGCGTCTACCACCAATCTGACCTATCGCATTGACTCGGCTTCCCATTCCCTCGAGCTCACCGTTTCGTTCCTGTCCCCCATCACGCCCACATCGACTCTGCGGCAGTCGATCCCTGCGTCTTACATCACAATCCACGTCCACGGGGATGTAAGCGTGAACGTCTATATCGATATCAACGGGGCTTGGGTGAGCGGGGACACGGGAAGTCAGATCGCATGGGAGTATGACGGGTTCGATGCGAAAGACAACCAGCCCACCCTGCGGCGATGGCGATTCCAAAGGGAGACGGAGCTGCAGTTTTCGGAGATCCGCGATCGTGCCGAATGGGGCACCATTCATTTCACCGCGCCTGCCGTGCGTAGACCTGGTTACTCCCGTTGTCCTGCTGGTTTGCTAACCATCCATGTAGGACGTTCAATATCAGTCCGGCGAGGCTTCGGCTGTGAGACAGACGTTCTTGAATCAAGGAGTCCTGGACAACGTGAATGATCAGGTCTTCCGTGCCATTGGAGACCGAGAGCCGGTCTTTGCGTTCTCCAAGTCCTTTGTTTTCTCGCGGAAAGACGGCCGGAAGAGTGCCAGTGTGACCTTCAGCATCGCCCTGATTCAGAATCCCATTGTGCAGTATGCTTCTGCACGCGGTCTGACCCTGATGCGGCCGCTCTGGGAATCATGGTTCCCTAGCGTCGACTCACTCCTGAGCTTCCACTATCACGACTTTTCCAAAGCGAGTGTGTTGGCCGCCAACTACTCCGAACAGCTGGCCAAGGATGCCTACCAGTCGGGAGCCCATGACTATGTCGATATCGTGGCGCTCTCTGCCCGACAGGTGATGGGAGCAACCACCTTTGCGGGAACACCCGATAACCCGATCTTGTTTCTCAAAGAGATCTCATCGAACGGGAACTTCCAGACCATCGACGTCATCTTCCCCGCGTTCCCATTCTTCCTGTACACCAACCCGCGGTGGTTGGCGTATCTTCTGGAGCCGTTGATCGAGCACATGTTGAGTGGTCAGTATCCCAACACGTACGCCATGCATGACCTGGGAACCCACTTCCCCAATGCCACTGGCCATCCGGATGGAAACGATGAGTACATGCCCGTGGAGGAGTGCGGTAACATCCTTATCATGGGCTTGGCCATCGTGAATTCGCTGCGGTATGCCGAGGATTCGGCCGCAGCCTCCATCTGGTCAACGCAAGGCGCAATGCCTGTTATATCCGAAGAGCATCTCGGGTATTTCCCTCTGGTGCAGCTCGAGGAGCTAGGTGGGATTGACAAGCAGGACGGACGATGGGGTGGTCCGTTGAAAGGCTCTTTCCTCGCTGAGAAATGGCTCAAGCGCAGTTACCGTCTCTGGAAACAGTGGACTGGCTACCTCGTGGAGTTCTCCCTGGAGCCGGAGAATCAGCGTAAGGATAGCCCAAAGGAAGCGAGGGGATATAGCTAATCCTGGAGTAGTTTCGACAGACGACTTCGCCGGTTGGCTAGCGCTGCAAACAAACTTGGCGCTCAAAGGCATCATCGGGATCAATGCCATGAGCAAGCTGGCCCAGGTGGCTGGAGAGGCCGACGATGTCACATACTTCAAGGTGGGTGTTCAACTTAGACGAGAAAATGAACCGTTTTTGACCCTCCATAGAACATCTCAGACACCTATATTGCCAAATGGGAGGAGCTTGGCATGTCTCGAGACCAAACACACGCCAAGCTGGCCTACGACTGGTACGGGTCGTGGACCACCATCTACAATCTGTACGCCGACGCGTTGCTGTGCTTCCATCTGGAGGGCACCGGGGTCTCTCCACGCCCGGCGACGGCCTATAGCCAGAAGTTTCTCCAACCTCCCCCTCGCAAAACCGGCTTTGTGCCCCGGCACATCTACCAAAGACAGTCCATTTGGTATCACAACGTTCGTCAAAAGTATGGCCTCCCTCTCGACAGCCGGCATTTGTACACCAAGACCGACTGGGAGTTCTTCTCCATGGCCGTGGCTAGCGAGAACGTCCGCAGCGAGGTTCTCGAGTCGGTGGCCAAATGGATCAACGAGACCAACACCGACCTCCCTTTCACCGATCTCCACAACACCGAGGGCCAGGGCGAGTTCCCAGGCCCGAACTTCTACGCTCGCCCGGTCATTGGGGGCCATTTTGCGTTCTTGGCCCTCCAGCGCGCCTGTGGGGGCCACGCGATGGAGGGGCTAGCCTATCTCGACAGTGGGAACAACGTGTTCTCGACCAGCACGCTGGCGGAATGGGAAAAAGCCGCAGCTCGAGCTGTGGGACACTCCCAGCCGTCGCCTGGACCTGAGGAGCCTGAGGAGCCTGAGGAGCCTGAGGAATCTGACGATGATGGCTATGCACACGGCTATGGGTCTGAGAATCTGGAATTGTGATTCAGTCCGACAATATATCGCATTCACTGTCATCTTTGAGCACGTGGATGTGAATCATCGCCAGTTAGCTACCATAGTCAGGTTAGATTGTCCTAGCATGATATAAGAGAGTATCACAGAAACAGAAATGAATTCCACCCGTCACTCAATACCTACCTATGCGGCGTAATTCCATAGTCTATATGGACCAAATCTTGGCAGTCCGCAATCAAATCACGCACTTAATGAACTCCTCTCCCCTCGACCCTCTCGGAGATTTAAATCACCACACTAGCCTTAAGACCCATCTACTATCTCTCAACTAAATAGGTCCTTATCTACTCGTCCCCTTCGAGGTTCGGACTCAGTACATCGTTCCCTAGTATCTATCTATCTATCTAGCGCGTAGAACTAAAATCGCCCTCCCCTCCCCTACCCTACCCTACCCTACCCTACCCTACTTATCTCAGTAGAGGTCGAGTTTCACGCAGTAAGCTATCTAGTTCGTGAAGAAGATACGAAGTACTAGTATTGAGGAAGTGTTTTTTTTTATTTTTTTTCTTGGATACCATGTACTCCGTATGGAATAGGTAGTTGATGTTCTAGACTAGTATGGCACTAGGAAGAGGAGGAAGACGGAGGAGCCGTAGGAACTCTTATGTTACTGTAATAGACGGCTGGATGGTGACTGGACTCCGTACACAGTACTAGTACCTGGCGAGTATCTACGAATAACGTACCCGATTGGATGGATGCAGTGGGCTGGGTTGGTTGGGGTGGTAGGTGGGTGCTTGGGGAGGGCAGGGCGGGGATTGTCACTTTCCTATTTTTTGACATTCAAATCAAATTACATGGGAGGAGCCACAATTACATGGGAGCCACATTTTAAATAGGTAAAAGAAAAAGGAAATTATTTGGGATGGGAGCATATCGGAAAAAGAGAAGAGACGGAAGAAAGAAAAAAAAAAAGAGTATTTCCTGGCATCATCATCCATACCGTACGTACCATAAGTTAGATAGATTGCGTGGGAGGCCATTTGCACATAACCTTTGGATTTTTTTTTGGTCTGTCTCTTTTTCTCTTGTTCCCGGTTTTTCCCTCTTTCCCCTCTTTCCGAGTTCCCCGGTTCAGACACACTTCTTTTTCGTTTTCATCTCATCGATCCCTGATTTCGACTACCTAAGTGCTAGCGAGGACGGGGAGAGGATGGCTCATGCGGCAGGCATGGCTGCATTTATTTACCGCCAAGGCTGGGGAAGTTCTTCTCGTCGACGGAGACGGCGGCGGTGGCGGGGGCAGCGCCGGCGGGGCGCTCAGTACGGGGACCAGCACCACGGCCACCGCGGCCACCACGACCACCACGGCCACCACGGCCACGGGGACCGTTGGCACCACCACGGGGAGCCTCGACAAAGCGCATGTCGACCTCGAGGACGTTCTTCTCCTTGCGCTGCTTCTCGCGCTTGGCCTTGTCCTCCTTGCCCTTGAAGTACTCGTCCTCCTCGGTGCGCTTGAGCTCCTTGGCGGCAGCCCACTTCTTGTCGAGCTTGCTGCCCTCGTTGGCGGAACGGACGGGCTTGGCGCTCAGGTCACCCTGGGCGGCCTTCTCGGCAAGGTAGTCGGTGTAAGACTTGGACTTGTCGGCGGGCTCCTGGGCCTCCTCGGCGGGAGTCTGGGGCTCACTCTCCTCGTTGTGAGCAATGTTCTCACCGGCCTTCTCATCGTCCAAGGTCTTCTCGCCGCTCTGGTTGCCCCAGCCCTGATTCACCTGCTTGCGGGTGTCGCTATCCAAGGCGTCAGTTCTGTGGTTCACCAAGGTGTCTGGTCTCCATGGCTCCGATCGCCATGAAGAAGGCAGAAAGAGCTTACGTCTGGCCGGTGCGGGACTGGCGGTCGTGGCGAACACGCTCACCACGGTCCTCGCGGGCGCGGAATCCACGCCGTTGGGCGTCCTTGCCATCCTCGGTGGGCTTCTCACGGTTGTTGGTTCTGCCGGCGTTGCGGTCACGGAAAGCTAGAAACACACGGTCGGAATCAGCCTGACGGGCCTTCCCAAAGCAGCAAGGTGGAATACATACCGGCCTCGTTGCCGGTGAAACGGCCACCACGGCGGGCGTTGTTGTTCTCACGGGGCTGGCTGGTGACCTCCTTGGGAGCATCACGCTTGCCAACGCGGGGAGCGGGCCTGTCTACAGCCTTCGTGGGAGGCTCAGGAGCTCTGTTGGGGTCGAGTTCAGGGTCATTGCCTGTAGCCGCGCAGTGCGTAAAAAAGCACGCATGATGTTAGAAATGTTTGTCCCTTTTCCAGAATCGGAGTGTAGACGGATCCGCCAGATGCGAACGAAGCCAAGACAAGGAAAGACACGATGGGCATTGCAGAACAGGGTCAAACTCAGGTATGGTGGCAGGTAGGTAGGGAAGGGTGAGCATTACCAAGAAGCTCGTAGAGGTTCTATAGAAATCGATCTGTTAGCCTTTGCTTGTTCTCATGCTCCTCGCTGTGTCCATGTGTGTGAACAGGCCTGGAAAGTGCAGGTTCCTGCCTCAACCCCGCTCGCTTCCAGGACACTGCGCCCGACTCGATCGACAAAACCAGTCGCAGCAGCAGCACCCCCCAGCTCGCGGATTCGATCGCAGGGCCCGACGCACCGGTTCAGCGGCCTCTCGAGCAACGCACCTTGGAGCGGATCTCCGCCATGACGCCTGTGTTATGCGGGGCCTTCCGGGGAAGGCTCTCTGTTATCGCAGCAATTCGGTCCGACGGAACGGGCGGGGGAGAGTCGACACAGGCAGAAACCTCGACGACGAACGGGATCTGACCTCTCCTTTTCGGGGGATGGGATGGGATAGTGGTTGGAGTGAAGGGGGTTGCCAGACGGTGGATGGAGGCGACGTTTGTGGTTGCACCCGCCCGATCCGGTAAGGTGCGGATTGCTGCTAAGCGAATCCGGGAATGCGCGCTCTGATTGGCTCCTGCTAGCTAGGGCTTAGGGTAACTGCCGCCGGATGACGCTGAGATGATGTTCCCGACCGCCCGCCTGCGCGCGCTGCCCGCTCGTCATCGTCGGCGGCCTCCCTCCAATGCGTATATTACTATAGCCGTAAGAATGCTGGCGTTACCAGTGATCCCCAGGATACGCGAGGAGGAAGAGCCAGAAGAGCCAGCAGGGTGATCCCCAGACAGGTCTTGAAAGAGGTGTCGGATTGCCTAATCCGGAAGCTGCAGCTCGCCCGGCAGCGTTCGCAGGTGTCCCTCCCGACCATGGCCGATAGCATCATGTCGCTACTCTTCGTACTAAGTAGCTACCAGCTGGTGGCGGTGGCAGCCGGGCGACTCCGTCCTTGGGCCACAGCCTTCCGGGAACTCATACTGTCCAGTAGAGTTGGGGACCCCATTCCTACGACGTCACTACCAGCTTAGCTTCCATTCCGAGGCAAATGTAGCTCGCCAGCTACCGAGGTAGCTCTACTCCTAGCATGTCATCGCGTAGATCCCCAAGCTCGGCGAGCTCTCCCCAGACCTAGCTCAACCCCAACGCAAAGGAACCCACAAGAAGAAAAGGGAGAAAGACAGACCAGCATAAGAATGAATATGAATGCAATGCCACATAGTCTGACCCGGCAAGAAAGATACAGGCAAGCCACCGTGTCACCGCAGCCAAAATCACCGTCACGATAATCAGAGAATATATATGTCCACAAGAGCTGAGAGCACGGCCCGGGCCAAAACTGCACCGCAGTCGCCCTCGGCCCATTATACCAGTCATGCATGTACAAGAACCGTTTCTCGACTTTTTCAACCGTTTCCGTCCCTCTCGGAACAACCAACCAACCGACCGCTTTTTCCTTTGGGGGAGCATCAAACAATGCTCCACAACAACAGAACAACATGCGACTAACAGAAACAAATGGTATCAACCGCAAACGCCAGGCAATGCTTCAAAGTTTCAACTTTTGTCTTCCAGTCATAGAAAAAAGCTATGAAGGAAATCCGTCAAGCATGTCTCTTCTTCCGCCAGTGCCGTCCCCGGTGCCTACACCCTCGGGCAGACGGGGCAACGCGGGTGGAACAAGAGACGAAAAATGGAAACAGAAGGGTTAATGGCGGGTATTATTCTGCTCGTAACTGAAAGGAGTCTGGAAATGCATGCTGGCGCTCAACCCAAAGGGATCCGCATCCAACATCGGCTCGTAGTTCCCCATGAGGTGGTTGGTATTGCCATAGGCGCCATTGGCCCCCTCCCCCGTGTGGGGGGGATACTGGTTCAGACTGTGAGCCCCCATGGGCTGGGAGCCCGCAGGCACGGGCGCGGTGTTGTTGTAGCCGGAGACGTAGGGCGACGCACCCACCGCGGACTCGTGCTCCTCGTCGATCATATCGGCCTGGGCATCGTACTCCTGTTCTACGCGGGCATTAACAAAAGGGGCTCAACACCACCACGGACCTGAAACAGCAACGCGACAGGGAGTCAGCTTACCCAGTTGGTCATAGTGCTTCTGGAATGGCGATGGGTAGTACGCGGAGGGGACGCGGGGAGCGCGGGGATTCGTACCACCCGGCAGAGCGGACTTCGGATCGGTCGACTCCGGCTGGCCGATGCTCATCGGGGGCGAGGCTTGGCTGAGGTTGCGCGAGTGCGAGAGCATCTGCGAGCGCTGCTGGGCTTGGGGGTCGACCCCGACCGGGGACATGGCTCCCTGGAAGGGGAAGCCCGGAGACTTGGCGTGGGACGGGGAGGAGACATGGGACGGCGGCGTGGCCTGGAACTGCGGCGACGGGATACCATAGGCGCCGTCGCGATGCTGAGCCATGCTGAACGGCTCCTTGGGGGCGATGCCGGGATGCCTTTGGGCCGAGGTGCGGTTCACGGCCGCGCGCTCCAGGGTGGTGGGAGGTTTCGGCGCCATCGGGGTGGGCTTACCCGCGCCCGCGCCAGGGGCCCCGGCCTTCAGTCGCAATTCCGCTTGCACATCGATTCCTGCGGTGGGTTAACGTCGATGGAATGAGGAAGGCCGAGCGCGACGGGGACCAACCTTTTTCGAGCAAGATGCGTTCGAGTAGGGAGTTCTTGTAGCGCAGCATCAAGCACTCATCGGCCGCGCTGCGATGATTCTGCTGCAGGGTCTGCAGGGACTCCTCATTGCGCTTGATGGTGGACTCGAGCTGGCGGATGTACTCTGTGCGACGCTCGCGGAAGGCGGCCTGGGCCTGGCGGTTGCGTTGCTTCCGCTCCTCCGAGGTGGCGTAGATCTGACGGCGGCGGTTAGCTTCATGTGAAAGGAGGAGGAAGGACCAGGGTCCAAGAGATAAAGGAAGCGATAAAGCTGGGGAGGTGCAGGAGGGCTAACGCCAACCAGCAGCAGAGAGGGATATGACAGGACGATAAGGATGAACAATCGCAATGATAAATGATAATAATAGACGCAGTGCGGGGCCCCGGATTGCACGCAGGAACAAATGAAATGGGGGGAAGGGACGAGGACGATGAGAGATAAAGGATGATAATGAAAACCCCAGATAAGAGAAAAGCAACGAACACCACGAGGTATAAAAGGCGCCGTCATCTTACGTACCGGCTTTCTTCCACCCTTTCGCTTCTGCGTCTGGGCCACATCCTGCATCAGGATCTCACCCTCAGCCTCCGGGGTCGACACAGCCGAACTGATCGAACCCTCAGGCAAGGGCTCGGTCTTGGGGACGACCGGGTCCATGGCCGGGTCATTTTGCGTGGAACTGGCGGTCTCAACCATAGAGACCATTGGAAGCTAAGATGGAGGGAGGGGGGGATATTATTTGCCTTGATGGTGCTGTCCCAGAGACAGGTCCGTTTTGGATCCCCCCTTGCGTGCTCGGTGGTGTGGATGACACACCCAACAATCCGGGGGCGTGGGATATAAAATTAGAAAGCCGACAAGGCAGTCCGGGTGACTGCCGCTGACGCGATCGTATAGTAAGAGTATCAAACGCCCGCAAAAGCCGGTTTAGCACAAAAAAAAAAAAGGCGGACTTAGTTTCCCCCTTCACAGTGCACACGAATCGAAACCCCCGGATAGACGCGGTGGATGATAAAAGGCAATCGTAATAGATACACGATAGGAAATTTTTTAGCCGGCGGGGTATGGGAAATCTGATAATTCAGGCGCAGGAAACGCGCGGCTGAGCGGCGGCCGGGGACGTGCGAGGGCTGGCAGAGGGTCGCAAGGAAGCCAGCGGATGAGGTGACATAAAGGAAATTGATGATGGATAACGAGATAATCAGTAGGGTCGGAGAGAGAGGGAGAGAGAGAGCGAGAAAGGCAGACGGAGAGGGGGGGGAAAGGTGAGAGTGGGAAAGATGTGAGGTAAAATTATTTACTAAAAAGAACGGGATGTTATTAAAGAGAAAAAAAGAAAAAGGTCCCAGAGGAGAAAAAAAATTCTGGCTTTTCTTTTTCCTTCTCTTGGATTTTCCCTTTGGGTCAAAAGGCAGAGACTTTCCAGGGGAAAAATCCAGAGCATCCCCATCCACTTGCTCCTACTAGTAGAAGAGGGGAACGTCCCCCCGAGCGACTTCGGTTTCGCCGCCGCCGCGGAAACTTTGGCCTTAACGCCCTTTACTTTTTTTTTTTTAAAAAAAAGCGCCCTGTCCCGGGTCCCCGGGGAACTGTTTCTGATTCTTCGATGCATGCTTCCCTGCCCTGCCCCTGTTTGTCTGGGTTGTCTGTTCCCAACAATCCATCGTCCACTTGGTCCTCGCCCGCCATGCTTCCCTCCTTGCTACTGGCGAAGGCAGGTTGACTCGGCCGCGGCACACTGGCAACGAGAGAGATCCACCGCAAGGTCAGACCCAGCCGAAGATCCGCCCAGGGTGAGTCGTCACTGCCTCCGTGGTCGAGTTATGCCCTATTCGACGGGCTTACTACGTACGTCCTGGTCCGCTGGTCGTCTGGTGGTGGTCCGTCCGCCAGGCCATGCAGGCTCCGAAACGAGTGGAGAGAGAACGTGTATCTGTCGTTCGGGCTGGGATGCTACTACTCGGTAGTGCCGGGCAATGGCGGGCTGGACTGGATTGGATGCAATGCCATTGTCCATTGTTGAGTCTAGTGCCTGGAACCGGGCAGCGTAGTAGATAGATAGAGTAGGATCCGTTTCCCGTCGATAGTCGTGGTCGTGGTGGACTCTTTAGCATTCTAGACAGAGAGCCTCCCCTCTGGTGGGACACCGTTCATGTCTTCATCGTCCCGCGGAGATGTTCCGGCAGGTTAAGACAAGGTTTTCCGTGGTTCAGCTGGGGCGGAATCCTTGTCCTGCAGTCATACGGTGTGGTTCCTACCCCTTTATGCCGTCGAGTACATAGCTCACGGAGGAGCGCGGTGGGTTTATGAAGGAGGCATTGACTGACCTCGCGGGTTGCAATGCAGTCGCCAGGAGGATTAGTTCGGAGGGTCGTCCGGGTGGTACGCAGACTTCGACGAGCAGGAGGAAAATCACGCAGATCCAGAACGCCCAGGCGAACGGGGGGCCATACGGGCCATACGGGTCATCCCCCGTGACCGAGTGGCCATTACACCGCGGATACCATACACGATACCACCGATTCCACTCGACTAAATTGCCGTTCTCATCCAGCCAAGATGTTCTGCTGCGGATGCGATGAGTATGGGTGATGCTGGACACGAGCACCTGATCTGGCAGCCGGATTTCCGGACCACCACCATCATCTGAACGGCTCAGGTGGCAGTTCCGCCACCAACAAAGTACCTGCATATCGTGCAGCAAACTAGATCCCCGGTGTACGGTGTTGTTATAGTAGGCGACCTCCGATGAAGGAGCTCTCCGCCAGCCAGGCTCTTTGCTTACCTCGCCGGGCTCCTAACATCGGATGGCGACGCTCAAGGCAAAAGCAACCCAAATGTGAGCTGACATCACGAGGTCCGGCCACGGGATCACCTGAGCCTTTTGCGGAGGAGATGGGCTGATCAATCATACCTGCCACTACCGACGAGCAGCAGCAACTATCGACTGGGCCATGTTCTTGGCAGGATTGACTTGTTCATGCAGCAGGCTCTCGACGACTCCGTTAGTAGATATCCTGAGGGTAACAGATTGTAGACCACCATTAGCATAATGCATACGGGATACAGTACAATACTACATAGTATACTGTCCATAGTCCTGGCTGATGTCATTCCCAGCAGCGCCAATGTCTCGTCCACGGCCCCGATACGGAGTCCCCTCGGCCCTCCATATACACGCGATTGTCCCTGAACCAAATGTCAAAACTTCATAGTGCTTCATGCAAGTCGAGTCAATTCCTGCCAGAGTATCCAAAATGTCCCAATCCACCTGAACGCTGCCAGCAACCGCGGCGATCGGCTTTCAGTCGGCTCCCCACCAGCGCGATGGACTGATTATTCATTCTTGGGTTCTTTTCACATGAAGAGCAATCTTCTCACCAACTTCCATCGCCAACAGCCACTTCCGTCCTCCTCACCTCCTCTACTTTCCTTGGGGCCTCAACTGCACCTATGCGATCCGTCTCCGCCCGCCATCAACTAATATAATCCTGCTGTATCATTTCCCCCTCTTGCCCCTCCCCTCACTCTCTCGGCTCTCGGGAATATGGCCTCCTCCTCGGCCCCCTCCGCCCCCGTTGGCGCAACCCCCCAGTCTACGGACTCTGCGTCTGCGCAGAGCCCAGAAAAGCTTTCTGCTGCGTCGAATGACGACCAGAAAGCCTCCGCGACGACCCCCGACGCCCCTTCAGAAACCCCCGCGACGGCCCCGACGCAGCCTCAGCGCGCGAACAACGATGACGATGACGATGACGATGAATCCGACTTTGATGAATTGGACGGTACATCTATCCCACCATTTGGATCTCATTGTTCTGGAGAACAGAAATTAACTAACATATCACAGAGGTGCTCGACGACTTCAAGCCCAAACCCGCCCCCGCCCCCGCTCAATCCAATGCCGCGCAAGCCCCGGCCGACGACGACGACGACGACTTCGACGAGGAGGCCTTCCTCCGCCAACTTGAACAAGACATGGCGAACATGATGGGTGGCGCCGGCAAAGATTCCACCGGCCCATCGGGCGCCCCCGCCGACTCGGAATTCCTCGACCAAGACGCAGAGACCTTCGCCAAGTATCTCGAGGAAAGCGGCGTCACGCCCTCAGATTTCTTGAAACAACTTGTCGGAGACGTCATGATGAAGGGTGAGGATGGAGATGATAGCACGACCGCTGCCACGGCGGGCTCGTCGTCCTCTGCTGTCCCACCGGCATCGGCATCTGGAGGGAACAATGCGGCCCCGGAGACGTTCAACGATACGATCCAGCGCACGATTGAGCGCATGAAGGAGTCCGGTGATAAGGCTACCGCCGCGGCATCGGAGGATGACGTCTCGGATGATTTGGTCGCGCAGCTGATTAAGGCGATTGAGGCGGGAGCGGGCGATGGCGACGAGGGCGATCTTACGAAGATGTTTATGGGTATGATGGAGCAGTTATCGAACAAGGAGATCTTGTACGAACCGATGAAGGAGCTAGATACGAAGTTTGGCCCGTGGATCGCCGAGAACAAGGGCAAGGGCAAGGTGTCGGACGAAGACATGGCCCGGTATGAGAAGCAGGCCGGGGTGGTGGCGTTGATTGTGGCCAAGTTCGAGGAGAAGGGGTACTCGGACGAGGACCCGAAATGCAGGGAGTATGTGTGGGAGAAGATGCAGGAGGTGAGTCTCTTTCATCAAATCTATTCCTCGATTCAATCCATACTGACAATGACCTCTAGATGCAAGCAGCCGGAAACCCGCCCGACGAGCTGATCTCCGCTCCATGGATGGAGGATCTCAAGGGTGCGGGTGGTGCTGGTGGTCCCCCAGATTGTCCCCAGCAATGATCTAATAATGCTATGTATAGGTGGATGATCTTGAACGGACGCCTATGACCCCTCTATTGTCATCACGAATGTATGTACATATAGTTTGGATTTTTCTACCGATCACTCTACATCCTTTCCACTCAACGCCACTATCCGTATACCTACCCCTACCCCCGTAGACATGCCACCCATCCACTACACAAACGATCCCTAACCTTCTCCTTCTTCCCTACCAAAACACCATGGTCTCCCCCCCACCCACCACCTCATACGTAAGATTCAGTATCGAAATCCCTAGTAAGTATGAACCTGCAGAATCAATCAAACCTAGTCCTTCATGTATCGTCCTCGAAACTGGGAATCTTTGATGCTGCCATTCCTCATCTTCAATCCCCCCTCCTCCGCCTCTTCTTCATCCGTTTCTCATCATTCCTTATGATGATCATGATCATCATACCCCGTGATCGCTGACCCCCGTCATCAAACCAGGTATCTGTGATTTAGTTGTTATTTCTCGATGTTAGTTAGTTAGTTACTCATTCCTGTTTCCCGTGCGAGAAGGCTCTGCGGTTGGGTATTGAATGTCTTAGGTAGGTCATTTTGGGTTGTGTGTGTGTGTGTGTGTGTGTGTGTGTGTGTGTGTGTGTGTGTGTGTGTGTGTGTGTGTATATTACTTATATGCTTGGAGATATTGGACATTGAAATGAATGGGTTTGGTGTTATGTGTATGGCCCAGACAGTGAACGCCAGTGTGTTCCATCCGTGTCTATCTAGCTAAGTTTTGAGTAAGTGATTCCAATCCGGTCCCATGTCCAATGTCAATGCCAATTAATATTGTCAATTGTCGACCCGCGACATGTCCCAACCAACCCCAAAACACATACATATACAAAGATAAGATCACGACATATCCATATCCTGACTAGGTACGAACCCCTGACCTGAACCTGAATCTGGGAGATAATGTTGATGCTCCGCCAAATCCATAAACAAATCATCGTATTCTTCATCACTGAAGGAAGCACCCGCACCCGCACCACCACTGTCAAGTAGTTGTGGCTGCGGATACATCTCATCCAGAGCCTCCAACCGTTCCATCTCCGCAGCCTGTTCTTGTAAATACTCATCCAGAGCATGCGAGTCCAGATCATCTATTCTCCCCGTTAGCAACACCAACACCCAAACCCAGACCAATACAGTCAATATGGATAATAAGATAAAACATACCAGGTACCTCCTCCATCACCCCCTCATCCTCCCCCTCCCCCTCCACCTCCAACCTCTCCGCCCTCCTCCTCATCACCTCCCCCCACCTCTTCTCCTCCGCGACCAACTCCATCAGCACCAACTGTTCACCCCGATTCTCGAACCGGCCCTCATCACGCGCCCGCTTCACGCGATTCAAGAAAAGGTTCCGTCTTGCGGACGGCGACGCCGACGTCATCATGTGCTTGGTCATGGGGTTGGAGATGTTGGTTGCGTAGCGGTGCGCGTAGCGGGATTGTTGTTGTTCCTGCTGCTGCTGCGGGGTCGGTGATGGGGAGGTCGGGGCGAATGCGGAGGGGGATTTAGTGGGGGTTGTGAGCGTGGTAGTGCTGAATGGACTGGAGAAGTTGAAGTTGAGGAATTGGCTCGTCGTGGTGGAGGTGGTGGTGGTGATTGGGGTGCGGTGTGGTGAGAGGGAGGAGGGACGGGTGGGGGTGTGTTGTTGTTGTTGTTGGTGGTATTGTCGTTGTTGTGATTGTGGTTGTGGTTGTGGGTGTTGCTGCGTGGGGAGGGTAGCGAACATCATTTTGATGCCGTTTGTCTGATTGTCTGTATGTATGTAGATAATAGGGTGTATGTGTTGGTGGTGAAATTTGCGCAACGCGTGAACAATCCACTGAGAATATATCCTTACTGCAAATAGACCAATTCGTAGACCACTGCATAAACAAACTCAAGTATAATTCAATTGACAACCGCGGAGATCCTGTATTTAGAGTACGGATACACCGTCAGTGGATCAATGGGATGAAAGAAGTGCAGACCAGCCACCGCCAGGATGGGGAAGCGGCTGGGATTCGCGAGCGCGTCACGACCCCACGTGCCCGCTAGTCTGCTTCGGGGTATATTGCGTTCCTCAGGCTCTCTCCGTCAACCATGCGGTGATACGACTCGTCATATGTACGCAGATGTAGATAGGGGTCCGATCATGCGGTCGCTGCAGCGTACGTGATCGCGATCGAGTTTATTCCGACGGTAACTATAGATGGATGGTGGGTGGATGTATATTGGTGTTTCCTGGTACTTTGTACGGATTACCTAGGATGAGACATGTACTACTGGACTCGAGTAGACTCAGGTCTGTCTCAGATACTGACATTAATCCCACATGGAGAAACCCACATGGCTAGTCGGATGGCCGCCGAAGGAATCCAGCTAGGCTATTACTAGGTTCACTACGGTGGGTTGATGCTAGTCTCAAGTCATTTCAATTAAATACATACATCAAAAGCTTTTGAAGGCTGAGATCGAGGATCTGCATTCCAGAGAGCAGACAGATGGTCCGCTCACCCTCCGCTAAGAAAGAAACAAATGCTCGAGGGGGGAATCAAAGTAAATCACCAACCACAATGCTAGGACAAATCGCTGTGCTAAGAAAGGAGCGTGATATCGGAAAGACCCGACAGATGGTCTATGAAAGCGAAAGAACGGTTGCTTCGAAGCAAACCAAAAAAAATGGGATGAAGCCAGACCAGAGGATATGCCTCGCCAGAAGCGCCAACAATAACTGCGTCATAATCGTACAAATTTACAGCCTCGAGAACGGTATCGAACCAGTCCACATGTCTTCCGGGAATTACCGCAGGAACAAAGGAAATGCCGGTGTCTATATCATAGACAGATCCCGGTCAGCCTAGAAGTTCGATGCGGCATTGACAGGCCCAGGGTTGTGGTATTGGTCCAGCGTGGTCTTGAAGGGCGTGCCGCCGGCACCCGGGCTGGGCGCCTTCTCGCGAGCACCTGCACCGACAGCCGTACCGCTCATGAGATCAGCCGATTCGTCGTTGTCCTGCGCAGCTTTCCGAGCGTGGATTCTCCAGCCAACAACGGCGAGAGCACCCACAATGATGGCACCACCAACACCCACGACGACACCGATAATGATCTTCTTCTGAGACGACGAGAGACCCGAGCTGCCGTTGGAGTTGCTAGACGAGGTACCGCTCAGACCAGGAGAGCCCGTAGAATCAGCGCTGGCGGGGGTCGACGTAGTGGTGAGCGTAGTCTGTACCGGAGTTCCGCTGATAGTCTCAATTGTCGTGACCGTCTTCACAACGGGGGTGGCTGTAGTCTGCTGGGTCGTGCTTTCGGCGGTGGTCCTGCCGTTCCTATTTGTGGTCGTGGCTTCAGTCGTCTGTGCATTGTTATTCGTCGTGGACGTCGTCTGCTGCGGCTGGGTTGTATGGGCCTGTGCATCTGTCGTCGAGGATGTCTGTTCCGAAGTGGTCGACGATGTCGTGGTTGGCTGCCTCTCACTGGTGGTCGAGGTACTCTCAGACGTAGAAGTAGAAGACTCAGACGTGGTGGATGATGTTGATTCAGCTGATGTGGTAGCCGCCTCGGTGGTAGCGGCAGTGGTGGGAGTGACGGCGTTACCTACACTCGTGACCGCAGCGCTCTGACCGGCGACGACGGCCACGAGGGATAGGGAGTAGAGGAGGAAGGAGAGACGAGCGGCCCGCATGATGATAAGTTAGATGGATCGATCAGTCGAAGTCGGGATATTCGAGATTTTCCTCGGGGCTGCCAGAGCCGGATGGATGGGGCGTAGACAGGGCGAGATTGACACAGGGGTCAGATTTCCAACGCGACAGAGCCCAGACAGAGGGTACCGATGGGCTTGTAGGGCGAGCAGGAGAAGTTCCGGAGGAGATCAGGAGAAAGACCCGGAGGGGTTAACGAGTGACTGCAGATATAGAGCACACAGAGGGCACACGATGATGGGACAGGAAAGAGCGTAAGGAGGCGGGATGGAGATGAAAAGGGACTGGAGATGAAAGAGAGGGAGACCAAGGGCGGGCCACTCGCCGGTCACTGGGGCCCAGCGGGCCTTTCTGCGCAACACGGGTGGATGAGATGCACCAATCCCTTCTGTCTGCCCAGGAGCGGGCGCTCTCTAGCGCGGGCGCTAAGGAGACTGCCGACCAGTCAGCGGCTGCAAGTTGAGACAGGCTGGACCAGGGGGGGAAAGCCCTCGTTGAGTGCATTTTTCGGGCGCCTGACTTTGGGCCCAGTAGGTTTTTACTAGTATTTTCGTCGGGTCTGTTCCTTTCATTTGCCGTTGGCTGTCACCACCCGTCCCCGGGCCTGTCTCGGACTACCGCGTAGTCCGGCCACTACTCGGTACTAGTTTGACCCTTTGGTCCGTCACTCGGGCTCTAAACTCCTAGTAAGGCACCTAGTAGAGGCAATTAAGTCATCACCAGGTACATAGTCCGGGAGATCCCAATGCGATCGTGCAAATTCTGGGTTCGAGGGATGATTATGGTACACACGTTGCTATTTTAAGGTACGTACCATGGGTCTAAGTACCGTTGGTGACCGTACCACAGAACACTTGTTCATTTGCCTTACCTAAGATTCGGCACCAAAACAAACCAACCCCGAGCCAAATCCACATAACATGATTGTTTAATGTTTATGAAGTATGCCCTTGTGAAATGTGAATCTCTCTCCTTGTCCCTTGGAGGGATCAATCCGCCGAGCTCCGCGTCCAGAAATTCTCCAGTTTTAAATTCCCACTCTCACCGTGTCCTTGGGAATGTATTGTGACACCGTCACGTGTTGTGAAATCCTCCTCCTGGCCCCATCGACGGGTGCCGGCTCAGCCGACTGCAGTTCTCGTACAACTCCGGGACTCCGTGCGCTGCAGGGAAAAACTGCCCGCCTAGTTAATTGACTCGAGGGCGGCAGTTGGACGGGTGACTCCGGACCAACACCATCACTGCTGCGCTGGCGTTCCAGTTCAATGTGGCGATGGGGCTGGGGGCTCATCACTAATCAAGACCCTGCATCGTACTCGGGGCCGCCTTTTTCATTCGTAGTGATTAATCCTTCATAAGCCTTAGTCTGGATGCCACACGGCCTGATCACTGACCACTATACGGAGTACTACGGAGTATCTAGTAATTATCGTTGAACCACTTGAGTCGGGTGATCGGCAGGACTTGACGGGTTCTAGATGCCTCTCCAATCTACCGCTCGCTTCCCACGCGCGTCACTAGGAATACCTCGGCGCTCTGGAACGTTGTTGACGTTGCCCTTGTTAGGCGGCTAGGCCGTACTTGCGGTGACTAGCATGCCACACTCCACAGCGTTTTGGGGTGGCCTAGGCCGTTCCTCACCCACACGACGGGATCACTCTGCAGCGGCGCAGCCACTCGGTCTTCGACATAAGATGCTCGCGTGGCAAGGACTGATCCCATTGTTTCTCCTGTCCATTGTTTCTAATTAGTCAGGTACTTAAGTCATGTTCAGTGCTTAGTTATATGGTCTGGAATGTGCGCAATGTGCGTGACTCATCTATCTGACGAGTTTACGTACGTATGTATGTATCTCCGGAGTTGCCTATCCTCGGTTCCGGGGTTGCACAAGTACCAGCTCGCCTGCATATGCAGGTTCCGCACAAAATAGAGCAGCCCTGGCAGTGGTGCAAACTCGTGCCAGCGTCCCTGCGAGCGATATGAAACATACAGATCCTGCCATCGGATTTCCCGATTACCCGTCACTGGGACGGGTTTCCCATTCTAGTGATGGCATCTTTCGCATCGGCAGGTTTCTGCGACTCCTAACTACTAATAGAACTTCTTCGACGACATCTGGCTTCTACTCAGACTATATATGTACGCTTCGACTCCTAACGCCCAACACAACTGTCTAAAAAAACGCGGCTGGGCAAAGCGGAGGAAGCAGTCTGACTCTCCGGATGGAATGAGGGACATGGCTCATCGTGCAAAAGAGCTATAACCCAATCTTTATCCGGTGTACCATGGACATGGTGATGTAGTCGGATGAGAAGCAGACAGAAAACGAAAACAGAAAGGAAACAGAAACGAAGCATATGGATTGATGGGTATCATAGATCATGGATATCAAAGTAAACACAGACGCCGGAGGAATCCCTCCGTGAATCAAAGCTTTTTGGGAGGTTTCCCTCTCATTTGGTCTTTGATTTCTTCCTTGAAGTACTCGAAGAATGAGTCCCCACGAGGGCCTAAAGTAGGGAGCAGATTAGTGTCACATAATACTTGACGGGCTATTGCGATCGGCCATGACATGGAGCAATCTCATACCAGGCTCCTCGGTTTCCGTGTGCCGCGGCTCTGGTGGCACGCCATTCTTAATCTGATGAACGGTGCGGTGGATGCTCCCGACCATCTTGTGAAACGACCGGCTGGCCAGCAGCTATACATGGCAATATAAGCATCAAGCCCAGAGGTTGGACGCAATCAAATACCTACCTGAGACGTGAGCCAATCCTAGATGAAGGACTTGATTAGTACTGGTCCAGGCACATCATCTCTCTGATACGCACCTCGAGGGGCCGTAGCAATAAGGAGTTCTTGAGAAAATTGAACACCATCTTCGAAAATGAACTCTCAACCCAAGCTGAATCAACGCGTCTCCATGAGAGGGATGAAACCGACACGCCGCGGTGGTTGGTGAAAGCTGAGTTGAATGGAGCTGGAGGGAAGAACGGACTGGAGGCGACTGGAAGTCGAGTTCCAGCCAGGCGACCCAATCGGGCTCATTCAATTATTGACCCCGAGGCTGGTGACCGCCCGACTCTTTGTCCAATCAGGACAAAAGGTCTCCTTCTGCCACTGCAAGAACCACGGGTGAGTGGTTCTTCCGGCCGGGCCAGGGATGGCCATGGATGGACTGGAGAATGCCGAATGGAGACTTGAAGCCGTTCATTCATGGCTGGCGATGGCCGGCGGGATGATCGAGGCACCGCCGAAGACCTGGATCATGACTCGGATCTTGAATCTAAAGGTTATCCACTTCGTTGGGAAGTCCGACCCTGAGGGCGATCCCCTGATTACATCACTGCTCGCGATCAACCCTTAAAACCCGCCGGACTGTAATCTCATCCAAGGGCTCCATACTGTCCTGACCCAGAATAATAAAAAAAAATACGTTAAAAATTGAAGATTCCGGTGATCCCAACTCGGACAATCCGGTTGAGATCCCTTCTTCTTTCTCTCACTCTTCCGACTTCTGGGTGGTTTCTTCTTATATAGTCGTACTTTTTCTCCGCCGTCCAGTCCCACGCTCCTTAATTCTTGTTCAGATCTAATGACTCCATTTCTCGGACTGCTGGCCACGTCCTGAAAAAAAAAAAAAAAGTGCGGGGAGAACAGCATTGTCGAAAGGTGTCGCGAGGGGTCTGTCACCAAGTCTCTCTCCTTCTTTCCTGCAGCTGGCCGGAGCATCTCGTCTCTCATCGACTAGGTTCGCACATCCACGGGCACTGCCGTTCTCCCTTCCTTCAATCCGAACTGGTGTTGTGTCGTGGGCTGCAGGGAGTTGGCTGTCGGCGTTGGTCTGCCGGTCGAGTCATCCTCCATATTGTCAGGGACCTCCCCAACTTCCTATTCGGCCGCGCGTTGTTCCCGTGAGATCCAGAAATCTGGCCAAGCATAATCTTACGTCGAGGGGCAGCTTCCACAGCTGTCCCGATCTGTCCACGCTACAGATATCATCCCTGCCGCACTCCCCCAACGGCGCCCTCGACGATCCGCCCGACGGCCTCGAAGCGAAAGTCACCACCGCCCCAACCTCCCGTTCGCCCTCCCCCGATACTTTCAGTCTACGCAGCGGTCCCCGAAAACTCGCAGCGACTAGAAAGCGGGTCTCCAAAAAGGCGCGCGGCGTCCTGGGTAAGGTTCGGGCCTTCCAGAGGATCGCTGCGGCCAAGATGGCGCATCCCACCATCAAGATCGATACCAGTGTGCAAGCAACCAAGCGGGCGCTGCCCGAGGATAACGACGATGGGTTTGAGATCATCGAGGGTCCTGAGAATGACGACCCTGGGTTGGAAGCGCGCGACAATGAATCCGTTCCTCCGTTTCTGTGCCAGTCGGTCCTAGGTCAGTTTGCGCCCGCTGAACACATCCCCGCTTGCTCCCCGTCGTTCGGTCGTTGCTTGCGCCACCGGATATTACCCTATTTTAAAATGCGGTTTACAGCCCGACTAATACTCTGTGATACCACTAGAAATCCACCAAAAATTCGAAGAACTCGAATGGATGCAGCGGTCCCGGATTCATGAGGGGATGCTGGCCAACGACCCCTCACACCGTTGGGCGCTAGAGGGGGATCCCGAGGTCAAGGCAAGAAACCGATATATAAACGTGCAAGCATGGGCCAATTCCCGCGTCCATCTGCGGGTGCCGGAGGGCGAATGCGATTTTATTAATGCGTCGCCCATCGTTCTGAAGGATTCCGTCTCGCGGCAGGAAAGACGCTTCATTGCGACCCAGGTAGGCGGCTGTGTTCTTCCGGATCCTGGAAGGTATTCTAACCCGCTACCGTGCAGGGACCGAAGCTCGGCCATCTCGCCCATTTTTGGCAGATGGTGTTCCATGAGAGTCAGGATGTGGGTGTCATTGTCATGCTCACGCAGACCTTCGAGGCCGGCCGAGAGAAGTGCTCCCAATACTTTCCCCTGGATAGCGAAAACCCCTCGATGACGCTGCGACGTGTGGAGCGGGACCCGTTTGTGAACGATAACCAGCCCCAGCAAGACGACGAGGACCTTCTGGGTCAGGTCACGCTCCTTGAGACCCAATGGGATTCTACGTCCCGCTCGGAAATTCGCAAACTCCAACTCACCATCGGGACCGAGTCAAAGGTGGTCTGGCATTTCCTCTTCGCCGGCTGGGCGGATTACTCCAAGCCCGAAGGCGAGGATCGCGATGCGCTGCTTCAACTGATCAAATTGTCCGGCTCGAAATGCACCCCGGCCAACCCCCGCATTGTGCACTGCAGTGCTGGTGTCGGCCGGACAGGCACCTTCATCGCGCTCGACCACCTACTACAAGAGCTCGAGGCGGGTCAGCTACTCGAGGCGACTGACCCCGACATCGATCCGGTCTTCGAGACTGTCAACCAGATGCGCGAGCAGCGGATGATGATGGTATATAATGAAATGCAGCTGCAGTTCATCTACGAAGTCCTACGCGAGCAGATCGATGTCAAACTCGGCAAGGCCGCCGTGCCGAGCGGCCGCAAGTCAGACGAGCGGTCGACAAAGATGGCCAAATTGTCGACCGACGACACCTACCGACCAACCTCCAAACCCGAGCTCGAACCCGCCGAAGATCGCCGGTCCACGCCAACACGGAGTTGGTCAGGCACCCCCGAGGTTTCGGATAGCGATTAAGCGTTCAGCCCACGGGGCCCAGACCACCCACTACCTTATTCTTCCCACGTACATATAACCTTCTAATCACCTATTGATGTTTCCTCTTTTTACCTTGCCATGTTCTGTCCTTTGCCATGACTAGCTACGAGATCCGACCTGCTTATCTCCCACATGCATCTATCTCATCTTGCCCGTTGCGCCACCCTGCATGTTTTATTTTCGTATACGACATCATGCCCTTCCTTGTGTCCAATGTCCAGGATCACCCCATCCGTCCTGCGCATTGTCATTCGCCCTCGGCGTTTTTGACTCTCTAGCATTAGACCTGGTGTACTACTATACTGGATTTGTGCATCTGTCTGGAATGAATCATGATGCATCTGTTCGTACCAGATTGAGTTTCTACCTATATATCAAGTTGTGTGTTTGTGTGTATGTGTGTGTGTGTGTGTGTGTGTGTGTGTGTGTAATTCAAACGATCTTATATTAGGCAGACGCCCCTCCTCTTTCGTCCTATTTACAACATAGTCCCTTCCACGGGGGGCGGGGTTATAGAACCAACCAGAAACGGGGACAAAACAAAACAAGTCAGAAAGACGCGGTATAGGAACACCGCGATACAAAACGTAACTTAAAAATAAGAAAGAAACTCAAACGCCGGAACGGTCATGATAACATCGTAGCGAGAGTGAGTGAGTTAGTCAGATAGGTACTTTTCTGCTTTCTCCATGGCTGGGACATCGTGGAGTTGGTGTCATGCATCAGAGCTAGCGAAAGTGGACTGTGAATAGCTATTGAGACATCAGATGCGCGTGGAGTGGATGGATGGGATGATATAAGTTCGGAGCTGTCGTGGATGGGGCGTATACGGAGTGAGTGTGTGTACGTGAGACGGAGACGGGGAGTGATAGGTGGAGGCGGGTGGAATCAACGGCATGCGTATACAGCTTGTTCTCTTTCGTCTGTTGCTGCATTCAGCGGAAGACGGTTAAGAGCGGTAAAGCAGAGTGTCGACGAGGGGAGAAGAGCCGAGGATGAAAGAGAGGAAGAGAGAGAATTAATCACTCCGCTTCGCTCCGTGCCCATCAGCAGGCGACGCCCTCTTTGAGAGATCACCCGCCAAATCGCCTGTCTCGTCGTCCTCCTCCCAATTGTCGACGGCGTTCTCATCCCAATTGTCCACCTCCTGCTCGAGACTCATCACGCCGGTTTCCTGGGGCCCGAGACCCTCTTCCTCGTCATGAAGGTGGCCCAACTCGACATCATTGTCGGTGCCGTCACCGCCTATCGAACCGAAGCGGGCCTTGCGGCGCCGGTCCAACATGCGGCGGTGGTACCAGCTGCACAGGCCAACAGCGCCGAGACTGCCGACGATGTTGGCGAGGAGGTCGAACGGGTCGAAGGAGCGGCCGTTGGGGAGGATGCCCTGGACGATTTCGGAGCCAATGCCGAGGACGATGGTGCAAACGAGGAGGGTCAAGTGGAGGGTGCGACGGCGGGTGGTGTCAAAGACCCAGTAGAAGATGAGGGAGAGAAGGAAGAAGGTGACGACATGGAGGAATTTGTCGTTGGGTTGCAGTTGGGACGGGATGGTGGAAGATGTACTATGCGGGAGGAGGCCGATGTAGGCGGCGAGGATGAGGAGGAAGAGAAAGGCGCCTGGTGAGGAGGGTTAGCAGGGGACATGTATGATGGTGATGGTGGTGATGATGTGGGAGAGCTGTCGGAGCTGTGCGATGATCGGCAGGTTGAGCTCCGACTTGCTTCGGAGGAAGTGGACGAGTCAATGGATAAAAACGGAAGAGACCTACCCGCGAAAGGGTATCGGATTCGCATAGTGGGCGACGTGAAGAGCAGCTGGGGGATGGAGTGGGCGGTGGAGCAGATGAAGGTGAAGGTGAAGATGATGGCATGGCGGGTGTGACGGACGATCTGACCATCGGCCGACGGCGGCCTCAGGTCGCCAGGCGGCATCCAAAGTGTTATTATGGCTATTGTCGATTATTGGGCTTGAAACCTTCCCCGGACTCGAGAATTCTACGGAGAGTTGATTGGCATTGTTATCCAGCCCGGTGAACCGGTTCCTGGCTTCTATCTGGCTTCTTCTTCTTTCTCTTCTTGTCTTCTCCGCCCGGAGTTACTACTCACTTGCTACTCCGCCGATGATTCTTTGATGTCTTTGATTCTTTGAAGTGATGGGAATTGCGCGGTTGGTCTGAAGCTGCGGCGGCCGGGCCGCCTTCACGCTCCGACTTCACCTCCTCCGTTCGCGCAGAGACCCTCGAAAGAAGCCCTCCGCTTCTTCATCGAATCCCCCATCGCCCCATCGTTTTGGGCTCCGAAAACATCATCCTGCATTTCCTTGCTACTGTCCGCGGATCTCTATGTCTTTTTCCGCCCGGAAAACCACCTCCCCCTGCCTGAGCTGGACCTGATCCCAACCGTGGAGCAAGAGCCCCCCTCGCCCGCCCCAGAACCGGGGTCTTGGAGCGAACATGTCGCTCGGACACCACCACGCCTGGCTTCCCCCAGGCCATCTGCGCCCGCCCGATGATTTCCATGATGCGCGGTCTGTCAATGGCTATCCCAAATCGTTTTCCGGATCCCGAACACCCCAGATGCGCGCCTCGGCCGATATCGACGGATCTCACGCGGGCGGTCTGATATCCGATGCTGATATTGCAGGCGATGAGGACCCGCGCATCGCCATGTTCCGTGAACTGTACAAGCGAAGTGAGGCGAAAATCAATACCCTGTTTGCCAACCAGAAATCCGCCGAAGATGCCCTTCGCGGCGCGGTCGCCGACTCCGACCAACCCCAGGCTCAGGACCAACGCGCCGACGAACCCGCACCGCCCCCGGCGCCCCCTAAGAAACCCGCCAGGAAGCTGGACGATGACGACTATGATGAGTATGATGATGATGATGAGGAGGATGATGCTGACGCTTCGCCCCCGGCAAAGCACAAGGCTCTTGGTTGGTCTCAGGTTCCCAGTAGTTTCCCGTCGCCCAGTCGGCCGCCCAGCGGCTCCACGTCGGTAGGCCCCGATGCGCAAAAGGAGGCCAAGAAGGAGACGCTGGAGGACATCCGGAAGAAGCTAGAGGAAGACAAGAAAGCCACCGAGGAGGCGGCGCGCAGAAGCTTCCACACTCTCTTTTATACTTTAGAAAATGATAGAGACGCCATGCTGGATCAGCAGCGACTAGAAGAGTCGGAGCGACAGGTTGAAGCCGAAATGTCGGGCCAGGCAAGTGCGGGCAATAACGCGAACCCGACCTCTAACGGATATGGGTCGCTGAGTAGCGCGAACCTGGGAGCCTCTAGCCTGACCCTGAAGAACCTGATCGCGCGGATCGATATGAAGCGGAGCCTGGTCCAAGCCTCCGATGCCGAACTTCGCAGCCTGATGAGTGAGGTTCGGAAGAACCGAAGTAAATGGGCCAGCGAAGACAAGATCGGCCAGGAGGAGCTGTATGAGGCGGCGGAGAAAGTTCTCAGTGAGCTCAAGGCGATGACTGAGCATTCGAGTGCGTTCTTGACTCGAGTCAACAAGCGCGATGCGCCTGACTACTATACAAGTGAGGCACTCTGACCAGCCACCTGCACGTTTGATTGCTGACCCCTGCTCTAGTCATCAAGCACCCAATGGATCTCGGAACCATGACCAAGAAGCTCAAGGCTCTGCAGTACAAGTCGAAGCAGGAATTTGTTGATGACATCAATTTGATCTGGTCTAATTGCTTCAAGTACAATACTAACCCGGAACACTTCCTCCGCAAGCATGCCATGTACATGAAGAAGGAGACGGAGAAGCTGGTTCCCCTTATCCCGGAGATTGTCATTCGAGACCGCGCGGAAGTCGAGGCAGAAGAGCGAAGACTGCAGATGGCGGAGCTCGATGGCGCTGAGGAGAGCGACGACGAACCGATCATGTCATCCCGAGGTCGCAAAGCCCCGGGGAAATCATCATCGAAGAAGGGAACAGCTCCGGTTCGAAACACTCCCAGCGGATCGGAGCCCCCAGGTGGTCAAGCTTCTCAACCCCCGGGTCCTGTGCGTTCTGATTCAGACGTGGCCATGGAAGGGACTCAGAACGGGTTTGCAACGCCGCCTCCCGGCACGCAGACACCCTCTGATCCTGCTGGTGTTGGTGCTGGTATACCAGGAAGCCAGGGCGACGCCATGGAGATTGACGGCTTAATTCCAACTAGCACTGTTCTGAGCGCCTTACCTGCGTCGGGGGTGGAGTCAGAGGATCCTGAATACAAAGTCTGGAAACAGGTCACCAAGAAGGATCGCGCGGTGATTGCGGCCGAGAGGCATCGGCTCTTTAAAGGCGACAAGCTCAACTCTGAAGAGCCGGCCTTGCTCCGGACTAAGGCTGGCATGCGACGATGGCTAAGGAATCAGAAGCAGGTCAATGCGGAGGGCGATAAGGCGCAGGAGTCGACTTCCCAAGGCATGGGATCGGGGAGCGCAGGGGAAACGCTAGCAGAAGGCATTGAGGTGGACGAGGATCGAGTGATCCCCGACTATTACGACGTCATGTCGGGGGTCCCCGACCTTCCTGCTCAGCTACTCTGGAAAGAAGATTCGGATGGAAACATAGTAGATGCTTCCGAGGAGTTCTTAAGAGTGCTGCCGCGAGGCTCCTTCACGCAGCCGGACAGCAAACTGGCCCGGAAGATGGATGCGAACATGCGCCAAATGCAGGAAACCCGCAAGATCTGCTCAAAAATCGGCATCGTCAAGCAAATGCAGTTACAATCTCAGGTAGGCAATATCTCTGCTGCAATTGGGCCCGTCTAACGCTTCGCAGATGTACCAGAATCAGTTCCAGAAATACCAACCGGAGCCGTTTGTCGAGCAGGATGTGCCAGCTCATGTGATGAACGATGGGGGACCGGTCATCTCTCCCTGGGTCTGCCGGGCGGCCTTGCAGCGCTCCGTGGCCAAGATTTTCTACCATACTGGCTTCGAGGAGTACCAGCCTTCTGCCCTGGATGCGGTCACGGATGCTGCCTCCGACTTTTTCCAAAAGATCGGCGAGACGCTCAAGTCCTACATGGAATCCCCCAAGGTTCCGGCGACGGACTCGGCCGAGGCCACCACTGCCGCTCAGTGGAAGCGAGCATATACCGAGCCAGAGATTGTGCTCCATACCCTCTCGTCGGTGGGCATCGATGTTGAATCTCTGGAGTCGTACATCAAGGACGATGTGGAGCGACTGGGCACAAAGCTGTCCACCGTTCATGACCGGTTGCGTTCGCTTCTCTCCGAACTCCTGCGACCCGCCCTGGCCGATGGCGGGGAGGATGGCTCCAGCGCTTTCCAGGACGGCAGTGAGCAATTCATTGGCGGTGACTTTGCGGAGGATATCGACGAGGACTTTTTCGGGTTCAAGGAGCTGGGGCTAGACAAAGAGTTTGGTCTGGCTACTCTCAGTGTGCCCCTTCACCTGCTACAAAACCGGATGTACAACGCTGCGCAAGCCCAGAACACCAGGTACATCCCTATTGCTTCCCGTCTAGCGTCCCATACTGATCGTTCCGCAGTGCTGCCCAGGCCATCACACTCTTTCCGCCCCCAGCATCATATCCGCGGATTACGGCCGCCAATCTGCCCTCCCAAATCGGCTTGGTCCAGGGGTTCTTTGCCTCGAGGCTCCAGACCAGCAACAACGAGCCCCTGGTCGAAGACCTTGAGCTACCACCCAAGCAACGTCCGATGGCTGCCCGACCCCGTCTGCCGGCGTCTGGCAAGATCCCGCCGCCTTCGGGGCCCTCCGGGCCGACATCCAGTCCACAGAAGCGACCACTTCCGCCCACGGCGCCGGGGCAACCGGCAGCGAAGTCCGGGGGGTCGGAACCGAGCAAGAAGAAGCTCAAGAAGAACAGCGGAGTTGCCGTGGGGGCTTCTGACCCGGCTGGCGAGGGCGATGAGGTCACAGCAGGCGGGGAAAGCAGCAAGGCAGCTCCAGCAAAGGCCACGACCAACGAGACCTTCGCCGTGGATGCGAATGCCAAAGGGGAAGGGGAGCCGGGGGCGCCCGAGGGCGCAGGAATCGAGAAGCATGCCTCAACGGGCACAAGTACAGGCATCCCAGGTTCTAGCCAGAGCAATGCAAGCGCAGTGGCCCTACCGAACGGGACCGCGGATGATGCGTCATGATGTGTATGATCATCTACCTTTTATGGGTTGGGTTGGGTTGGTTTGGCTAAGGAGCGGCCGGACGGGTTGTACTTTTATTTCTCTCTTTTCTACCGGTCCTTCGATTCTAACCTGGTTGCTTTTCTTTCTCACCTCTTGGCCTTTCTTTCGCCCGTGTCTTTATTCAGCATTTTTACCTGCCCGCCATGTCTGATTACTATTGTTCACTCCTTCCTTTCTTCATGATGTCTTCCATCTGGATGATATCGGATGCAATGTGCATCACCTCGACATTATGGGATAAGTCATATCCTATCACCGCATATCTTGTTCTCGTCCTGTCTATACCCATTATTGACAGCCGGCCAGACCCCCAAAAAAAATACCCGAAAGGAACCCTAATTTTGAAAAGAGATACTATATACATACATGCATACAATTCATTGATTTATCCTTATTCCCTCCATTCCAGTATTCCGGATAAAACTAGCCGCCAAGAATGATAGCTTCCATCCGATGCAGCGATGGTATGAGCGTTGTGTATCATGACACGAGCAAACGGTGGGCAGTCAGACATGAGCAGGGTATGGTTACATAGCATACATACCATAGCATAGGTAGGGTTGTAGGGATAGGGCAGGGGTAGGGTACGAAAGGGAAGTTTCCGATGTCGGAGGGTAGATAAATGGACATGGATATGAATATGGTATGGTATGACATGACATTAGTCCCATTTCTTAGAGGAAAGGAGAGTAAATAGAGCAAACAAACAATTAACTAACCCGGCTACCAAGCAACCCGGATCCAACTTTTTGTCCGACATTCCCCCCTCCTCTGCCCTCCCCTCTTCTCCCATTTCCTTTCCTTTAGCTTCGTTCCTCCCCCCCCTTACGAAGTACACTCTACTAGAAACCCAAGCCAAGACAAGAATAGGTCAAACAAGCACCAACACACTCAGAGGATCGTAGAGTGGGTAGGGTAGATAGACTACCAGATAGCATACCTATACCTATACCTATTTACCTACCCAGGTACCAATCCATCACCCACAACCAATACGCAATACCCAATACCCAATAACCACTAATCCTCAATTACCTCCCTCACTAACAGTGCCCAACCCTACCTAGTACCTTCGACTTCTCGCTTTCTCCTTTATTCCTCCGTCTCCTCTTATGCCTGATGCATCCCCAGTCCTTCCCAGTCCCAGTCCCAGCCCCAACCCCCAACCCCAGCACCAGCCCTACTCAAACAATGGGCCCACCAAGCCATATCAATCCAGTTTATCTATCTGAACCATCTCACTCATTACCCCCTCTCTCACTGGTCTCCTACCATTACTCCAATTTTCCCAGAGTAGGTATTAATGAGACAGACAGGTCTGTAGGTAAATCAGAAAGTGGTCAACCGAATACATCCCCTTATCAAACGCTCACCTGCTCACCCATGCACCACGTAACGAATGAATGCTGGTGGTCTGTTCATCATGCTCGTCATCGATCATGGACGTTTGCACCGACAGTGGCCAGATCCTGCTGTGCCATGCCGGTAGAACAGCTCGACAAACATCCAGTTCTTCGTAGGTCCTTTGTAGGTCTGGTTTCTCGTTTGGTTGGTGGACCGCGTGGCTTCTTTTCGTTGGTCTGATCTGCTAGGGTCAGAGACCGTTGGTGGCCGTTTGATGTGCTACCTGTACTCCTGACACGGCTGGGTCTGGCCGGTGAGATGCCCCACAGATCTCTATGCTCGACCAGCAAACAACAACACCCATCTACTACCTCTACGACCTATTGCACCATATCACTCCGTACTAGTGAAAAATTATTGGTATGAGAATAGCATTGACTAAGACGAGCGACGGTACCCTGTTCTGGCCTGCACAGCCCCTCAACCTAGTCCATCCTGCCATCAAGGCGGGTCAGTTCGGTCAAAGGGTATGCTACCTGAATTTGAGCATCTCATCGCAGTCGGAGCACTAAATAGCAAGCAAACTACCAGTTGACATGCCGGACGCCACTGGGATCAAAAGCTACCAATATCTCCACCGTGAGCCACTTAGATAAACCACATCGTAAAAGCAAGCCGATTGGGGCTGCTGAAAATGGCCAGAAGCTTCGCATCGAGGGGTCGATTGGGCGGCTTCGGGTTCGTGATCTTCACCTGGTTTCCACTCTGAGGGCCGGAGCTCGCGGGAACATTCTCATGAGAACGAGCACGATTGGCGATGAGATGGGCATAGTAAATAGCGGGGTCTAGGGTTTCACAGGTTAGCATATCAACCGCCACTGAAGAATCTTGAACAAGACTTACACAGAGACACCGAAGTGGTGGATCTGATGTACTGATAACAGTGATCGTAGATCATGTTTTGGATTTCGTGGGGCTTGTGGCCAATCTGGTCCAGAATAACGTGGTAATGAACCGGCCGCGAGGTTCCCTGAAGCGCAATGTGGGAGTACAACAAAAAGTCGTAGTCATGAGCACTGGTAATATCTCTCTCGATGAGAATGCCAGGCAGCGGGTTGTTGTTGCGATCCGCAGAATTGCGATCATTTGCCCGAGGGAACGCTCGCAAGTGGTGGCGCTTGTTGGCCACGACGACCGTGAACTTGCCTTTCCACTGATTATTGGTGAGTTGCATAAAGACACCCTTCATGTCCAAAACCTCCTGGTTGAGCACCGCTTCGAATTGGCCGGTCGAAACGCCGTCGCGGAAGTAATATACATTGTCGGGCGCGCGTCCTTGACCAACCGTCGACATCCACTCGCGAACCAGAGGCTTGAGCATCACCTCAATGTTGGTCCGCGCAATGATTTCCACCCGGTCGCTGTTGCCCTCGCAAGCGCCCCAGTAGCTTCCTCCGAAGGAATCCATGCAGACGGAAATGGCCGCCATGGAGGGAGACCAGACCCCCATGGGAGGATGGGTCACATCGGCGCCGATAATCATGGACTGAGGACGCAGAGTGGCGCCAGAAACCTTGCTCGCGACGCGAGCGGTCACTCCTCCCAGCTTGGCGTTAATCTTCATCAGCACGTTCGAGACATACTGCGGATTGACCCCGTTGGGTTTATTGATATGGTCCGCCTGCATGACTTGGGAGGGCACACCAAAGCGGCAGTCGCACGATTTTTTGATCCGGGTGTAGGTGAAGGAGTTCTTGTCCGCGACAATGAAGCACAGGAGCTGGGGTTTGATGTTGCTCGTCTTTTCAACCAGGTCATGCAACTTCTTGACAGCCTCCCCAATGTCCTCCTTGAGCTCCACGACGACGGGACGGCGGGCGATCCGACCACCATGCCCGGCATAGGTCTTCATAAACACATCGATGAACGCGTCCACCCTGGCCCGGGAGATCGGGTTGCGTCGTCCGGGGAAGTAACCAATGCCCCAAACCTCGAGAGGCTTCTTGTTCGGCAGATAGAACTTCTTTCCACGAAGGTCCCAACGGCCGCTGGTGCCCGGGTCAATGCGCTGGTTGTTCCCAAAAACAATGTGAGGGCTGGGCAGAAGCCGAGCTTTGGTCTTAATCATGGTGTCACCGATATGGAGACCAAAGGTGTTGCACACCGGATCCTCGGCGTGATTGAGCATCTTCTTGCAATGAAGAATCGTCTGCAGTCTGTCCTGCGGGCGAGATGCGGCATACTTGATCATCTGAGATGTCTGCCATTCATTCAACTTCCAGGGGTATCGCTGGAGGCCAACGATCGTCAAGATCTCCATGGGGTAGTAGACGCCTTTCTTCGTCATTTCGACCATGGGAAGTTTCCAGTTGTACAAAATCAGATTGTACTTGCGCTTGAAGTAAGCCTCCACGCTCATGTTCTCCGTCTTCCCGGTCGCTTTATCCCGAACGTCGATCTTGAAAGTGCGCGCATTGGCCTTGATGATGTTCTTGATGGTGAAGGGCTGGCCCTGGACGGGGCAGCCTTCGTAGAAGGGTGCCACGATAAGCTTGCGCAGGCGCTTATCAAGTTCATAAATGTAGTTGTCGCCGGTTGGATTGCCGTAGCGATCCTCTCCGGGCGTCACCAGAGCCTGGAGATGCTGATGGTCTCTAGCATCGCAGATGGCCATTGCCGCGCCTTGCAGACTAATCCGTGCCCAAAAACAGGTGTTGGATACGTCGATGTTGATGACCAACGTTTTATTCTAGGCCAGGGTTAGCTCAGAGGCAGAAGCGGAGACAAAGAGTGGAGTACTTACAATCGAAGGACGGATGGCTTGGTACACGCCCTTGAAAGCCAAAACACCGTTGCCGATATCCGTGTGTTCTCCCTTGTGTCCGTCGAAGAAGGAGCGCTTGATGGCAGTGAACTTGCCAGTGGGATGTTCTCGAAGAACGTGATCCAAAAAGTCTAGAAGGTCAGTTCGATGCCCCAGTCACTGTGGGAGCGACTTACTTAGGGCTTCGAGCACCCCATCCTGCATGGACGTCTTGCCCGAGAGCCAGTGGTTAAGTACTGACAGGTCGACCTTTCGGGTGGCCCGAACAACTAGACGGAAGGTATTGCCAGCTTTTCCGGTGACGGCACGTCCCGCATCGGCATCGAGATCGATCAGTTCATTGAAGCCGTCCGGGTAATGGCTCATGGACCTGTCTGCGTTAGTAGTGGTGCTGTCCGATGGATGTCTCATGCCTACCACGCCAGCTTCTGACCGTCGAAGATCATGTTCTTCAAGACCCTCTTTCGAGCGTTGGAAGCCCAGATCTTTTTGTTGATGATGGCCTTTTCGATTCCGCTGCCTACGAGGACCTGTTGAGGTTAGCAGGATCCAGCTCCGGGGTGGGTGTAACTTACATCATACTGGTAGACGGTGCGGGTAGGGTACTTGAGGATCGGGAAGGCGTTGACCTGCAACTCCACTTCTTTTCCGGTGGTGTTGAAGCCGGGACGAGGGACGGTGCGGACGGGGATATCGTACTTGACAAGCTGGTTAGCATCACGCAGTCGGAGATGGCGGAGGCCACCATCGAGCTTATTGATCGCCTCAATTGGGTCACCCATGATGGAGTCCAATTGAAGTTGGCAAAGCAGAGTCGGGTAGGATGAAAACGAAAAGCTGAGCAAGGAAAGAAGCCAATTGCGCAGAGGAAAGGAGATGGTGGGGAGAGAAAGGAAGAGGTGGACATTGGGGAGGATGAAGGGGTATATATAATCGGGATCTGTCCGTGAAGCAATCGCAATATTCCCAAATACAGTGACACCGGCCGATGAATACCGGCTTGTACATCAATAGGGAGTGGTAAATGGTGAATTCCTGCCATATGGTGGATGATAGCGATGAACCAATCGCCAAGGTGAATCCGGGCGGCAGTTGTCTGAAGGTACCAAGGGAAAATCTCAGGAACATGGGTGGTCAGGCAAATAGGTAATGGACCATGGAGGGAATAGCCGGGGATTGGTGAAGGGCTGAGGGAAGATGCAGCAGACGCGGCCCAACAGCTCCTGCCGGAACAAAACCAGTGCAGAGCAGCAGTTACACCACATGATGCATGTCCACGAATCCTACCTGGGTGATAGCCTGGACATTTCAAACATATTCGAACTTACCAGATGGTTGATCGCGAATGCCGACATCGGGAGGTCGACATTTCTGCACATATCTGTTCGCAGCTTGGGCCGATCGAGAGCCGGGTCTTGCAAAGGCGGACCTGTACTGGACGCCATGATACCCGAAGTGTTCGATGACGGTGTTTATGGTACTGTGGGTTGTGTTAAGAATGTTTTTTCGATCAGAAGAAGGCAGAAGGGTTCGTATAGGAGAAGGTGGTGAAGAGAGGAGGAGGAAGAGGAAGAAGAGGGAGGGGCCTTATATACCTGTGGGTCTTCGAGAACGACCAAGGCAGAGTGAGAGATGAGGAAGCAACCTGAGAGGGAGAGATGAGAAATGTGAGGGAGAGATGAGGGAACTGAGGGCCGCAACAACACGTCGAGCGAGTCGGGGGGGCAACCACGCGTGATAATCTCCAGATGAGGAAGGCGCGAGCCAGAAGTGAGTCGCCGCGTCTTGTGCCTTTTGTTCGCTTCTACGAGGTCCGCTAATGCTAATGAGGACTCCTGGCCGAGACGATGCCTCCGGATACCTCTGCTACGCCGATCCAGCCTTAGACCACGAGCTGATCATATCGAATACCTGCCGAATTTCGACCTCCTCTGTCAATTGTGCATTCGACATATACTCGATATCAAATCCCGGCATAATTCGACCCGAGAGATGGACAGCGGGTGCAGTTGGCATCTGGAATACACTTGGATAGACATGGGATACACTCGAATGGACACGGCACTCTAATGCATACGAAGCTTGGAGTCTACCATGGTGACCGATGCATGGCAGCGGATACGCATATCCTATTTCAGTAGACGGTGGCCGTCGATCAGAGATGCTGTCTTTTATATGAGCCCTACCAGCCAGACTGCACGGTAGGCAGCTGATAAGAATCAAACTGCGAGTCTGCTATGTACAGACGGTGCTCGACACCTCAGCCCTAGTTCCATCTCATAGACTACGAAGAGCATTCTCCAACTTATCCCTCCGTCTTTGCTACAATGACAGCCCGAAGCCAATATGACCGCCATCATCATTCAAATGATCGATCAATCAGCTACTCCTCTACTCGATACCACCAGACATACCACACCCACAACCACAACCAACCCACAGCCCTACCCACAGCACACCAGCAGCACCCACACAACCCTCCCTACCTGCCCTGACCGGTGTAAGTCTAGACCCTAGAATCAGGGCACCATATCCATACCACCCAGCCCAGCCGAGCCAGACCTGATACGTGGAAACATAATGAGTAAATCCTTCTTGTCACTGTGGTTACACAGTACACCAGGGAAATTAGATACCCAGGTCAGACCATATCTACGGAGTACCCTGTCCTGTTGGTAAGGTTACACGATCAAACGGGTGGGATGGATGTTTGTTGAACCGTTAACAAACAATAAACCATAAAGAATAAAAGAAAAAAAAAGAAAGGAAAGGAAACCCTACCAAACACAGGTTCAAAAGAAAACAAGAAAAGGGGGATAAGTAGGTAAGTAGCCCCTGATCACATTACCTAGGACTTCCAGGACAATACCCTCCCTTCTACTGGATAGGTAGGTAGGTAGATAGGTAGTATGTACCAACCATCCCTACAAAGAACAAATCAGTGATCAAAATCCCAGATAACCCAATCCAGCACATCTATCTCAGGATCTAATGGGAAGATATGTTCTATTTGTCCCTCCCCATAAACCTATTTCATATGGTAGATATGCAGTATCCACCCACATAAACGTCCTCGTATCTCCTACATTACAGTCTCAGCTAAAGTACCTAAGTAAGTAAGTAAGTAGTAAATATCCGTCTCCTCGATTAGTACAAACATGATTTATTCACAGAACCCCATTCCCTCCAATACAGATATCTACACTGGGTTAGAGAATTCAATTCGCAGGGTAGGTGAGAGGGCGGGTGGGTGATTCGCTATTTTGATTCACAGTACAGAGTACAGGAATATTAAGTTCTGGTAGGAGGTACTTAGGTAGGAATGGAATGGAATCGTACTACCTATTACGATTTTATAACCTGTGGGTGATGTATTGGCCTGTCTGGTACTGCACTACGTATAATCTCAGGTAATGAGAGGTGATGGATGGTATTACCTAGGGCTGATGCCCACGCGGGTACAGATCGAGTGAGCCTGGGTTGCTGTCTTACATACATACAGTAACTTTCATGAAGTGAGTTACTTTCTTGGTCCATTGACTAGAGTACTAGTGCAGTCCTTACTTGACGAGTGAGTTAGTTTAAAGTGAGAGAGAAGAGGCAGTAGTGAAAAGCTGGGGTAATTTCATCTGATCGTAGATATTCTCTAGTGATGTAAAAGATTTGGAGTGATTGAAGTGGGGGAAAATTGAAGGGTTACTGTGGTTTTCTATATGTATTATCGAAAAAAAAAACATGGTCATGGAGGGGTTTCTTTGATGGGGGATGGGTGAGGAGCTGGTACTATGTCGGGAGTAAGAGTATTGGAGTAAATGCTTACAGGTACTGTGCTTCACAGTCCAGTATATCATACCAATCAAAAATCAGCACCAAATGTAGACAGTATACTGCACCGAAATCTATTCAATATCCTCCCATCCTATGTACCCCATTACCCAACAATATATACTTTACCATCACATAGATGTAACGAATCAATCACCTAGCCTCCACCGTCGTGCTCCGTCGCCGAACAGTCGACCGCTGCATCTCATACACCTCTCCCCGTTCCAAATCATCCTCGACCGCCGACTCGGATGAGCTCTCGTCCCGGCGCATCATCACGCCTTCACCACCACCGCCACCACCCGTTCTTGAATCGCGACGGTTGTCCTGGTCTACAGGAACAGTCTCATCCAGACCGTGCGTGCCACCTACACTCTCCATGGTAAACGGACTAGCCGTTGGCGCATCCAGCAGAGACAGTTCCTCCGGGGTAAACCACCACGGGAACAGGAACGAGCGCACCGGAATCAGCAGCAGGATAATCACCGGGAAGCCAATGGCGGCGATGGTCTGGGTGATGGCAAAGGTGGCGCCGAAGCCGATCAATTCTACAATGACGAACACCCAGATGGCGAGGCGACGTTTGATGCGCTTGAGCGGGTTGGAGGCCGGCGTGAGGCCGCTGTCTTGGGCGAGGAAGATGAGTTTCTGAGTGATGCCGTTGCCTTGGAGGGCTTGCACGCCCATGATGAAGAAGAGACCTGCGAGAACAGCTTGGGGAATCAGGTGTAGCACGATCAGAAGCGGTCCGGTCATGGTGCCGAGTGTCATGATGCCCTGGGCAAAGTTGCTGACGCGCTGTTCGACGACGTGGTCGGTAACCCGGATGGCTTTGCCCTTGTTGGTGTCGTCCTCGTCGGCGACGTCGCGGGTGACGCAGAGCGCGGCCGTGTGGAAGGGGGCCTGGGGGATGAGACCGTTGGGGAACGGAATTCCCAGCAGACCGGCAACGAATGTGGTAATGCCCAGCAGCCACAGATCCCAGTGGAACCCGGCGGGCTTGCGAAGAGGGAACTCGGTGCCTTGGGCGATGAGAGAGGAGACTATCCCGTCAGCTGGGCCACAGAGCATATCATACCCGACTTACCATTATGATCAAAATAGAACAAGATCGTCAACAGCACCGCAAACGGAATGGCAAGAAACACATCCCCCACGCTGATATCCCAGAACTGCACCAACCAGCCTCGATCCGCCGTCGGGAAGAACGCCTTGCTGGTGGGCAGCCGTGCCACATCCACGTCCCTCATATGGCCGATGTGCACGAACCCGGTGAAGAACACAATGGTCAAGGGCGTGCCATAGTCCTCCAAGAACTTGCGAATATACCGCTTGAAGAGACTGCTATTCCCCAGCTCTCCACAAATCCAACCACTCATAAGCACCAGCAAAGCAACCATGATGCTCAGATAGGCCGAAGTCTCCCCGGCGGATCCCCACTGTCTCGTAAGAACCTGAATCCCCTTCTGGAGATAAATAAAGGCCACGTAGAACCCAAAAATATCACAAGAGAAGCGAGTCACATAGGTCAATCCATTGCAAGTATTAGTGATAGCCAACACCCAGTGCATAATCAACGACCATCTACCTCATCAGCACGCTCCCAAAGACCAGGGCTCAAATCAAGATAACTTACATCCCAATCCAGCACATAAACGCCAGATAATTCGTCCCGCGAGGCGAGATAATATCATAAACGGTATAATTAAACACCGTAATGGGACCTACACCATCAGCCACCACCCCTACCCCTACCCCAATGACTTAAGGAATATAATATACTCACCCGTCACCCCCACAATAACCAACGGCTGCGCAGCAAACAGGGAAAACACCACGGCGGCCAACACCGACGCCAGGAGGACCTCATTCACGCCATAACTCTGATCCGTTTTTTCGAACATATCCAGTGAAAAGGCCAATGCGGGCAGAATACTACCCAGTCAACATACCCACATACCAAACACAGACAAAAAGAACAAGAAAAAGAGCAATCGAGGAGAAGGGAGGGGATCAACTCACTTGGCAAAATACATATACACCGTCGCCGGCACGACACGATAATCCCACGCATCGGTCCAATCACTCCAGTAGTACGGGGCGCGACGTTTCACGTCCTGAACCATGCCGCGGAAGAGGTGCACTTTCCACCATTTTTCAGATCGATTGGATTGGCGGGTATGTTCTCGCGACAGAGCGGAGGTGGGTTCATGACGAGGGTTGCTGTTGTTGCTGGGGTGCGATCGGCTGGTACTCGCCGGTCGGTGCTGTGGCGACTGCGACTGCGACTGCGATTGCCATGGGCGTCGCGAGTGCGAGGCTGAATCGGATGACAGGAACATGTCCCCGTGGGAGATGGAGGAAGCGGGTCCCTGCATGGTGGATGAAATTCCGTACTGGCCGGACTACTCCGTATACTCCGTACCTACGCAAGGAATCCTCTGGAGATGACGGTGGAAAAGTGCGCGGCAAAAGCAAGACAGGCAGCCGAAATCTTATCTGGGGAAAGGTGGAGACGGCACGGCAGATGGCTGACGGCTGACGGCCGCCGACGGTTGCGGAGATACAAAAGGGGCGACTGACTTCTAGAAGCAAAGATTCTAGTCCACGCGAGGGACCACGCGGGAATAAAAACAAGAGAATAAGATGGAGGGCATATTCGGTAGCGACGCGAGCGATTCATGCTAGTGCCTAACGTCATTGGCTTTAGCGAGCGACGATTTGCCGACGGGCAGCCATGCGTATTGCGCGCAGAACCCCCGGTCCATCCATGCATTATGCAAAGCTTCGTGTCGCTGCAGGCAAGCAGGCAAACAGTACGCTGGTTGTAACTTAATTAACTAATACACGGAGATTCAGTGACATGTCCAACCCCGATCGTCTGCTGATCCTCATGCCGATTCACAAGTTGTTCCAAGAGACGACTGTCACACCTCCCTACGCTCGCCTCCACTCAATTTACCATCTTGAGACCCACATCTCGTTATTATTCAATAGCACATCACCAACTTTTTGTCATCACGCCCTCTAAGCCGGAGGGGGAGGGGGCGGGGGCTGCTCGCTAGGCGGCTGTCATCAGTCAGTAAGCGCTGCCACTCGTAAGCAAAGGGATGAACGTACCGGAGGTGGGGGTCCCTCGCCAGGAGGCGGAGGGGGAGGGCTGCCACCCGAGCCGTAATACATCGACGGCATGCCCGGGGGCGGCGGAGGCGCGCCCAGACCCGGAGGAGCACCCGGAGCGCCCATGCCGGGGTAAGCAGGATAGGCTCCGTATCCATAGGATGCCTGTCCGCCAGGGGGCGGGGGCGGGGCCTGAGCCGGCTGGTGCCAGGGAGCAGCAGCGCCAGGAGCAGCAGGAGCCCCGGGAGCACCATAGCCACCCTGCGAGCCATAGCCGTAGTCGCCGCCGCGGTTCTGGGCAGCCCAGGGAGGGGCACTGCCATGGTCGCGGGGGGCGTAGTCATCCCGGCGATCGCGGCCGCGTTGCTGCCAGGGAGCCACGTCGCTGGGCGGGGGTCCGCGCTGCCACGGCTTCATATCACGGTCATCATAGCCTTGATCGGGGCCCGCCTCGATCCGACGAGGCACGTGGCCGTCTTCTCCGGGCGCACCACCAGACAATTCTTGCATAAGTTGCTACACCAGTCAGTATGCATCGACAATGATATGTGGCATTGACCAACCTCCATCTCACGGTCGACAGCGTCACCGCCGCCAATGGCCCTGCGGGGACCGCCAAAGCCACCACCGTTGTTGTTGCGCCAGTCGGAGCCTCTCTGGCGGTCGGGACAATCACGAGCCATGTGGCCCGCGTTACCACAGACGCGACAGATAATGTTGGCGGTGAAATTGCGTTGCTCGGGGCAGTCGTACTTGCGGTGTCCAATTTGACCACCTGACAGGTTAGCCGGATCCAACATCCATACAATAGGGCACCTACAGTTCTGGCAAGCCTGATTCTCATCGTCACGGAGAGTACCGTTGAGCGCAGCCAGCTCACGCAGCTGGTTCCGCTTGAGCTCATTCTGACCCTCGGGGATCGAAGCGGCCTGTTCCTGTTAATCCAAATCCAACACGTCCGGCATGCCACGTACCGTCTCAATAACGTTATGCACCAGCTTCTTCGCCTTGTTAACCTTTTCCTCAGTATCTGCCATGATCAAACAATGAAGATCTTCTTCCTGGTTGCTGGCGTGAGCGGCATCAGATCGACCCTTTCCTTCCTTGACGGAGCCCTTGCCACGGATCGCAATCTTGGCCCCGGACTCCGACTCCATCTTCTTCAAGGTATTACCACGAGGACCTATGAGTAAGCCAACTTTAAAAGATAGCAAAACGCTAAGTGTTAGTGCAAGCTGTTTTTCATCCAGATTGAGGGTGAGTGCAAAGAGCAAAGAGGGTAGAGCAAGGTGCAACATCAAGCAGCCAGGGTTCTTCGCGAGAAGCGAGCTGGAGAAGATAAACAACGCTCGATGGCGAAGTCTTCATCAGAAGCCCGACTCGAGCAAAGCACAGAGCCAAGGAACGAATACAGAATACAACAATGGTTAGGAGTTAGAGGGTTAGTTATCATACTGAAGTTAATCTCTGGATAGTCATTCACAGGCACATAGACCTTCTCCTGGGTCTTAGTAGGACGTCTGTAGTCAGACGGCGGGTGATAATTAGGGATAGACTTCATCGCCTTTTCGACGAGTTTGTGGCGCTCATCCTCGAGACGCTTCCGATAGCGATATTCCCTAGTGTTTACACGTCTGCCAAAGTTATCGTACTGGGGGGGAGGCGAGGGAGATCTACCATCATCACATTAGCAAGCCCACTCCACCAACACATCAAAATCAAGGGATCACAAACCGATCACCATCAGCCGGAACGACATCATTGATCCGCAACTTCTGGCTAATCTCCTCGATACGCAAATGCAACGTATACGCCTCCAACTGTTCATTGGTAAAGTTGGCCATGATCATGGTCGGCAAGCCCATAAGCCCAGCGGCCTTGTTCTCCTGCGCATCACCCCAACGGTTCCGCTTCTTGCGCTTCTTAACGCCGTCCACGGGGGGATCAGCTAAATCCCATCATTAGCATCCTGCACTCATCGCATCCTGTCAACGAAACAAAGCACCCACCGCGAACAGGACTCCTGCCACGCTTGTAGCCGGTATCCCCGGCCGTGGAGGCGGGCGTCGCAGTGCGACTCTCATCCTCCGGGCCCTCATCGCCTCCAAACCGTCTCCGGCCCAGAGGGATGTTGTTGGACCCGGTGATTCCCTGGTTGCGCCAGGCCATGTCTCCTGGTGCTGCGGCTGTGCAGTATGGTTAATCGGTCTGATCGGCGAGCAATAGTCTCCGTGGCTGTCTAGATGATGGGCGATGTTCGCAAGTAAAGCTCCAGGCGATGTGGCAAGCTTTTAGGCCGGGCACGTGGGGGATGACTAAGCGGTCAGTAAGCCGAGGCCAACCATCAGTGGAGTGTACGATTAAAATGGTTGTATGAATGAATGACGCTTTCACAATATAAAACTATTGACAGGATACAGCACCATAACCATCTCATCTGCTACTGAGCAAAATTACAAATCATTATAAAGTGGCAATAAAATCTACAGCTAATGCTTCGCATCGGCCTTCATCCCCTGCTGAATCCAAGCCCGCGCCTCAGCAGCCTGCTTCTCCGAAGCAGCCTTATCCTTAATGAGCTCCTTAATCGTATGCGGCGAAGGGACATGCCGACCCTTCTCGACGCCCTCGCGAGCAGCCATGCGCTCCTCCCACGCCTTGACATGGGGGAACTCCTCAATATCCACACCAGCCCAACCCGCCGCCGCCACCCACCCCCAGTGCGAAATATCCGCAATACTAACGTGGTCACCGACCAGATACCCAGACGCGGAAGTAGACAGATGCTGATCCAGCACGCTATACAGACGCCGGGTCTCGTTGACGTAGCGGTTGATGCCGTATTCGACGCGCTCGGGCGCGTAGCGCGAGAAGTGGTTCGCCTGGCCTTGCATGGGTCCGACGCCGGCGTTTTGGAAGTACAGCCAGCTGTTCATTTCGTAGTATTCGCGGGTTCCGCGGGGGAAGGAGATCTTGTGGTCCGGGTCGTATTGTTCGATCAGGTAGGTGAGGATGCTGCCGGATTCGAAGAGGCGGATCTTTTGCCCGTCTGTGAAGGTGTCGGTGATGGCGGGGATGCGGCCATTGGGGTTGATTTCCAGGAACCAGCTGGGTGGAGTTAGTTAGGTGAGCCTGTGCCTGGTGGGAAGGATTGGGCTGGGGCAGTGGTCGCATACGGCTCTTTCTGGGTGTTTTTGGAAATGTCAATCTTCTCGACTTTGTAGGGCAGACTATACGATTGGTTAGCTGTATGGAATGGTGACAGTGGGGGAGGGGTTGAGCATACCCTAGCTCCTCCAATGCGATGGAGATTTTGATGCCATTGGGGGTCTGGGCAGTATACAGGGTGATGTCGGGACGGCTCATGTTGGCGGATGTATACTGGGAGAACAACCGACGGGAGTATGGAAAGTAGACTGATGGGGATGCAAACGACCGCGCCCGCGGGGCATTATATAGGCCTGTCACCACACGAACCCCGCTCATACCGTCGGATGAATAATAAGAATCGTAGAATCATGCTGGACATGATGCCATTATTATCGCCGCCAGTCGCCGAGCTCGCCGACTGCCCCACCCGCGCCATGCTTGATTTCTAAGCTGTTGACCCGGCTTCCAACAGTATCCATGAGGGGCTTCACTCCCATTGCATTAGTCACCCAGAGGCTGCTAACTACATTGATAGTACTACTGAGAATCTTGCTTAACTGCACCTTGGTCATCCTCGGGTACTCCAACGTAAGCATAGGGAGCGACGGAACTCAAGACATCCTCCCGAGAACTAAGAAGTCCCGCAAAGACAAAAGTCTCCGAAAAGAGCAATGGAAACCATCATTCAATAAAGAAGGACCGACATGTCCACAAGATAATGTGTTCCAAAAATAAATTGGTATGTGCAACCGAAGCTCGGAGCCACGCAAAGACAACTATATACCCTAAACCAATAGCAACCAAACACCGGCAGAATCCAACCACGAGAGTAACTCGTAGAGATAATCAAAAAGAACGAATAAGACTTGGCTTCCGAGCCGAGTGATACGGGGCGAAATGGGGCCAAAGTGACCGCCTCCATTCAAAAGGAACCCCAGCCCGGCTTACCACGTAAAACTCTCTTCAATGAAATCTACCTGTGTCTGATTCTGTCGCTTGCGGCAGACCCGGCGAACATCGTCGCTCAGGCTTCCGTTTCCGCACACCAGCACCCCCATGGCCCCGATCTGGTTCTCGACCTCCAGACCGATCAAAGTGTCCACGTTGGGCCGACCGGGGAACATCTGAACCGTTGCGCTGGGGCTTTGGATCTCCTTGGTATTGCGCGGCCGGGTGATAAACAGCATAATCCGGAGCACTTCGCGGCGACGGTCCATGGCCAGGATGCTGGTCATCCAGGGCCGAATCCACTCGAGGTGCTCGGGGGACTGGATGATCCAGACCAAGGTGACGCGACGGGCAGCCACGGTGCCTTCAGCGAACCCTTTGACAAGATGGCGGACAAAGGGGACTTGATGCGTGATGCCGACACCACCGGCAAAGAGCATCACCGTGCCATAGGAGTCCATGGTATGGATGCTACCGTACGGGCCTTCAGCAAACGCCCGCAAGGACACCCGCCCCCCGATGGCCTTCTGAGCACGCTGGAACAGCTTGTCGGTGAATCCAGTTCGCCGACGCACCAGCAAAGAAATGGTCGTCTTCTGCAAGCCCACCAAGTCTTGCTGGGTCATGGGGATGCCTTTTTCGCCCGCGGGGAATTCCTCGGCTTCGCTCCACCCGACGGAGAACGGGTGGCTCATCCACCATCCAACAGCGGGGATGTACAGATAGATGTGCTGTCCGGGGTGGAAGGCCCAGGGACGCGCCATTTTCAGGGTAATCCGCATGGCGTCGCCCGGAAGGGCCTCGATATGCGCCGTCGTGGACTCCCGCCCACAGTTGCGGTATACGATGATAAAAAGCCGAGCCGCGCGCTATTCCACGGTTAGTCCAGTCCCAAGATGCAATAGGACAATCATAACGTACCTCGAGAGCCCAGAAGATAACAGCGACGAGAAGGTAGTTCTGAGACACCATGCCATCCAAGTGCAGCCACAGGAAACCGAACGAAACCGCAACCAGCACCATGTGGAGGTGGAGGAAAGTCTCGTAGAAAGCATGGCGGATAGGGGAGGGCGAATGCACAAGAAGGGCAGTGAAGGCACATGCAGCCTGGGGTCAAGTTAGCGAGATTTCATGTCGACATTGCCTTTCCAGGACACTTACAATCAGTCCGTTCAGCATGAAGCTGCTCTCACCAAACACCATTCCTATGACATCCCAACCGGCTATACGATGGTCAGCACACATGACCACTTGATTTCAGCTGCGATCACCAACCTGACTGAGCCTTGGGTATAGCCCAGGCAAATACATGGGCAAGGGACTGTAGGACGACGATCCGAGCGAGCCAACGGTGGATCAAATTGAAGGTATCGAAAGGCACCTGAAGCAGGGTGATGAGGGGATTGTTCCTGCCGGCCATGAGCACCACGGGAATAAGGTTCACAGTCGCCATGGTTCCGGTGCGGTTGCGGATCAGGCCCGCAACCGTGGTCTCTGCGGACCCATAGGGCACCGTGACAACGCACAGGACGACGTTCATCACGACGATGCCCACCAGAAGGAACGAGTGGAATCGGCTCGGCAGCGTACCCATGTTGACGGCCCGCGACAGCTGGAATTCGCGATTGTGTCGGGTGCGGAACAATGGCGCATAGATGATATGGTTGTTGATCTTTGCGAGCATGCCGTGGGGGGAAACAAAGTATCGTTGGCGCTCATTGGTGAAGCTCGCCAGTCGTCTCATATGGCTCGCAAGGCGGTGCCACATCTTCCATACATAGATGAAGGCAGCCATCAGGCCCAGGACCATCAGACTGAGGCGGGCGAGGTCGTCGTTGAGCATCTCGTATACCGAGATGCCTCCATGGCGCTTTTCGAGCTCTGCGGCCGAGGCAAGTCCAACCAGGGACGAGCAGAGAAGAAGGGAATGCATCTTTTGAGAAGGAGAAGTGAAGAAACGAATGGGAAGAAGACTTTACAATCGACGTCGGGGTGCCGAAAAGGAGTTCTTGTACGAGACCAGCTCTGAGAATTTTATGCAGGGAAAACTGCCCGCAAAACTTGCCACAACCCTTGTCAATTTGACCGGGCGAGAGACCCAATGAAGGTGATGTGAAGTCTCTCGAAGTGTTGGCTGGCGTTGGGTTTGGGAATCAATATATCCCACGTCCAGCTCGACCAGGGTTCACCAACAAGGGGATTGTTTTCGCGCTTTGTTTCACTGCGCAGGGTACACCCTTGAACAAAGAGAAAGCGACCAAGTCGGACCAGGGTCGAGGAACCAGCAGAGAGCTTGGTGTCCCGGTTACAGGGAATGGACGGTCGCTCGGGGTCTGGATACTTTTGTGCGGAATCTCCCAAATGTGGCGGGCAACGACCGGAATGTGAGGTGAGGGTGAACCGGTCACTCTCTCTTCAGCTAAGGAAAAAGTTTGGAAAGAATGGGGATTGGGTACCAACAGCCAACAGCGGCCAACAGCAACCCAGAAGCGAAAGAGACGATTGGAAGAACGAAAGCAGGGATGTTGAAAAGAAGGGCTATCCTGTAGCCGAGTTGTGAAAAGAAAGCGCTTAACACCAGGTGTAGAAGCGAGATGCAGAGAACGGCACGAAGAGGAGGACTCTTTCCAGGCGTGGGGAATGAAATGATCAAGCGAAACCTTCCTCCGCTTATCCATCACCTTTCACGCCCTTGGCTCCTGGCTGGAGCTCCTCCGGGCCCAGCATCAGGGCCCATCCCCATCGAGTCAATGCATCGCCGAGTGGGGAGGGGAGAAGGGGAGACAGGTCGAGCCATGGACTATCGCCCGTCCGGTGACTCCTGTCAAATTTGCCTCCCCGCCAAGGGAAGCGGATATATGAGGCCATTGCGGCGAGGCCGGGAGCGCTGCTGAATGGTTCGAAGGTGAAACGGCCCAGCGGAGGCCGGATCAGATCTCGCGGCTTGGCTGGGGATGAGCTGGCTGTCGCCCTTGCGTTAGCGAGCCAATCTTGGCGCCCATGGCGGGCGTCGGCGGGACCAAGTGGGTTGGCGCGGTTTGAGATGAGCAGCAGAGAGTCAGGAACCGGGCAAAGACCTTTGCAAGTCATTGCCTGTTGTGGTCTACTCCGTATAATCCGTAGAATTATTCGCGATCCTGATGGGATGATGCAGAAAGGATGGCGGCGAGACGACGAGAAGGATCTATTCTTGGCAACGGCAGGCCATCTCCATTGATTGGCATTGTGGCCATTCATTCATTGTCCCGGCCACCAATGGTTTGGGCGGTTTCTCCCGTCAAGCTCCCAAGCCACTCTCCAGTCTTGAGTCCCAAATGGATATCGTCTCCGAATGGCTTCTGACAGAGTTCTTGGTCATCCCTAATCGTGGAGGGCGGGATTCAGGGAGTACTCCACTCCGTTGACCTCCAAGGCCCCAAGCGTCCTTGCGCATTTAGCTTTGAGACATTCATCATACTTCGTACACAGTACTTCCTCTGGACTGTACTCACCGTAGTGAGCATCACCTTTAGCTTGGCTTCAGGCAGGTAAGTAGTTATATCTTGCTTCTTTTCGGCAAGTTTCCACCCAACTCATCCACTGAACCCATTCCGATTCTGGTCTCAGAAAGCTTGCCACTGGGGCCGTGGGCATGGAATGGAATGAATGAATTAAATGAACGAAACTGGGCCAGCCGCCGATGCGGCCCGGCAGCAAAGCGCAAAGAGCCCCGGCCTGTTGACTGTTTTACTGTGCGGGACGCTATATCGTCACGCCTTGCCCAAGGCGGCAGGTGGGGAGCGAGCCCGGCTGAGAAATTCACCCAGGGGGAGTCCAGGATTCAGTGCTGGTGGACCGGGCGCTATCGAGTAGATACTAAGTACTACGGAGTACTATCTTGATAGATAGTATCGCCCGGTCTCAAGAAGTCACGATACACTTCGGCCGTGGCTGTCATCGCTAGTGCGACGCTGTCAAGTGTCACCAACCTGTCACTGCGGTTGCTTCATCGCGATCGATCACGTCAGGGGTGACTCCGTGGGGTTGGTTTAGGGGGTTTCAGAGTCCTCCGCCGCCCAAAGCCAATGTCATCGTCGAGTCCAAGGTAGTTAACTCTATCCATTATCGCGAAGTCGTAGCATACGGTGCAAGCAATACCAAAATCCTATCCCCCAATCCAATGACCGGAACCAAGAATGCCTGCCGCGGGTATCATCCTGAACCAGAAATCCCAAAATAATGCACCCTACGCAGAAAACCAAAATGATAAACGAAAAAGTCTCCCAGGAGGATGGAAGACCCGCCCAAAAATTGAGAACTCCCAACAGTCCAACGCCACCGCCAGAGCCAATTACCCCGCTCACAAAAAACTCAGCTCATCCTCGCTGTCGTCGTCTGACCCAGGAATCACCCGCTGCATGGGCAATGGGCGCGTCCGGGTGGATCGTTGAAATCCCTCCGTCTTCGACGGGCTGGGAACCGGGAGCAAGGGCGTCACCGGGGGTGGGCGGTTAATGATAACCACCTCGATCTGGGGCACCACCTTGATTGGGTCCGCCTGGATGGAGGACGGACGCTTCTTCACGACGCAGTTCTTGGCTTGGGGCAAGTCACGAAGGGCCGTCCGCGTCCGGGCGGCTATCGGTGCGGAATCGGGCTCCTGGGAGCGAGCCGCTGCGACGCGCCCGCGAATCGCCGGCGACACGCTGGATGTGATGGGGGCTGCAGCCAGCGTCCGGACACTGGACCGGAGCCTCTTGGGTGACGGTGGCCTCCAATCATGGTTCGCACGCTCTCTTTTCCCGGACATGGATGGCGCAGATGATGTCACGCTCGACGCTATCTCCTCCAAAGGTTCAGGGCTGGACGATCTGCTACTGGTTGAGCAGGCCATCGAAAGCCGCTCAGCTCTCCCAGCTGTTGGGCTCGGTATGCAGCCAACACCACGTGTGGCCAGGGGCTTAGAGGCCGGCGTACTGGCCACCCACTCACCGATGCTGTCTTCCCATCGGTACAAGTGGATCGCATCATTGGGCGGCACATGCGCCACAGCAGGGGACTGTTCTGCACTCCCTCCCTGTTGGGACGAGGCCGCCTGGCCTTGAATTTCCAGAGCCCACGTGTGGTCGTCCTCATCCAATGTAACTTCCGCCAACGCCATGGCTGTTTCCGCGGCCACCTTAGCGAGCAGCAAAGAAATACCGCTCATGGTCGTTATTTGAGCCAGCCGCGATACGATCGTTTGGATGTCCCGGGGCGTCCGAGCAGGATCATTCTTGCGCGCATGACCACAGCAGTGAAACACTTGTTGGACAAACTCTGCTAGCTGTTTGACCACATCATGTTGGTGGGCTAATGATAGGCAGAACAATTCTATATTCTCCCGCGAAATCGAGTCGGACTGGCCAATGACCTCGGGCACGGGTGTTTCGCTACACTGAAGCGTCCACTCACCCAACAAGACGTAGCCCCGGCGCAGGGCTTGAAAACTGGGGCCTTCCATCTCACGTCGCGACAACACCAATCCAATGGCCCGTTGCACCCCCAAGGACAATGCTTCAACAACATACCGGACCATCATGCCAGTCGATTGATCATTGGCACCGGCGGCTTGCGATCGTGCCAGATACATACCGCAGAGAGCGGTGACCAGGCTCGCCGAGAGGTTGCTGAGCGCATCTTGGATGGGAACAGGACACGGAGACTGGTCTTTGGGTACACTCGTGGGATTCATGACCGAGGCCCGGGTGTCCATGGACCGTGCAGAACGAGACGCGCCTTTACCCTTCCCTCGCGCGATCACTGAGTCCGTGGCTGGGTAGATGCCAGCGGATGAAAGAATGATGGCCTCGATAGCCCTGGTTGCGGCAGCTGAATCTCCATCGCCGAGAGACAGTGATCGGATGGCCCCGTCCACGCACTTCTTCCACCGGGTGGTGACCATCCATTCCGGCGGGAAAGCCCTGCGGGATAGAAGCTTGGCCATCTCGTCGAAAACGAAATACCTTCTGCCAGGGGCCCTTGAGTAGTAATTGCGTAGTAGATGAATAGGATCATCGCAGTGGCTCCCGGGTCTGAGAGGGTCAAAGGCTGGTGGATAGTCGTATGCGCTGATAGTTGTAAGATATCGTGATATAAGCGATTCGAAAGCGTCCAACTCCCCGTGCTCCAGACACTCCTCCAGAAGCCGACAGGCAGCCAGTTTGGATACCCATCCCCGCAGCATCATCTCCGCGATGAGGTGGATGCCCTGCGCGCGCACGGCATCGCGAAGTGGCTGCCATCCATTACCGCCAGGTGCATAATGAGCTTCCAGCTCTGTAAAGTATGCATCGCACATGTCGACCTCGCCATCCTCATCCGCTTCATCCTGCAATCGCTGCTCTTCGGCCACAAACTCCGGAAGACGTCGCGCTGCCATCGATAGCAACGACCGGGCTCCGCGACCTTCCAGTTCATGTTTGTTTGCGCCCGACGGAGCAGCCCGCGTATTCTTCAAAAATTTGATAAGCACCCGATCCAAAAAGCGCGCAATGTCCACAAAGCCCGGATCACCCGACAGGTCCAGGACTTCCTTCCATGAGCCCTGGTAAGCCGGGAAACTGGGATTGTTCGTTCGGGATTGCCTCCGACGATCGCTCGACTCGGCGTTACTCGTGGGCGGGAAAATATTTCGAAAGAGTTGTTTCCGGATCGATGACGAAACGTCCGACGGCCCTTGTGCGGTTCCGGTGATCAACGGGGTCGCGATTTCAATGGCACCAGGCAGTGTCCTCTGCACCTCGGGGCTTTTGATCAACAGTCGACTGCGCCGTCTCACTCCATTCTTCTGTCCGCGACTCGAGTAATTGTGTCTGATTCGGCGATTTCCCGGTTTTCCAGGGATCCAGGCAGGATCATCGGGTTCTTCGTCCGAGAGATTGCAGCCTGCGTCAGTGGCCACTCTCTTTGTCGGGGCTCGCACACGGTCGGGGGCTGGTTGATCGGGCTTGCTTTTCGATTTCGTGTCGGCAACGCTGGATCGGATCTCGTAGTGTTTCTGTAGTCGGTGGTGGATGGATGTCAAGGGGCGCAACATGCGGTTTGCCCATCTCGCGGTCGGTCGGATATCCTCCATGTTGCGCCGGTTGGCTCGCTGTCTATCGCTAAGACTCCCAGGAAGTGTCACGTCCGTAATTGGATGCAAGTCAAGGAGGGCGCATCAGAACCAGGCTCGTCAGGATTATCGATGCTCATAAATAGTCCATGTTCTGCGGGCTCGCGACTGGGTATGTGAGATAACCAAGTTGCTAATACATTCTCAAGAAACCTGAATAAGTCCAAACTCCAAAATAACTCTGTTGATAAGATGATACAGCGCGTCCCGATCAAAGGGACCCGGGGTTTAATTGAGAAATGTAGGATGCTGGAGTAACAGTGACGGTCGATGTGCCGCCGTCGATGTAAACATTGCCGGGCCCGCCGGATGCGGTTAGCGTCGATCCTTAGTCAGGATCGACTCGTCTCGACCATTTGCATAGTTGGTGGGAGTCTTTACTACTATCGTCTCAGGCAATTCTACTATACTCCATACTAAAAGGACTAAGCACAATCAATCACGTCTAGGGCATGTCTATCCATAACCTCATGAAAGAAGAAAGCAGCAATGCAGAGTGGCCATACGAAGGTAAATAGCTTGCTAGCTAGCCCACACCACAATCTACTTCTGATGCTGAGAGCCTAATCCCCAAGTAAATCCAAAGTAACCTGCATCTCACCTGCCCGACGAATCCATTTAACAGACCTTTTGCCTATATGTGTCGATTGAAATTTATTTCTTTGAAGGTTGAAATCCTTCTTGCTCAATAAATCTGGGATAAGTAGATGCAAATATACTAAATTCTAAGAAGCACTGTCCCATCGTTGGACTTCTTGCTTGTTCATTGATGGGTAAGATGATCTCGGATCGGTATGGCTCTGTTCGTTGGACGAAGATGGTGATTTATGGGGCAATACAAGGCTATTTTTAGATAACTTTTCAGCAGAGATGACTTGTGATAATGTGTAGGTAGTTGTTCTTCCTGTATTATGCTTTCTAAGATACCATCTGGAGAGAAGATGGTGAGGAGGAAGAAAGATCCAAGAGTGGCTTGATGATTGGGATCTACCTCTGATCTGATCATTTATAACTATCCAGTTGGATATCTTCACTGGGTTTCTATATGGAAGGGCGGAGTGACTAATGATCCTAGGAGAATGGCTGATGAATGACTTCAACTTCAATAAATCTAGTGAGTCCATCTAGATTAACTCAGATTCACTACACAATCAGAGCACCAAAGCATAGCATCGTTACAGGGTCGTATTGGATAACCACCATCATCGTATATAATACACAGCATGCAAATCGCCCGACCTGGCCATGCACTGCCCGCGACAGAGAACCCATGCCAGAATACATCAATTAAAACACATGAGAAAAAAACCCATAGCACCAAATCGGCGCGAGAGTAGAGAGAATTCTACAGTCAAGTAAAACGTCCCGCTCATCCAAAACATCAACTCTTTGCAGGGATATATAGAGCCAAATAATACCTCTAGTAAGACAGGCAGAGTCCGAGAAAATGGAACCAAAAACAATTTTAGCTTAGCCAGAGGCCATGCGAAGAAAGGTGGGGTGGCGGAGGGAGATTATGTTCACGCTTAGGCCGAGGACTTCTTCGATCCACGGAGCTTAGGGTTGCTGGCGGCAGCGCGCTTCTTCTGCTTGGCCTTGGAAGAGCCGGTGTCACCACCCTCAATGAACTTGAGCAGCTCATCGACGCTGCGGGAGTCCAGGGAGGAGCCGCCAGCCCGGGCGCCAGCGGCCTCGACGGTCTGACCGACCTGAGGCTGGATCTTGGTGCCGAGAGAGCGAGGGTTCATGTTGACCCGGCGCAGACGGCGGGCCTGGATGTCCTTGGCGTGCTTGGCGATCGAGACCGCGTTCTGAGTGAGCTGCTCCAACCAGGTCTCGGCTTCCTTGGTGTTGCGGTCGTTGGGACCCAGCTGGCTAAGGAAGATGTTGTAGGCATCACGCATCTTGGCAACGGCACCCTTCGAGTCCTGGTCAAGAGCCAGCGCTTGGGCCAGCTGGAACAGGATCGTCGCGGTGTTGATCGACTGGCGGCCAAAGAGCGACTCGCAGACCTCCAACGAGGCCTCGAACCACTTGCGAGAGTCCGCGTACTGCTTGAGGTGCTGCAACATCACCGCGGCATTGTTCATGGTGGTGATGGAGTCGGGGTGGTTGGCGCCGTAGATGATCTTCCAGAGATCCATGGCGTGCTTGATGTAAGCCAGAGCAGTCTTGGTGTTGCCGGAGGCGTGCTCGAAGAGACTGAGGTTGAGGTAGCTCAGAATGGTGTCGGCCGAGTCCACACCCAAAGTGCGCTCAGTGACGATGACAGCCTTGCGAGCCAACTCGACAGCGGCTTCCTTCTCGTCGGTCTGGTAGTAGAGCATGGACAGCTGGTGGTAGAGCTTGGCGACCTCGGGGTGGAGGATACCGTAGATCTGCTCGTGCAGAGACAACGATTCCAGAATGAGCTCCTGGCCCAACTGCTTCTGGTTCTGCATAAGCGAGATACGTCCAGCTTCCAGGGCCTCCTCGGCAAGGGAGCTCCGGGGAGAGGCATCCTTGACCAAGGGCACAATGTTCAGGATGTCATCGGGCACAATGGAAAGAACGGGCTTCTCCACGGCGGCAGCGCGAACGGGGGAGCTCGAGTCACCACCCTTCTTCTTCTTCTTCTTGTTGCCCTCATCCTGACCGGCACCGTTGACGCCGTTGGTGGCAGGAACCTTAGCAGGGATCTGCGACTTGTCGAAAATGAAGTCACGGGCACCAAGCTGGAGACCGAGCTTGATCGACAGATCACGGAGAAGCTGGAGGTGTCTGAGGGAGCTGGACCACTCGGACTCCAGAGTGAAGCGGTAGCGGATGGTAACCTGCTTCTCAATCTCAGTGCGGAGAGTGGCAGGGGTGACCTTCTCGAAGGAGAAGTCTCCCTCGGGGTAGATCGCGCGCATAGAGGCGTCGATCTCGGCACTGGGGGTGGCGTTGACATCGGCGCCCAGAAGGCAGTTGAGCAAGTGGGCAATGCAGGAGGCGACGAAGGGTGCCGGCACATCGCGGAGGTACTGGTTGGCAATGTGCTTGAAGGCACGAGCGATCATTTCCTGAACCAGGAGAGTCGACAGGGCATCGAGACGAGCACCCTTCTCCTTGGACAGCTGAGCGAGCTTACCCAGGTAGCGGATGTTGATACCACGCTTGTGCAGGAGCTGGCTGAGAGACTGTCCGTCCATGGGGAAACCGACATCACCATCGTGCAGATCCTGGATCAGCTCGGGCATGATCTTGGAGCGCAGGTAGTCGCAGGTCTCGCGAACCTCCTTCTCGTCCTGAGCCCACTGTTCCTTTTCTTCGTCAGTCTGAGGGACCTGACCGCTGCAGACATCAGGGTTCAGCGCAAGCGAGAATCCGGAGATATCGACCCGCTCCTGATCCTGAGCCTCCTCGGTCTTCTCCTCAGTCTTCTCCTCGGAGCCCTCCTTGGATTCCGTAGCCTCGGAGGACTGCTCCTTGGCAGCGTCTTCCTCGGCCTTGGCGCTGCGACGGCGCTCAACCTCAGCCTTCACATACTGGCTCATCTTGTGTCTCCAGTAGGATTCGATAAGCTCCAGTCTGAGGACCGACATGCGGTGGGGGTAGGCATCGCTACCTTCTTCCTCCTGCCACATCACATCCAGAGGAGTCACGCGGTAGAGGTCGAGCACGTACTTGCGGCCATCAGTGCCCAGAAGACCCTTGGTCTCAACGCTACCCTCGAGCTCGTGGCGCTTGCCCTCCTTGTCCCACACGGAGTGCTTCTTGACACGAAGAGCCTTGGACATCTTCTCGAAGACGGGCTCGAAGTCGGGGTGGGTGGCCACGACGTCCTTGCCTTCAACACCACCGTAGTCGATCTGGTGCTCGCCGGGCTCACGCTGCTTGAAGATACCGGGGACAATGCTCTGACCGACGATACGCTTGCCGAGGTAGTCAACGACAACTGTTCCGGGGGTGAAGAGACCGTTGATGTCGAGCTGGTTCACAGCCTTGATGCCCAGAACATCCTTTCCGACGGCGACACGGGCAGCCTCGTCACCACCCTCAGAAGCGAAGGTACCAACACCGTCAGCGCCGAAGGAGTAGAAGATGTTGTTGTACACGAAGATCTGAGCATCCCGGCCCTCGGTGGGGTTCAGAGGGGCGACCTCACCACGAGCGACCAGAACCGCACCGCGAGCAGCAGCCTCGTTGTAATCCGCGAACAGCTTGGAGGTCAAGCGCTCCCGGAAGACACGATCCTGGACGGTCTCGCGAGGAAGCTCCCGGGTGGTCTGGAACTCCTCGTTCCAGTCACGCAGGGTTTCGGCGTTGTCGACGCCAGAGATCAGGTAGTTCTCCTGAGAACGGGTGATGTCTGGCTGGTGAGCGTTCGCAGTCGAGGTCGGAGGGGGAACAAGCCACGGGTTGTTAGGAATGGCGTTCTGGAATGGGAAGGTGGTGAGGAGATCCTTCTTGTTGTTCGACTCCTGGAGGGCTTCGAAAGAGGCGCTGAAGGAAGGCGACAGGTGGGCAATCAAGGTGAGCAGCGAGTGTGCGCGGCCACTCTTGGGGATGGTCTTCGGGGAAGGATCGAACTTCATGTTGGAGTTCTTGTTCACGTAGAAGCCAGAGATGTGCGAGGTGATCTGGAACTGCTCACCCTCGTTGGTGGTGACCTGGAGGTAGAGCAGGTGGCCCTTCTGACGGAGGTGGTAGGGAACGGGGTTCCACGGGGAGAGAGAGATGGCCTTGACGGTCTTGGGCAGGGGAGCTTCGGCGCGGGGGAGGATGGTCTTCAGAGATGGGGAGCTAGCGATGTCATACTTGGACAGGGAGTGCTCCTTCTCCGACGCATCGGCCACTTCGGCGGAAATGGCATCATGCAGCGAGAGACCAGCGCTGATGCCGTGAAGGTTGTCAACCCGGTCACCGGCAGCACCAACCAGCTCCCGCATGCGGACGACATGCATACGAGCTTCCTTCTCGTTGTAGGGGTCCTCCACCAGGGTGATTTCGGAGTCGGCCTTCAGGTCCGGCACCTCCGACAGCTCGACGAAGTCATTGATGCGCTTGCCGTTGAATTCGAGGTGGAAGCAGGTGTACTGGAAGGTGCTGGGCAACTCGACGATCGATTGGCGCACATCTTGGACTTGTTCTTGGCTCGACACCTAAGCATCCGGGTTAGAGGTCTCAAATCCTTCCTCTAGTCGCATGACATCTGCGGATGCAATACCCACCATCACCTGGATCTTGTAGGGCTCATGAGGGAGCTTCACGGAGATCTGGAAAAGACCTGTGGGCATTGGATTCGTGGTCAGTAACAGCGCGCGGGGAAGTATGGGGCAGCACAAGCAACATACCACCGGTGTTGTCCTCTTCCGGAACCTCCTCGGGGTGGTTACCATTGGTGAGCTGCTCGGGAGTCTCTGTTGAAAGATTAGCTTATCGGCGTTTGGAGATTGTTAACGAAGGCGAACCTTTCGAGTGCTCCATTTCGCCATTGGTCTGGGCCATGTTGACGGATTGGTAGGTGATAATAGGTGGAATTGGAGGAATAGAATGGGAAAGGTAGCGCTAAGACCGACAGCTACCTGGCGACGACTTGTCTAGCACCCAGCCAAAGATGAAGCGGGTGGCGGTGGAAGTAAAGGATGAAAGAGACGGAAAACAGAAATAAATGGTATAGTACAAGGACAAGGGCAATTGAATCGAAGACAACCCGACCCCGTACCCAGGACAATTAAAAGGGAACCCAAAAAAGACCCGAATAGGAAAAGAATTGGCAGGCAGAGGAAAGGTTGAAGCTGGAGAAAGCACACGGGGAAACCAGCCAGGAGAAAATTTCGCGGATGCGGAATACCCTCGGAAGTGCTCGGGGCGGTGGGCGCCAGCGAACCACCACACAGCCAAATCCTAGCCAATATCCATCCCCACAACACTTGCGCAACCCCGGCGACCACGATAAGGTGTGTGGATAGTGTCTTGCCCAGCACTTTAATTTCGAGGTCTTCCGGAGGCCCGATGGCCTTATTCTGCCCACCGGTTGTCTGGTATAGTTAGCATATAACAGTACTGACAATGAGATCATCGCAGCGGACGGAAATGATTTTCATGCTTTGCTTTTGTGCGACCTTTTCAGCTGTCACCAACGCACCAGACATGTAATACTAGGGGTCTCATTGAGATTAGATACAGGTGACGATGCTAAAATACTTCTCAAGGCTCAATGGCCCGAACTTTCACGCCTTATAGTTGTAGTTCCAGTTTTTAATCGTCGTTTTTAGCAATACTTAAGTTGTAAGATGTCCGTTGCGAAGCGCCACGACTACAGCAATCGTGGCACAATATATAACTTGTTGTCCGCAACATTTCAGGTGTCCACTTCATCACTGCTGTCATTGTTCATACCTGCATTCAAAACCATCCTTCCCAATGGAGATAAAGGGGAACAAAAAAGCTCACTTGGTGCGTACTCCGTAATATATCTCTTACTTAAACCTATATCCTTCCAGCTCCAATGGCTAAAAGAATAGCCAGATGCCACCTACGAATCCAACCCGCCATCTGATATGATAGTGTATCAACAACACAGAGCAAGGATTTGAATCCTCCAGCACTCTCGATCCATGCAATGGCCACATCCAACATCAATCGATTGTACGCGGTGGTCAGCCACAGTGGGCCCGGGAATCGAGGCGCAGCACCGGAGAAATCAAAGCCAATCCGAAAAGGCAGCGTTGTGACTGCCCCGTACCGACTTTTGGTAACAGTAGATTCGGGCCCGATTCCAGCTCACTTCTCTCCCCGTGCGCACTTGTCCTTCTTTCTCTTCTTTCTTTCGCTCTGCTTCCCTTTCTCCCCGCACTCATTACCTGCCCCAGGTCCTGCGAGAGGGAGCTTTGTTGCGGTCGATAAATCCCCTCGCTTTGGACAGTGGTTTCTTTGAATGTATAGATAGGTGGTTCCGCCCCGTCTCCGCCTCTAAAAAGTTCCACACACTCTTTCGACGTTTCATTCGATCTCAATTACTCTTATAGACATTCAATTGCTTGATATTATTGGGTAATCGTTTTTCTTGAAATTACCCGATCTGCAGCGAGGGTGCTTGCTTACCCACCACACGACCATGTTATATCAATATGCGCAACGGTCCGTGGTTTCTTTTGCCCGGGCTGGCCTGCGCAGGCCGCCCAGAACAAACCGCATAATCACCCCCTACGTGAGTCGGGGCTTCTCGCAGGGTTCAACTCGGAAGAACTCCGATACGTCGGATCAAAGTGCTACCAAAGACGACAAAAATCGCAAGAGCAATGACTCGGAGGAACCCACGCTGAGGTCGACGCTGCTGAAGATGATGGAGGCCGCAGCGACTACTTTTGCTTCTATGGCCGTTCTGGGGTAAGCTATGCCGAAGTCAGGGGGGTGCTTGATTGTATGCTGATAGTGTCTAGTCTGGCTGGATACGCCTACCATCGGTACTACAAGTATCTGATTCTGGAGAAGATGGAAAATGCCTTCAACCCAGGTGATCCGGCCCTCGAGCTGGCGGGTGTAGAAGACGGGAAGCACAAGTATAGCTACGAGGAGCATTGGGTGCACCGTGATGAGCAGGCTAGAGTGGATAGAATCATTTCCGGTCACGCAGGAGGTCGCTACTACTTGTTGGTTGGAGAAAAGGGTACCGGAAAGACATCAATGATTCTCGAGGCGATGCGCAAGATTGACGGCGAGGGCTGTGCCATGTTCGAGGCCCACGCAGATCTCGAAATCTTCCGAATCCGCCTGGGAAAAGCCCTGGACTATGAGTTCCACGAAGAGTAGGTCTACCAAAGCACCCTCATGTGTCCGTGGGTCGAGCGGCCTCTGACTTCTCCACAGTTACATTGGAAGTCTTTTCAGTATCAAGGGGCCCCGTGATACCACTGCTCTCCTGGACATTGAGCGCGCATTCAACAAACTGGAAAAGGTTGCCCTTGCGAGAAGACGCAGCAAGGAGTCACCATTGATCTTGATCATCAACAGCGCACACCTGATCCGCGATGACCACGATGGTCAAGATCTTCTCGAGGTCATACAACAACGGGCCGAACAGTGGGCAGCAAGTGGTCTGGTCACCACAGGTAAGTCTTCCGACAGCCATTGACGGACATAACACCGTTTGACACCAAAACAGTATTAAACAGTGATGAGTACTGGGTTTATGAACGCCTGAAGAAATATGCTACCAGAATGGAAGTCATCCCAGTTAAAGATTTGCCCAAAGACCGGGCAATGGAAGCCTTGAGGAAATATCGCAAGCAGTACTTCGGCGAGGACCTATCGCCCAACACTCTCGAAGAGGTGTACGATCTCGTCGGTGGGCGGCTGTCCTACTTGAACCGAGTTGCAAAGGCCGTGGATTACAAGAAGCTTTGCCACAGCATCTGTGAAGCCGAGAAGACGTGGTTCCTCAACAAGTGCTGGATCCTGGGTCCCGAAATGGATGACGACGTAATGGACCAGCAGAAATATGCGGTACGTTGTTCCTCGGAGATGAACCAGGCTTGCCCGCTAACAGAGTGATAGTCTGCCGCGATGGTGCTGGCTCGGGCACTTGTGCTCAAGGGACAGGAAATGGACAAGACCTATGACCCCAAGCTGGGCCACATCCTGCCGGAGATTCCTCTCCACGAAGCTCGACAGATCATGACGAGAGCGGACTTCATCCAAAGCTACGACCATGAGAACATCTTCACGATCGACTCCCGGGCTATGGTGCGTGCCGATTCAGTTCCCATGCAGAATGCCTTCAAGGAGATATGCTCCTGGGAAGGATTCGACGAGCACCTGGAAGGCACTCTTACGCGCATTGGTGACATTGAAAGCTTGGGCCGCACACGTGAGCTGACGATCAAGGATCTCTGGAACAACGGCAAGTATCAACTTATCATGCGGGATCCCAAGGGTCGCGAGCAAGGTGCTGCCGAGTTCTCTGTCGTGGAGCAAGAAGAGGAGAAGAAGAAGAAGGAGGATAATTGAACGCCATAATCTGCATGGCGAGCCTTGTACGATGTATAGAATAGATCGAGATCGTCTAAAGGATCTCGGGTTGATCAGTGTACTATATCGCCTTGGTTGGGATCGTGGCTTGCGGTCCCATGTACTGTGTATTTAGAACCGTCAATTCGACAGCCACTTACGACTGCATTACACAGGATAGAATGCATGCCAGAGAGGATCGTATCTCATCTAGCCAGTCCCAAGCAGCGATGAGGGCATCGTCACCGGTGACATCATCCGCCGCCCCCCTCACCGCCCGGCCAATTGGGGATCTCAATTCATCATTGCAACATCTTCATCCCAGCCTCACCCATTTTCGCGTCTCCCCTCCGTGCCTCTTCTTCGCAAAGAAAGCTCTTTCCTCTCATCTCCATCTCCCTCCCTCTCCCCACCCCCCAGAACCAGTTATCGACCCAATCCCGACCCTCGAGAAGAGAGCGACAGAACAATGTCTCCCCGCAAGAAAGACGTCCTTTCCGCGGCCACAGCAACGGCCGACTCCAGCGTCGACACCGTCGAAAAATCCACGCGCAAGCTCCGTCAAAAGGCGCGCGTGGAACGCATCCACCCCATCGTGCGCTTCTCCCTGGCCGTGTTCAGCAGCCTCGCGTTGAGCTCCGCGCTCTTCAGCCTCACGACCGGCATCACCCTCGGCGAGCTCGGCAGCGTGAGCAAACACCTTGAGACATGGTGGGAAGTAGGAGGCCTGATGGCCTGGAAGGCCGTCGAGGTCGGACTCGCCTGGATCCTGGGCTTTGACGGTATGCCCCTCTCCCCTCCGCCCCAGCTAGACAAACAGACTGACCCAAACAAATCAGGCCGCGACGTGCTCTCCTTCACCTTCCTCACCCACCTGCCAACCTACAGCCTCCTCTCGACCTTCTACGGCCTGCGCCCAACCACAACCCTCACCAGCTACTTCATCACGCTCGCGTCCACCACTATCCCCTTCGTCCTCCTCCGCAACCCGACCCCCGTTCACTCGCACACCACCGCCATCCCCAACCGCTCCATCCTCCAGGACCGCCCCACCACCATTTACACCACCATCGGCGCGACCGCCATCTTCACCGTCACCCTCTACCTCAGCTACGCGACCACCTGGCTGCCCACGAAACTCGTCACCCACTTCCAGGACCTCCCCGACATCACCGCCGTGCATGCCGGCCCCGCCGGTCTCCCCGTGGTGTTCCTGACACTTCTGCCCGCCGGTCTCGCGGCGCGCGATTTCCTCTTCGCTAGCTCAACGGGCGCATCTTCCTCGTCCAAGGACACCAAGAAGGAGAAGACCAGCACGGAGGGCGAGTACCTAGCCTGTACCGTGTACCGGAAGACCTGGGGCGCCTTGACCAAGAAGACCCAAGTGCTGATCTCGCGCACGGCTCTGCTGGCAGGCATGCTGTTCGTGAACACAGTCATTCAAGTTGCCGGGACCGTCAACCGCGTGGACGTCGAGGGCGCCATGGCCTGGGGCACGGTGTGGAGTATCGCGGCCTTGGTGACGGGCGCTATGTTCGGATGGATCGAAGCTGTTGATGGTGTATAAGCAGCTTCATGATAGTCTTATCTTCGTATCTTCCTCCCTCTACCTTCCTCCTTTCTTCATGAACTTCTATGTGACAAAGAGAATGTGTGTTAAGGTTTTCTCATATGGTGTGCTGCTATCTTGCTTCTATCACCACTGGTATCTTTTTGGTCAGTTAGTCAGTCAGGCAGTCAATTAGCCATGACGTCGCTATTCACAAAAGAACAAAACCAACGACGAACGAAGGAGACGAAACCCAAAAAGCAAATTGACCGGGTTGGGGTTCAGGGTCTGGTTTAGTCTAGTCCAGTCTAGTCTTGTTTCAGCGGGGGTTGTGTTTCAAGTTGATTTAAATCTAAGGGTATCAGCCCAAGGTCTTATTTTTGAGCTTTTGTCGCATGTGCACGGATGGATGGATGATGGTATCTAGTTTTGTTGGGTCGCTGTATACCTCTGACGTTGAGTATGTTTTGTATCTGGGATGATGTTTCGGGTTGATTGATTCAGTCATGCGGGGTGTAGGTAGTGATTGGGTTGATCGGTTTGATCGTTCTACTATGGCGATTTGCGATTTGCGTCGTGAGTACATGTCCATGCGAACTCAATTACATAATGTCATTTCTGATGTAATCGGATCTATCACTCTAATTGAAGCGCTGCGTGGATATATCAAAAGCGAGAGATGAATTCGTTTGGGGGGAAATAGGAATAGGGGCGAGAAAATTATAAGACTGAGAGAAGCGAAAATGGGAGGGGGAAGGGCGATCACCGCATCTCCATCCCACTGGCCACCCCGTCTGGAGAGTAGATCTCGCGGTGGAAGGCCTTGGGCCCGTGCTTGGGCAATAACCACCCCGGATGGAAGATGTTGAAGACCCCCACGGCTAGGACCATCATCACGCCGTCCAGGACAATAAAGTACCGCTCATGGGTGATCAGAAATCCCGTCCAGCCCTGCGACAGCTCGATGGTTCGATAGATACTCCGGATGTAGATGCAGATGACAGAGAAGATCATCGCGCCGAGAAGGGGAACGATCGTACCGGTCATGGTTTGTAACAGCTGCAGGCGGAGAGTGCGACGGATGAAATCGGCGGCTAGGAACACAAACACGGTGATGGATGCCAACTGGAAGACGATACCGGCGACCATGGTGTGTGTGCCGGGGGCAGTATTGCCGTTGACCTTGTTGACTTCCATCGAGGCCATGCCACCGCCGACGGCTTGGACAACCAAGGAGACGATGTCGCAAGTGACGAAGATCCAGAGATAGAGTTTCGGACTCAAAATTGAGGTCTCGGGGCCCAAAAGGTGGATGAAACGGCCTAAGAGAACGTAGATGCCTGCAGTGAAGAAAGTGGGTGCTAGGCGGAAATTAGTGCCTGTTTCATGAATCTGATAATCGTGCTGGTGCCTGCGTACCGATGATCAGGGTGGAAATCTGCATGAGGAAGGCCGTCCCGTTGTAGGGGCACTCAGCAGACCAGGTCCGTCCTGCCCAGCCCAGAACTTCAACTGTAGTAGACAAGTCAGCGATGATTGTGAGCCACGATATGAGATAATAGATGTCCACATACCCATACAGCCGAGGACGAAGACGGCGCACCACCAGGACCGCTTCCACACCAGCTGCACGGTGTGGAGGATCATGGACAGTCCGAAGAGGGTGCAGAAGACGATGCCAGCGGCCAGCGAGGGGACGTAGCCATACGACGTGCCATATCCTGCAATCTTAGCATGGCAGCCCTGTGTCAGTTGCTGCTTGAATTCATATTCCGCCGTAGCGTTCATGCCCGACATATTGGTGCAGATAGACGACCGGTATGCCGAAGGCTAGTTTCTGAGGCCAGACGGAGCTGTCGACAAAGCAACGGGCAAATACAGATAGATATAACGCAGGGAACACGCCGGAGATTAAGATACGGCCGTGACTGAGGAAAAGAATGACACCGCACGGCAGAGTCAATAGGGCCGAAAGAGTGGCTGAGCGATCTAGTTGCTCTCGACAGTGAAATCGGCACGAGAGTACCAATCAAAAGGGTAGAATGGGAAGAAAAAGCAAAAGGAATCAGAGGCTCTGCCTATAAAGGAGAGAAATAAAACCCGCGATGGACATCCTTCCAAAATCTGCCCCCGATACTTTATCCTCCATACTCCTCCATTGAGACAAAACCCCCATCTCTCTCCTGGCTACCCGGTCCTGGGCACCACTTGGTACGGCGGGGACACCCGTTGCACGGAGCCTTCTGATTGCTCCCCATGGGTGTAAGCAGGGCCCTGTTGCAAAAGCAACCAGGTCATTCGACAAATAATTTGGCGAGACCCAAAAAAAGAGGTGGCGGACAAGACGAGGGCTCGCAAGGTCCGCCTAAAGAGGTTTAGCGCGTCTTGCCTGATGCCGGTGGCTCCGAGCAGGACTCGCTACGTCCAAGACTGTAGGATCACCACCACGTCGAGGATCGCCCTTCCCGTACGGCCGTAAGGTCTTGCTTCATGTTCCTGATAGGGCCGCTACCCAGGCAGCGTCGCGAGATTGTTCCAGGTTGGTTGTCGCGTCACAGCTGGACGGGCCATGCCATGCAAGCCAAGAGCTGGTCGGCGTAGGTGGACCCCGGGCCTCCGTTCGCGAGCAGCAGATTGCAGCAATAAAGCATAAATATGGTTCCTGGGCGGGGTCGGGATAGGGAAGCTCCGATGCTATGTGGTAAGCATAACTAGAAGCTATTCCTCTGAAGTGTGAAGGAAACTGGTGGGCGTCGTCGTCATCTGTCGGCGCGGGCCAGAGGAGCGGAGAAGACAAGCGATGGAAGAACGTCCATGACCCCGCCTGCGCCTCAGGCAGCGACCATCACTCAGCCTCCCCTTCAAGGCCGCCACCGCAAGGTTCGCTGTTCTTGGGAAAGCTTCAGGCCCAGCCCGTTCTTGGCGATCCTAGCCGCCCTCCATCGGCGGATCTCTATATCAAATGCCTACGGCCGCTGGTGGTGGCTAATGTTGCCGCTTACTCGACATTGCAAACACGGAGGTGGAACAATTATAGCTTGGGATTCTGGTCTATCTCTAATCATGGGTCATTCTTTTCAATGTGCCCCCATGCTGGGATCTGTTGCCTACTCGCCTCAATCGAACGAGGGCGTGTCATATGTATCGTCGGGGTCTGTGCACCGTCAGCATGAGGTAGACTCGACTCGTTAGGGGGTGGTGGATTCTCACCTTTGCGGTTGTCGATAATGTATTTGCGTGTCTCCACGATATTGTGATTCAACTCGGTCACCAGCTCCTGCTGGCGCACTTGAACCCTCTCATTCCGCCGCGACGCTCCAATCACCGCAGCCTGCGCCACGTGGAACCGTGACACCTGGTTCACCAGCATCATGTCGAATGGCGTCGTCGTGCTTCCTTCCTCCATGTACCCTGCCACCGTCACCCGATCCAGGCGGGGTCGCCCAAAGAGCAGGCCTTTCAGCTCAGTCGGGTATCCGTGGTAGTTGAAGTGGATTGGCCGGTCCGTGCCAAACAGGCTGTCGAAAGCATCCGTGGTCAGAGCATGGGGATGCAGTCCGTGGTTCTCAAGAATCATCAAGTCCGTCACATTGACCACCCGCACCCGGAGCTCTGGACAACGCTTGCGGAGGATGGCCGCCGCGTAGATGACTTCGAACATCACCTCTACGCCAATTCCCACCAGCACGACATCCGGGTCCAGCCCGCCGTCGGTGCTGCAGAATTTCCAGACCGATGCACCGGCTCTGCAGTGGTTCTCGGCCTCTTCGGGGGTCAGATACACAGGTGTCGGCTGTTTTGCCCCGACCATGAGGTTGATGTAGTTCTTGGACTTGAGGCAGTGATGCACCGTGGACAAGAAAGTGTTGGCATCAGGGGGCAGATACACGCGGGCGGCGGTGGGCTTCAGTTTGAGCACGGCACCGATGAAAGATGGATTTTGGTGAGAGAATCCGTTGTGTTCCTGACGAGCCCATGTGCTCGTTTCAATGTAGTTGATGCTGCTGACCGGTTTGTGCCAGGTCGTCTCTTGAGCCTATTGCAGCCTCGTTAGTCTTTGGCCACGTACAATGGTCAGTGCATGGTAGAACGTACCATCTTGTTGAATTTGGCATATTGCACCATCATGGTGTGGATAATCCCCAAGAAGCTTTCGTAAGATGGGAATATGCCCACACGACCAGTCAATGTATATCCCTGCATGAAGCCCTGACACAAGTGCTCACTGAGCACTTCAATGACACGACCGCCTTTTGCGTTCGAGAACTGGTCCCACTGGAAGTTCCGTCCAGTGTGTGCAAGAGCTGCGTCTAGCTTGTTGCTTTCCAGTTCATCTGGCGAGAACAGTCGGACGGTGTGGGGATTTTGGGTAAAGACCTGGTCAATGAACTTTCCGATGGTCTTCATAGCGCTCTGCTGGGTGCCTTTTTCCACGCCAAATCCTCGCCAGTCCGGGAGATCGGGTGCCACATATCCCTTGTAGCCCTCTGCACGCTGACCCAGCTTCTTATGGTCATCCGCAGGAATCACAGACTTGATATCGTCGATGATGTCTCCCGATTCGGTGAAAAGCTCGTGGGGGGCATACGAGGACAGCCATTTCTGCAGAGCTTGAAGCTCCTCCTTATCTTTCTTTGCGTTGGGAAGAGGAACCTGATGCGAATGGAAAGACCCCTCGATGAATGAACCGTGTAGCTCTTTGGGCCCGGACCAACCCTTCAAACAGTTAGCTCGAATCAAATCCCGTGTAGGTACCATCGCCATACCTTTGGTGTGCGCAAAACGAGCATTGGCCACCTCGGCTTCATGATCGGTTTGCCAGAGCGCGCTGCTTTTTGAATTTTGTGGATCTCCCCAATCGCCCACAGCATAGAGTTGTGGAGATCTGCATCGATATCCTCCAGGTCCTCGACAATGCGCACCTGGTAGCCATACCCTGTGAACAAAGTGACCAGCTCTTTGTTGTCCATGCAACCGAAGATAGTGCGCTCGCTGATCTTGAAGCCGTTGACGTGGAGAATCGGTAGGACGGCACCTGATTCTGCAGGGTCAATGTATTTGATTGCATGCCAGGACCTGGCTCTGTCAGCACGCGTTGTGGGTGGACATCGTGAGGCACTTACGTCGCGGTCGGGCCAGTCTCTGCTTCTCCGTCACCAACCACGCAACTGACGATCAAATTCGGGTTGTCCATCACAGCACCAAAAGAGACAGCCAACGCGTAGCCTAGTTCACCACCTTCGTGGATCGCACCCGGGGTTTCCGCATTGATATGACTGGGAGGGTCAGCTTGGCTTCAGGTCGGTTCAATGGCGATCAAACCTTGGTAGTCCAGCGCTTGTGCTGAAAGTTGAGATGAGTTGATGAAGACCATCCATGTCTCGTGAGTACTGGGGGTAGAATTTCCCCAAAGAGCCCTCAAGCCACAGGGCAGCCAGCATGGCTGGTGCGCCGTGTCCCGGTCCAACCACATATAGCATGTCTAGGTTTTGTTTTCTGATGAGATAGTTCAAATGGGAGTATACGAGGATCAGTCCAGGACATGTGCCCCAATGGCCTGTGAGGTGTGAGCGGGCCTGCATCGGGGCGTCTGAGGCGGTCGAATATACTAACCAAGAAGCCTGGGCTTGATGTCCTCGTGTTTTAGGTTCTGTTTCAGCAGCACATTATCCTGGAGGAAGATCATGGCTGCAGTGTGTTAGCGAAAACTAACTAGACGATTGAGGAGGATCATCTCACCAGCCGCGATGTACGCCGCTGCGCGACGGAACTTCAGCAGGCCATCGTAGTCAGGCTTCTCCAAAGCCGTCTCCTGCAACTTGACCTGCAATTGCTCGACAAGATCCGGAATATGCGATGGCTCGGCCTTGGGATTTGGCCTGTCAATAATTTCCCCAGGCATGGTGAGCTGATCCTGAGATCAATTGATCAACTAATATATGTACGATGATAAGTATCAGGGTCCGTCCGAGATTTCAGGGTCTGTAATTGATCTGGCTAGTGACCACACGTGGGAACAAGGAAATAAATATCCCCCTGTTACAGCGGTTTGAGAGGAAAAAGTGCAGCATTGAATGAAGTGAAATAAAGTGGTAGTAGTAATAGTAGTTGGCGGGATCGGTGCATCATACGTCACAGCCGGGAATCGCAGTGACATCACCCGCCCTCGCAACCGGGAACTGTCACTTCCAATTCAATCACCAACCTCCAGGATCAAGGTGCGACAAAGACTAATGCACATATATACAGGTCGCGCAGCCCTTTGATAATCAGACAGCCAGTCGCTGTGTTCCCGCTTCCAATTGCCCCTCCACGATGACGCGCAAGTCCATTCTCTCCGTCAATGCCGGCTCCTCTTCGGTGAAGCTTACATTCTATACCTTCGAGAAGACTCCCAAAGTGATTGCTGCAGCTCAGGTCTCCGGCATCACCGCTCCCCCAGCAAAACTGAAATACTCTAGTGGCTCTACGCAACACAACGAGGAGCTCAAGGAGAGCCTTAACACCCCACAAGATGCCTTCAAGTTCCTGCTCCAACGCTGCATCTCGGATCCCGAGCTTTCCGAAGTCGCCAGTACCGATGATCTAGCATATATCTGCCACCGGGTAGTTCATGGCGGAGATTACGAGACATCTGTGGTGATCACGGACGAATCCTACAACCATCTCGAGAAGCTGGAAGATCTAGCTCCATTGTGCGTGAGAACTACATACCATCCAAACGCGATCGCTTCTGACGACACAGGCACAACTACTCCGCGCTGGAAATTATTCGTCATTGCAGGAAGGAGACTCCGTCCGTCAAGAGCATCACCTTCTTCGACTCGGCTTTCCACCAGACCCTGCCTGAGCATGTGAAGACCTACCCGATCGACCAGAAGACAGCCAAGGCGAACGGACTCCGGAAATATGGTTTCCACGGCATCAGCTACTCGTTCATTCTCCGATCGGTGGCTGAGTTTCTCAGCAAACCCATTGAGCAGACTAGTATTATCACAATGCACATTGGAAGTGGTGCTTCTGTCTGCGCGATCAAGGATGGACAATCCGTTGATACCACGTAAGGACTGCAACTCTACCAACGATCCCACCGATACTGACACACGCGCAGAATGGGACTCACGCCTGTAGCCGGACTACCAGGCGCCACACGAAGCGGCGACATTGACCCATCGTAAGGCATCCTAGATACCCATTCAGCCAGAGACTAACCTCCCAGTCTCGTATTCCACTACACCAGCGAAGCAGGCAAGCTCAGCCCGGCCAGCACCAAAGAGATGCACATCAGCACGGTACGTCCACCTCGAATCACCTCACATCCCATACCTTCAGAAAACACCCCCTAACCCACATTAGGCGGAAGAAATCCTGAACAAGAAATCCGGCTGGAAAGCCCTAACCGGCACCACCGATTTCGCCCAAATCGCTGTTGAAAACCCACCCACAAAGAACCACCAACTCGCCTTCGATATCGTCGTCGACCGCATCGTCGGCTACATTGGCAATTACTTCGTGAAGCTCGACGGACGCGTCGACGCCTTGGTCTTCGCCGGCGGCATCGGCGAGAAGAGTGCCCTGCTTCGGAAAGCCGTTACAGAAAAGTGTCGATGTCTGGGCTATGTGGTGGAGACAGACAAGAACGAGAAGGGGGCAGGTGATGGAGAGACCGTGGTGGATATCTCGAAAGAGTCCAAGGGTCCACGGGTATTAATCTGTCAAACGGACGAACAGGTGGGATTCCTCCGGCTCCCCTACACCATTTATTTCTGGGATATACATACTAACGACGGACACCTAGTTCGAAATGGCCTACGGTTGTATCAACAAATACGGCGAGACAGAGTCCAAAACCTAGAATACGACCCTTCTCGCTCCTCACCAACTACTCTGTATCTACCACAAACATAGCATAATGATCACATCACCTCACATCCGAAGCACGCAACCCCAAACAACCTTCCATACCCCTCCATCTCCAATGTATCACTGTCACCCATCCTACCACGTAGTACTCCATACTTATGTGGTACTCGATATATCCCACCTCTCTAAATATAGCCCAGATATGCATGTATGTATGTATGTATGTATGTATGTATGTGGAGTCAACCGAGCTTAATTCCCATCCCTATCTCTATCACCAACCCCACCCCAACCGAGCGACAATCAAAGAATGACCGACGACATTCCACACCGGAGCCGAGTCATGACCGGTTCTCCCTATCACATCTATGGGTAAGTGTAAGGAATATGTTAGATACAGGGAGGCCTTTGTACTTTGTAGGTAGTGTTTGGGTTATGTTAGTTTATGTTTGATTTTGGGTTTCAGTCTGGGATCTAGATTCTAGATTCTCGCTTCTAGATACATGATAGTATTTGGATTTGGGTCTGAAAGAGCGATGTACGGAGGACATACTGGCATCCCCATTGGCCAATATCAACCATCTCCTAAGCCGTACTTATCTCCCTGACAAAGAATCAGATAGAGTATGAATCCTGGGGGTATAAGAACTAAGGAAGTGGCTTAACACCACTACTATGTATGGAGGCATGGTTTGGCGTTCTCATTGGTACACGTAACGGGTAGACCCTGTCTAGACCGCTGTCGATGCTATAAATGTTGTGTTTGGTTTGATTTGAGTTGATTTGAGTGCTACCAGGCGATAAGCAGCTGTCATGTCAGACCAACTCATACTTGGTTCTCTCACATGACAGATTAAGCTTAAGGAGGTCTTTGTCTTGATTCCTGACACTGGGATACGGATGCTGATGCTGATACAGTGATGAGGTGATTCAGTTGCCACTGATCGTCGGCCGAATACGTCCGGTCTGGATGGTTCTGTTTTATGTTTTGTTTTGTTTTGTTTTGTTTTGTTTTGTTTTGGGTTTTAGGTCCCTTTGGTTAGGGGCGAGTGGTTTGCACTGAGGAAGGGAGAAGTTAATCAGTGGCAAGAATGTGCTATGTAAATCAGTAGAATGCAAATGCAATAAAATAAGATTGACAATAAATGAAGTCCGTTGATGCTCATTGGCTATCTTGATTTCGCGCTCCTTGCTTTTGGCGATGATTCGCCTCGGTGGCTAGGAGGCGTGCCCGTGGGTGAGGGATTTGCGAGATGGCGCCGATGTCAGATAGGAGATAGGAATTAGGAATTCCATGGAGGTGGTATTCCGTGGTAAGCAATGGTGCCCGCGGAGGTGAACGCCGGCTCCGGCCTGGTACATCGTACTTTTGATAAAGACGATGCACGATTATCGGGGACTCCCATGCAGCTAGAGGCTTGTTTGGGACTGGTCTAGATGGTCCATCCATGTCCTGTGTAAACGGATCTATCGCGCAATGCCCCGGTTAGCACGGATATGGTGGCCATCACTGGAGTGCTGCCATCAAAGAACCCAAATTGGATGAGATGGAGTGCTCCACTGACATCGACTCCCAGCGTCTGCCTATTTTGGGATATGTCGCAAGTGAAAGTGATCTGTAGAGCACCGAGCGCACCCTTCTAGAATTTTCGGTCTGCGATCACGCCTCAGGAGTCCGCCTCGTCTGTGCGGAGATGAATGATCGCTCACTTGCGCATCATCTCCGAGCGCATGGGGCTGACGACGTGATCTATCCATTACTTCATCAGTCAATAGCCGGCCCGACACTGAGGCGACATGAAGATCATCACGCCAAATCGGGACCTGCGTCCAAAGCATTGGCTGGGCCTGTCGTTCAGCGTCCAGACTAACGATGAGGCTGAGGACGGGGCAGGCGATCACGCATCAGCCCGGTGGCGGGAGATAGATAGATGCATATACCATGGCCCAAAAAGGGGAATGGGAGTCTGGTCCGGAACGGGGAAGCGAGATGAGGTTCCAGAGTGGCGGGTGGATGCGTTAGTTGGTGGAGGACTTGATACGTCCACCGGTCAGGGGATAGTGTTGTTTCTAGTTTGGACGGACTACAGAGTCGAGGAAAAAGAAAAGGGCCCGGGGAAGGATTGGCAGGGGAGGCGGGACTTATCAGACGCCTCCATCTTTGTTCGTAATAATAAGCCGGAGCCAAAGGGATGCGCAGGCGATCCGATCAGTTCCCCTTCCGGCTTCCAGAACGCCATCCCGTGGCTGAAAGCCTGAGCGTCTACATAGTAAGAGCCTAAGAATGCCGGCTGCAGTTCCGCGGCTTGGGGCTGGCGATGGTGACTTGGTTTGGGTCGGTGGATCAGGGGCGGGCGAACATCGTTGCCTGGTTAGGGATGACGGGGAACCTGTTTAGGCCGAGTGCCAATTCTTCTGATCGGATCAGTCACTCGCATGGTGAATGACAGGCAGCTTGGAGTTGACTTCCTAGTTGGTGATGATTGATGATTGATGGTTGAGTGTCTGGCCAGGCACGTGCCCATGAAGAAACTCTGCTGTGGCTGAACGAGGAAGTTGCAGAAGGAACCCGACTTCTGTCTCTCCTGAGGACAGTATGCGCATCTAAAACATCTCCAATCCCACTTCTGCACCAAAAGTACGTCCGAACCACCAAACCTGGTGGCATCACCATCACCAATTTAACCATGCAGCCTCCCTGCGTCGGTCGCATATCCTCCCCATTCCGCGTCCCATAATTCTGCAAGGTCGTCCGCCATGGCGAACAGACCTCTTCAGCCTTCCTCGTCCTAGTCCCGGTTGCACAGCAGATCGGTAGATCTTCCATGAAGCCTGTCTCTCTCTCCGGATGGCCACTGGCCCGCGACACACCTCGTTCGTAGCTTAAAACGCTCTGCTGCAGAAACCCAACCCCCCGGGCTCGACACCAACATTGCAGGTCGCATCGAGCCAGGCCGGTCCGACAACCTTGTTTCAACGGGAATCAACGTTGGATTGGGTGGCTAATGCACTCTGCCGAGCGGGCGGATTCAGGCCCGGCTGGATGCTCGGTTTACTTCGGCTTGAGCATTTCGACAAACATGACAGGTCAATTGCTACTGCATCCTATGTACTATATCTCTGCGGGAATTACTTTCCTCTGTTTGGTTCTTGTAAATGATTGATCATGAAACCATTCAGGATTTAACCCAATCATGGGTCTGATCTTACCTATCTCTCTGCAGAGTACGGAGTACCTTGCAAGTTACCATCGGTTCTAACCTGCGACACTCTCCGTACTATCTATCCAATTCAATATATCCCCAACGCCATCCTTCACCTCGGTACGAGATACCTGCCCCAATCAGTACCTATTACCCGAATAATCAACAATCAATCATCAACCCACCATCCGTCTTCTAATTGTATCCCGAAAGGATCCAACCCATCTACGGAGTACATAGTACCTAATTATGCCCAATAAATCCCCACCCAGCACGATAGGGCATCCATCAAAAGTACCCCATCCAGCAAGTATCTACCATCTACCTATAGAATATAGTAGTAATCCCCCTTAGCGTCTGCGGAACCCGGAACTCACCAACGGTTCCCTCCCCTCCCCCTCCCCTTCACCCGTTCCTCCAGTTTCTAGCGCTCTTCTAGCTCTTCCCTGGATTTTTCTTGCCCGACGGGCCCGACCCCGAAGCCAATGATAACTGTTTACTTTTGTTGTGAATGGGGGTCTTGCCGTTTCTCTCAGCTGTTAGTGGGAACCGTTGGAGTGGATAGCTTTGCAAATTTTCTTTCGGAAGGATATTGTTTGGAAATTTGTATACAGAGTAGGTACTATGGTGTGGGTGGGAGCTGGCAATGGTACGATCCGCGTGCGGAACCATGGGTTGAATGGGTTGGTTAGAGTGGTTGCAGGAACCGTTCGGATGGGACTTCTAGAATTGTTCTGGAAGTGGGTGTGTGGAATCGATTGGTGTGGTGTGGTGTGGTGGTGGTTGGGTTGGGTGACGTGACGTGAACCTATCTTTATTTATTTATTTGTTTATTCATGTGGGATTTGTCTTTCTTTGGTTTTACTTGATTCTGAAGGATATGCTAACGATGATGATGATTGTGTGGTAGCTAAAGTAAACAGATAAGTAAGACTACTAATAAAGGTCAGTCACATGCAACAATATACCTATCATGCCATTGGATGGTATCATGTCTCGGAATCTGATGCTATCCCAACCCCGACAACACATCATTCGACCAGAGACGAAAAGGCCAACTATGTCCATCCAATTGATCGCTGCCATTGGCTGCGACCTGAAAGAAGAGCGAAAGTACGGAGGACGGCACCATAGATAAGAATCAGACATCTCAAACCGAGATAAAGCACGTATCACAACTAGCTTCCATCCATCGCTTGGATTGAAACAGTACACACGCGTCCGCGCCAGCCTAGCAAGGAACCCCCATGTTTTGGCGAATCCCGGTACATGCGGCGCTTGGCGCTGTCGGACCTCGTATCGATTGACTTAATGTAAACCCGGGCGTCGTGGTGATCGACGAGACGTCACTCCATTATCCATTAGTTACGGAGTACGGAGTGTTGTAGAAGAGGAAGCACCCACGGAGAAGAGGGTTGGCAACGTGTCGGCAAGTCTAGAATTCCGCGTTGCTTTGCCCCATTGTGGCGAATGTCAGGAATAGCAGTGTAAGAATGATGTAGTGGGATGGAGTGGAGTCGAATAATTTAGTCCATACTGGTACGACAGTCGACAAGCGACAGGGTAATTTGTACTTTCCAGCCACATTTTCGCAAGTGTGCTTACCTGAGGCAGCTAGACGGCTAGAGCAGAGCTAGGAGATGTCACCCCCCAGAATCCCGCGCTGGGGCAGATGTCCAACATCCTATTTTGGACTGGCAAAGTCATCCGGTCCCGGATCCATTGCGCCTATCGTTTGCTATGAGGACTAGGTCTGGTAGTCCGCGATCGTAGGACGGCAGAATGGCGAACTGGCGCGCTGGCTGGGGGTGCTGGCAGCTCCATCCGCGGTCGCGGGGACGAACAGGCAGGGCGAGACGCTAGAAGGACTAGAAGCGCGCGAGAAGAATGCAAGTCGCACATAATACGTAACGGAGGCGGGTAGCGGTGGATTTGCCGGATCATGGATCGTTCTTAGGGGGCCCCACTGCCCCTTTCAGCCAGCCGATTTCCCCGGTGACCAAGGAAAAGAGCGCAGAAGAACCATCTCCAAGACGCGGAAAAGAAGTCCAGAGCCCGCTCGGCGGGAGAAAGAGATGACGGGAACATGAAAAAAGCAAAGACAGCCACAGTGGTCTCCTGCCAGTCGACCTGTATGCCCAGAGGCGCAGCCCAAACGAGCGCCAAAGGTGACAGAAACGGGGGCTAATCTCCCTGTCGCTGACATGAAGCAACCAGGAGAAGGGTGGACCTGGCTAGGGGAGGCCATCGAATCAATAAACAGTGATCGTGGCCGCGATAGTCTCCCGAAACTACCTCCAGGCTAAAGGGCAGCAGGTGACTAACTACCGGACGGAAAGCTTCTGGATTGGTTCTGAACCTGGCTCTCCGTATCCCCGGAGGTGTCCACCCTCCATAGGGTTGAAGCCTGCTGACCCATGTGATTTCTGGTGAAAGGAACAGCTCGTCTCCGTCACCCATTCAGGGACCATCCCCGGGACCTTTGGCAAGCAGGGACTAAGGTACCTGTCTCCCAGCCCAGGATAATTAAAGTCATAGCCGGGGGGCGCTGGACCTGACCTATGATCCTATCAAGCAATTAGATGCGTGATCAAAGTTCGATCTTCTCGATCGTACAGTAGTCGAGCCCGATAGATAAGTGCGGCTATGCAGGTACTCCGGCTCTCCCAGGATGGCTAGCCGCGTTGGGGGCAAGCTCCCGACCAGTCAGCAAGTGAGCTGCCACCATTGGCACCGAATAGATCCAGCCCAAAAATTCAGAGACCCCCGTTTCATCGATGATCAGGAAAAAGAAAGGAAGAAAAAGCAATGAAAGAAAGACAAAAAGCGAAGACGAAAATCCAACCAGCAGCCATCAGCATGGGGTCACCCTGCGCAAAAGCACCACGCATTCATGGAATTTAGGACAAGTAGGGTTTCCGGGAAACAAGTCTCCCCATCCAGGGGCCCCTGACTCTGGGCCTGACCCCCCCAACACCACGCGAGAGAGCATCAAGACAAGCCCCAGCGGATCCATTGGTGCTGGATTCGGATCCATCCGCGGGATCCTTTGAGCGGCTGCCTTTCCCCACCCACCTGCACCAGAGGTGCCCGTCGTGACCGAGAAATCGGTTCTTAGCTTCTGACTGATGTACTCCGTATCTTCCACCAGGAGGTATCGGCAGTGGGACCTCCAAATTTCTTCCTTGGGATTTCCTTTTTCTACATTGGTGTGGTGGACGTGGTGGTGGTCGCCGCCGCGATGGGTGGTGGTGAACTGGGGACTGGTGACTGGGAGTGTGGCTAGATTCCCGACGCCATTACGGATGGATTTACACCGTACAGTACCTTAGCCGGAGTCCCTAGGCTCCTCCTCCGAACTAGGCCATGATCGATGAATTTTTTCAGAAACAGTCTAAGTCACTTCCGTTACGGATTTGACGGCTCTTCCTGTGGTTTCCCTACAATTTCCGAGATGAACCCGTGTCTGGAATCAGCCATCACCGGGAGATTCCCAGCTGACGGAGAGCGGACGGAGCCATTGAGTGACCGGTCGGGAGGGAACAGAACATGAGGCAACTTTCCTACGGGATAGACAAAGAAGCAAAGGGATGGGGGCAAAGAGGGAAAAAAATACCATCCTTAGCCTTAGCTGCGATTCTGTAGGTACTGACTATCCCGGAAAGCCGTCACGACGTTGGTGACTGGGCCCAGAAACCCCTAAGAAAAGAAAAAGAAAGGGGGAAAATGGATCGCACCCACTCTTTCGCCTACCTATGTATGGTACCTTACCTTCGGGACGGGAGAGCCGCCTAGCTATGCTCAAGAGAGCTGTTGCTCGACGATTATTATTACCTACTATGTGTATTTTGTTTTTATTTTTGCCCTCTCGAATTTCCATCTCGCTGGCGCTGTATTACTATGATTCCATTATTGCTCCGTTCATTCTGGCCGCTTTCTAGCCTCTCTTGGGGGAGGGGGGGGGGGTTTTTTGTTGCCCACTTTTTTATTTTTACATGACTTTCCTGGTTAACAGGTACTTGGGAGTTGGTCTATCTAGTATCTAACCTTTATTCTGATTTTTATTTCATTTTTATTTTTATTTTCTAACCTTCCCAGAACTTTAGGTTCTTTTCTGTCCCAGTCCGGTTGGAACAGATCACCCAATCTTAAAAAACCATCCAAAAGAAAATAAAAAAGACCCAGTCCGTCAGAGTGAAGAAGGTCTAGTCAACTAGTATATATCTATGCGATGGGCCCCCTTCAACCATCTGGCTACTAAATTCTTCAATCCATCCATTCCTAAAATCAATTAACCTCGCCCTTCCTCCTCCCAACTCCTCTCTCGTCTGCCTCCCTACGTACTTTCGCCCATTCCCTCCTCGCCCTCCCTCGGCTCTATCCCCGATCCTCCTCGCTGTGACGTTACCAGGCCGCGTTCCATCCTCCCTTGCGATACGTCCAGTCTAGCTTGGTTTTTGTTTTTACCGGATTAGACGGAGCTCACTTCCGTGGCCTCCTTTCCAGGATCACCTCCTTGCGGGCTGCATTAGTCGCCTCCGTGTCCTTGGTCGGTGGTTCTTGATCAGATCTCAGCAATACTATTGCCCTGCACGTCCCTGCGTACTTTTCCCGCGGGTTTGCTACACTCTGGAAACATCCCCAGGGCAGAATAAGAAATAAAAAAAGAAAGGACAGAAAAACCCACCGCAGGAGTGCCTGAGAGAAAAACAAAATAAAAGCGACCTGTCGACTGGGTTCACGGACTCCACCCTTCCTCATTCTTACAAGCCCATTTCTTGTTCTTGGTACTTCGAGACGTCGCATTCCTGCCCTACTCAGATCTACCTACGCTTGCCGCGACCTACATCACCCTGTCTGGTTCCCAACCCAGTGTCAGACTTGTGCGCCTTAATAAGGATCGCACTTCCGATCTCACCTGCAGCTGCAGCAGCATCGATACCGCCTGTTCGCTGCCGGGAATCGTTTGGGTACCTCGCTAGTCGCTACACACGATCTATCAACACGACGCACAGTCGCAATAATAATCGAGCTCGTTTTATTTATTATTGATTTTCTTTTGGGGGGGAGGTGCCGTGTGTTTATTTAATCTTCCTGTGAGTACTCCTTCAAGCTTGAAACACTTCCCTTCAAAACATCCGTCCTCGCCTTCTCTATATCTTCCTACCTTCATTCCATTGCATTCCTTCCAAAATCTCCCTTCGGTATCTGACCATGGCCATTCGCTCAGAATCTGCGATGATATTGCGAGACCTCTCGGCCTTCAACATGGGACGAGGAGCTTACGACACTACCGGGGTCAAGAAGCCGGGTGCACCACCGCCGCCGCCCACGACCCGATGAAACCCTTGAGACATCTGCCAACCACATGCTGCTGTTCTATTGTTCTCTCGAGCGAAAAGTTATTTGTGACTTGCAACTGGCGCATGGCTCCTGGAATTTGACGTGACTGCTATGAAGTCGAGCTTGTACGTTGTTTGGACCCAGCTTTCCCCGGGCTCGGATTCCCAACTAACAGCGAATCACAGTTCCCTGTACCACTACTATTTCCTGCCCTTCCTGCGATTCTTTCCTGGCCGCCTCTGGTTTCGGTTTCTACATCTTTTCTAATCACGCCTTTTCCGTCGTCGACTTGATCATGGAGCGACACGGCCACTACATTCTTCTTCGATCCACCATTTACCTTCATACGCATTTAATCCGCCGACACGAACCAGCTCAGGTCGATGACCTGTTCCACCAAAAGTGATTTGTCGAGCTTTGTTGTTGTTGTTTCTACTTGGTCTGCTTTGATACGGGCGTTTGGTATAGACGGATGGGGTTTTTTGATTTGGGATACATGGATTGATACCAAGACAGACTAGAATTTCCGACCTCGCGGTCAATTACCTCGATCACTTTTTTTTCATCACCTTTTGCTTCATAATACACTGTGTGCTGGACTTGATTCTGGATTCTTCTAATTTTTCTTATTGTTTGTTCCTACCATTTCGTTTGTCTAGCTGGACAATTTGTGTATGTGTTTGCGCGTATGTGTACACTACTGAGAAAAAAAAGCACCATTTTGAGAATGCAAAGTCGGCGTGCCTTTGAAACCCCAGCCTCAGACGGGTCGACAAATCCCCTTGTACACCACTGGATTGACATCCGGACGAGTCACCGAAACGATGACATCTAACCGTGATTGTCTTCAGGGTTGTTTGACGGGAGCCCACAGACGTCTTCAATCTGATTTGCCGGCGGCTAGCATTATCTGGGTGGATCCTGGTCGAGAATCAAGAACTTCGAACGGCTTGCATGTGCTTCTTTTTTGGGCAGCCACCGGGTCTGCACAAATCATGTCGTGCAACGTTGGCTCCGTGACACGACTAGATACCATTGGGGAGGCCTTTCCAACTGTCTGGCGGCGATCAATGGCCGTTGGGGCCCATTGGCACGTCATGCTTGGACGCCATGGCATGCTGTCGGTCTTTGTTGTTTACCCCGTGCCTGCTTGCGACCTATAGATATGCACCTTGGGAAATCCTGGTTGAGTTGGGCTAGATCGCTTGCCTACCAATCATGGGATGAATACTTTGGGGAAAAGATGATCTGTCGCTTTTTTCCGCGATAGTGAGGCCTAACAGTTGGGGGGGTCTGCGTTGGAGCCGGTCGATGGGTATCGACAGCCGGTGTCACGGGGTACTGACGACCATCACGGACAGCGTTGCTTGTTTCAGAAAATGGATGTATGTACTCGGATGGATGTACTTGTCGAGCGGGATACCTCACAATCACCAGACATGAACACCAAACAGCCCTAAACCCCCCAGCCGGTGCCATCTCCGCTAGCCACAATGAATCAGTCGGGTACCTGAGGTGTGATTTTGCCTTGTTCGGCGATGCGGGAACATCCCGTGACTGCCCGCCCGCCCTGGCCGCGCTAACCCAGTCGGGCCTCGCGCCGTCATCTACTCAACCCTCCGCCTCACTGCGCATCTACCTGGGCCGGAGCATCTCTCTCTCGGTCTCGCTCTCTCCTCTCTCATCACCATCTTGTCCACCGCCATTTCGCTTGGTCCTGGTGCGTAGTATCCGTGCCTCTCATTTGTCCGTTTTCTCTCCACGTTCCTGCCGTCACATTACCCCTGCTCTAATCCGGTCCCCCCCTCAAAAGAGTCCCTCGTGTTTCTGGCTTACGTCTTCCTTCAGGCTACCCCGAGCGTTGCCCTCTGTATCGCCCAGCCCGTGCCGCCCTTTGCGAGCTGAAATCATCCTTTAGATTGATTCTCATCCCCCTAGTGTGGGCTTTCCTGCAAGACGACCTGATCGCATACCATTATCGCCTCCGTTGGGCTCTCGAGCCATGTCTGAATCAACTAGCACAAATACCCCCAAGCCGAGTAGCAGCGTCAAGCTGGTACTTTTGGGCGAAGCGGCTGTGGGAAAGGTACGAATGACCTCGGCACTTTCCTTGCTCTGACCTCCGGGTGGTACCTGAGTAACCGGGGGGAGAACTGACCATGAACGCAATGGCTGATGGCTGATGATAGTCCTCGCTGGTGCTGCGATTTGTCAACAACGATTTCCAAGAGAACAAAGAGCCGACCATTGGAGGTAAGCGTCCGATTGTGGCGAATGCGGATCCCCCTGCTTGCTCGGGGGGGGGGGGGGAAATTCTTGCCGTCTGCTGGTGTCCCGCATGTGGCCGTATCTCCGAGGCTGATGTCATTGTTTCTGCCCAGCTGCCTTCCTTACCCAAAAATGTTCCCTGCCTACGCGGACCATCAAGTTCGAAATCTGGGATACCGCCGGTCAGGAGCGCTTCGCCTCGCTCGCTCCCATGTACTACCGTAACGCCCAGGCGGCGCTGGTGGTCTACGATGTCACCAAACCGTCCTCCCTCACCAAGGCGAAACACTGGGTTGCGGAACTTCAGCGACAAGCTAGTCCCGGTATTGTGATCGCCCTGGTCGGCAACAAGCTGGATCTGACAAACGACGGGAACGATGCGGCCGGGGAGACGCCCGCTGAGGCTGAGGGCGAGTCAGCTGCGGCGGAGGGCGACGAAACTGCCGGAGAAACTCAGGAAGGGCAAGATGTCACTTCCGCAGATGCTCGGAAGGTACCTACACGGGAAGCTAGCGCCTACGCGGAGGAAGAGGGTCTGCTGTTCTTCGAAACTAGCGCCAAGACGGGCACGAATGTTGTGGAGGTGTTTACGGCGATTGCCAACGCTATCCCGGAGAGCAGCCTGAAGAGTGGACGAGCAGGTGGTGCTGGCACGGGCCAGACTAGCCTGGGCAGCGGTCGTCCGGCCGAAGACTCGCGAGTCAACCTGGGGGAGCGCGGTCCTGCCACGGCCAAGGAAGGGTGTGCCTGCTAATTTCAGATTGTTTTGCAGCGTTTCATGAGCTTTGGTCGTGCCTTTTGAATCTTTCTTTACTGTTCCGATACAATATCAGGCTGATCACACGGGATTATCCTGCGGCGGACGAATCCGACCGCTCGGATCAGACTGTCTTGCGGCTTGAGCTATCTCATTTCCGGCGTCTCGAGTGTTTTGTTGTGATATTCTCCCTATTCAATTGTTTCCATGACTATGCAGAGTTAATACGGCGAGGAAGGAATGGAGCGTTGTACAGAAGACCGCAGGAGCGGTGCCGGGCATAGTCATAGATCCTTGACAATTCGGATTGCATTACGAGGTTCTGTCGCTGTAGGGAGTGACCGTAATAAGTTCCTGATATGAGATATAGTTGGTGATCAAAAGGGCAGCCGGGTCACGGGACCGGACATCCCCTAACTAGACCCAAAGCGGACTACGGCCGCCCGCTAAGCGAGAGGCCGAGCCTCCGATCCCACAGCCGACCCAAGCGCAAATTGGGGACGTTCAGTGTGAGATCTCCGTTCAACCACCAACCTCGACAACCAACCTCACGACAGAAGGCAGCATCCGCAGCACAGCCAGCTACCCGTCGCTCGTCTGCAATCATGGCTGCTATCAACAAGATCGCCATCAACTCGCCGTCGAGGCAGAACCCCTCCGAGCTGGAGACCGCGATCGCCGGTGCTCTCTTCGACCTCGAGAGCAACACACAGGACCTGAAGGCCACCCTCAGGCCCCTGCAGTTTGTCTCTGCCCGTGAGGTAAGGATTATGGTTTTTTTGTCTGCGTACAGATCAGATGTCGGTTGTGCATGACGAAGGGAGGCGATTTGGATGCGGAATATTGGTGGATGAATTGTGCGGTTATCCAGTATACCAAGGACATACATGTGTGTGTGTGTGTGTGTGTGTGTGTGTGTGTACTTGGTATATGGCATGAGGAGGAACGAATTGGCATTCACCGACACTGATCTGTCGCGCGAACAAAAACATTCGAATTGTGCGCAATTTGATATTGACTACCTATTTCACAGGTCGAGGTCGGCCACGGCAAGAAGGCAGTCATCATCTTCGTCCCTGTCCCTCTCCTCCAGGGCTTCCACAAGATCCAGCAGCGGTACGACTACCCGGAGACCACCCTCCACTCCACCGGACACAATGTGGAGTACATAGGCATGGAGCATACTAACGAAAATCTAGTCTGACCCGTGAGCTCGAGAAGAAGTTCTCCGACCGCCACGTCCTCTTCGTTGCTCAGCGCCGCATCCTGCCCCGCCCCAAGCGCTCCGCCAACTCCCGTTCCAACCAGAAGCAGAAGCGTCCTCGTTCCCGCACCCTGACTGCTGTCCACGACGCCATCCTCACCGACCTCGTCTACCCCGTCGAGATCGTCGGCAAGCGTACCCGCACCAAGGAGGACGGCTCCAAGACCCTCAAGGTCATCCTGGACGAGAAGGAGCGTGGTGGTGTTGACCACCGCCTGGATGCCTACGGCGAGGTCTACCGTCGGTTGACTGGCCGTGCTGTTGTCTTTGAATTCCCCCAGGGTGGTGCCGACTACTAGATCAATTTTTTATTTTTTTTTGTTGACAGTGACAAATGTGACAAGACAAGACAAAATTTGATTTGACCTGATTTTTCACCCTTCCCACCTTACTCTTTTCAATTTTCTTCACCATGGCCCGGGACGTCGACAAGCATACCCCTTCTTCTTCTTCTTCTTAAAATCCTTGATTTTATTATATGCATGTTGATGTCCACCGTCACCTTTGTCGCTCTGTGGTTGAGACAGTGAGGTTCTGGTCAGGTTTCGGTTTCGGTTCGTCTGGGATGGTCTGGTTTGGTCTGGTTCGGTTCGGTTCGGTCAGAAATAGGGTGTATGTATGTGTGTACGCGGGGTTCAAGTGAAATTATGTCGTCCGTCATTGTCACATCCTGTCATTTTTCAACAATCTTTCTCTATGAAGGGATGGAATAAAAAAGGATCATTGTCTGGTAGGATAGGATTAGGGGAAAACAAAAGAAACGAATGTCGAGATATATTTCTTATTTTTCTTCTTCTTTGGTGATGATGGGGGAGGGGGAGGGAGGGGATAGAGAGAGGACAGAGGAGGGGTTTCTACTTTGGACTTTTTTTTTCTCTGGTATGAATGAATTAAAAGCAGATAATACAATATGTGTCATGGTCTATTCTAGTCTCGTTCGATATGTATGTCTATTTGCAGAGATCTCTGTATGCTATCTTATACAGGTGTCAGTATGGGTATGAGTATGTTTTATGTGTAACTATGTATGTATCTACTTCTTTCAAGTAAAACAAGGAAGTAAAATAAGAAAGAAGGTATCACTATCCAATCTACACAACCCAACAAAAACAACATCACAACTACACCACCTCTCTCAGAATCCTCCCCACCCCCAAGACCATCCAATACGCCAATTCCCTCTTCACCGTATCGGAACTCGATCCCCGTCCCACGCCCTGTTCCTGATCAATCTGATTATCCGAGTCCCATTCCATATGCACGAAGACCGGGATCTCCAGGACGTCTTCATCCGGCTGGAGTTGTTGGTTCGGATCGGAGGTTTGGCCGCTCCAGTCTAGGGCTACGCTGCTGTCACTGTCACTGTCGGAGTTGGAGTTCTCTTCGTCGTCGTCGTTGTTGTTGTTGGTTTTGGTGGTGTCTTCTAGTTCATTGGCGGGATATTTCTTCGGGTTCCGTTTGATCCCCCCCGGTAAGGTCCCCGGTACGACTTCCAAGACCACCGTCGTCCAGTTCCGTCCCTTGTCCCACACTTTGCCGGCTTCTGCGACTTTCTCGTAGACCCCGAGGCCGCCGGATCGGGAACCTCGCGGGTCGGAGGTACTGGTGGTGGCGGTGGCAGGGGTCGCGGTGTTGGTGGTGGTGTTGGTGTTGGTTGCTGACGCGCCCTGGAGCGCTTCGTCCCATACGTCGCTGTTGGCGCCAATGTCGAACTGGGGACAGAGGATTGTCACTTTGGAGGCCACGCGACCGGGGGTGACGGAGGGCGTGGCGAGGGTGACGCGGACGGGATCGAACATGTGATTCTTGAGGGTGAGGAGCAGCTGGATGGGTCGCAGCGGGGACAGGGCGTCTAGGTTCGGGTTCGTCGTGGAACCTGGTACCGTGGGGGTCGGTGGAACGGTCACAGCGGGTTGGGGGCCCGGGTTCAGCGGCCGTAACGTCGGCAGGGGAATGTAGCTGAGGGCGATGAGGCGGATGCGGAACCGCGTGGACTGCGGCTTCAGTTCCGGTTTGACGAGGATGTGCTTGCACGACTTGCATCGTTTGGACCGTTTCGTGCGAAGTAGGACAGGGAGCGGGAGGAGGTCGTCTACGAACCGGGCGTCCGGGGATTGAAAGGCCCGTTGTTCCAGGGATGCCAGTCCGTCCCAGCCGCAGTCTGGGGACGCCATGCGGTGGATCAGTGCGTCTTCTGCGTCCGAGGAGGGGACCTTGAGGCCTTCGCCGGGGGTGAGGGCTTCGCGCATGACGGGCGGTTTGGTTTTGGGCTTCTTGTTGGCGCCGCCGTAGAGGCTGCTGAGTCGGGAGGATGAGGTGTAGAGGGACATGATGCGGTTGAGGGCCCCGGGGGAGGAGAATCCGGCTCCAAAGTCCATGCCCAGGGGGTCGGTGGGTGAGGAAGATGTCGCGGAGATTTGGTTCTTGTAGAAGTTCTTGAGGGCGTTGAATCGGGCGTCGGGGTTGAGGGGGGCGCTGGGCTGGTCCAGGGGGTCGTCGGGCTTGCTCTCTCCCGGCGGTAGGAATGCCTCGTCGATGGAAGAGTAGGTGGAGAGAGGGGATTTGAGGTCCCCGAACGTCCGGGACATCTGTCTCGAGCGAGAGGGCGTGGCGTCGGTCATCTTGGACAGTTGGGTGCGAATGTTGGTGGGCTTGTCGAACTTGATGCCGATATCCAGGGTCGACCACATGCAGTATCCGCACGACAGCACCCAGGGGCCTTGTTGGCTGGTGCCGCCGGTCACGACGTTTTCGAGGGTGTTGACTGCCAAGGGAGCGGTGCAGATCGGGCAATTGAAGCAATTGCGAGCGCATCTGAACATCGCATTAGCCATCCCATGCCCGCACACTTTGTGTATTCTGTTAACGTACCGATTCCCCTCACTCCGAACCATGCTACTGGGCGTCTCGAACAGACAGTTCGGACAATACCAGCACACAATCTCCTCCGTTATGCATCGCGGACATTTGATCTGATGGCAGTCCTCGCAGTAGAGCAGCTGTTCCGGGGGGTATAGGGAGAAATTGGCGCGCGGAGACCGAGGGTCGAAGGTCTGTTCATCTTCATCGTCGTCCGGGAGCAGGAGAGGCTTCTTGGGTTTGTCCGGGTTGGATTTCTGCGGCGAGTCTCTCGATCTCCGCTTCTTGGCCGGGTCCGGAACGGGGGTGTTGGCGCAGGGACAGGAGATGAAAGCGTAGGGAAAAGGGCGCGACATGGTGAGGTGATTGGAATATTGTTTATTGCATTCTGGCGCATCTTTCATCAGTCTATAATCAGGACGAACATCAGGGACAGCCTCATACCTAATCATCACCATATCTCATAACAAAAAAAAACCAATCTAAACCCACGCTGGAATCAGCATCCACGCATAACCATAACCCCGTCGAGAAACCCCGCGAAGGTGAACGCGACGTGGCGGGAGAAAATGCGGAGTAACGACTGGATTCTCGCCAGCGGCCGACGTCACGTTCCGCCATCGACCGCCGCAACTTTTTCCTCGCTCGACCTCCCCACCTTCAGACTACCCAATTCACCCTCCAAAGATATCATCATGTCTTTGGCCCGTATACTCCGGCCAGCGGTGCGCTCTCCACGCCTCTACACCCCACGCACACCCACCTACACAGCATCCTCATCATGCCCGTCACGACGAACCTACGCCAGCCAAACGCCCGGCAACCCCGTCATGGAAGTCTTCAACCGGAAAACCAAGCACCTGCAAAAGGACCGCGCCGCGCGAAATATCGAAGAGAGTCGCAAGACCGATTACATCAAGGACGAAGTTGCCACGCGACTCTGTGAGCGATTGCTGGTACACCCCCAATTCCACCCCCCATCCACTCATCTACCTCCATATCAGCATCATATACTGACTGAGGATAGGACATCAAACGAACCTTCCCCCAAGTCCTCGACCTCGGCGCCAACAGCTGCAATATCGCGCGAGCCCTCACGATGCCGGACCCCGACCCCGACGCTCCCACCGGAAGCTCCCCCCCCCTCAGCACACGCATCTCCCACCTGACCTGCATCGACACCTCGGAGGCCCTCCTGCACCGCGACGCCGACGAGCCCTTCAACTCCCAAATGTCACTCACCCGACAAGTCGTCCCCAATCTCGAATCGCTCCCCTTCGCCGAAAACTCCTTCGACGCGGTCCTCTCCTCGCTCTCCATCCACTGGATCAACGACCTCCCCTCCCTCCTGGCACAAGTCAACTCGATCCTGAAACCCGATTGTCCGTTCATCGCGGCCATGTTCGGCGGGGATACGTTATTCGAGCTCCGGACGTCGTTGCAGTTAGCGGATCTGGAGAGACGCGGGGGCGTGAGTCCGCATGTGTCGCCGTTAGCGGATGTCAAGGATGTCGGCGGGTTGTTGAATAAGGCCGGGTTTAAGATGTTGACGGTCGATGTGGAGGATATTGTGGTTGAGTATCCGGATACGTTTGCCCTGATGCAGGATTTGCAGGCGATGGGGGAGAATAATGCGATTTTGCATCGCGAGTTGGGGCCTCTCTCGAGGGAGGTGCTCTTGGCGAATGAGGCCATTTATCGCCAGTTGCATATGCAGGAGGGGGATCGCGGGGTGCCCGCGACGTTTCGGTTGATTTATATGATTGGGTGGAAGGAGGGGGAGGGACAGGCGCAGCCGTTGGAGAGGGGGAGTGGACAGTTGAATTTGAAGGATTTGTTGGGCGGTGGTTCGTTCTGATGCTACAGTGGCCTGCTGAGATCATAAAGGTTATGTATGATAGTGTGTATAATATGGACGGGAAAGACATCTAAGGATATCATCCTGACGCGACAGGAAGAGTACAGAACAGAACATACACCACCACCTACAAAGATTTTAACAGAGCGCAATCGAGGATCCAAGGAAGAAAGAAGAAGAAGAAGAAGAAGAAGAAGAAGAAGACTAAACCGTCCTCCGATCCGTCATGACCCTAACAATCGACCCCGTCCCCGCAACCTCGACCAACTTCTCATGCCAATTCAACAACACACTCATCTGCTGCCCACCACCGCCCTCACCCAAATTCCGGGCCTGAATCTGCGAGAACCCCGTACTCTGCGGCGACACGGACTTGGAGCTACCACTTGACCCTGGGGCCGCCATACCTTTGTACCTGTAGCCCCCACATTAGCACCATCCATCACCCCCCCCCCCCCCCCCCCCCCCCATTCCCCACAAGAAAAGAAGAAGAGAGGCCAACATACAAATACTTCATCAAACAATCCGCACGATCGGACCCGCCCTCACCAACACACACCCCCTCAAGGACACGACTCATCTCCCCCTGCCGAATGCCCTGCAAGACATCGATGACGGTCGCCAAATGGACCTCCTTTGCGCGGTCGTCGCCGCCCAGCGGCGCCGTGTCGAGGACGTACCGGAGGGCGCCTTCAGCGTCGCCGCCGCGGAGGAGCTGACGGACTTGGGTTGCGGTGGAGGCGGCGTCGCTGGAGGTGGTTGGGGCGGGGAGCGTGGAAGGGAGGAGCGTGTCCATGGGGAAGTTGATCGAGGACTCGGGGTCCAGGATGTCGGTGTTGATGGTGCGGTAGTTGAGTTGGGCCATGTTGCTAGGTGTTGGTGTGTGGAGGTGGTCTGGGGAGGAGGGGGAGAGGTTAGTTGGGGGATTTGCAGTATGGTTGTGGGTGGAGGGATGATGGAGAGGGAGCTGGGTTGGTGGTAGGAGGCAGGCCGCGGGGAAAGGAGATGACGGAGGTGGCCGGACGTACTTGGTATGGTTGTGGACACGGTGGCGGATGGGTGGGATTGATGAAGATAGACGAGAGGCGCAGTGGTGGTTCGTATGACTGCGGTGAATTGAGAGTGGAATGCAAAGGCAAGCTCCAGAGCTAGCTGTTGGAGAGATGTTGACAATGAGGAGGGATGAAGTGGCGGCGGTGCCTGCGGAGTGCCGTGCGGGCCTGGAGGCCTGAGGCAGAAGTAGGCCGGAAGTATAAGACTGCTACGGAAGAAAGGCATCGGTCACAACTGGTCACTTAAGCAAGAGCGAGCTATATCATCTATCGTACATGTATTATTCTTTTAGTCATTGCACATTCAACCCAGCCAGAAAACCACCGCCCAATATTTACACCCACGCACGCTGAATCGCTAGAAATATACAAGAAATCGCAGGCAAACTCCACAAATCATCAAGATGTCGTAATAGTAATCGGGGGCACCGGAATTGAGGTGACAGGCACCTCCGGGGTTGATTCTCGTTTCTCATCATGCAACGACGCCGTTGCTGCCTCCTCATCGGACAAGGCAGTGGTGTCTTGCTCCTTCGCGCCTCGCTTCAAAGCACGCTGGGCAGTCCTTTTCACAGGCCGCATCGAGGAGCGAAGCATAGCCGCAAGCCATCCCAGACCTTTGGTAACAGGGGTAAAGATGAAGTTCATGCTCCGGACGACAAATTCAAGAGCAACCTGGCATGGCCCGTCTGGGATCGTGCGCAGCACAACCGCCCACGGAAGACAGCCCAGAGCGCAGATGATGCAGATGGCCCATTGGATCCCGTCAAGTCGGGTGACGCCAAAAGCGTCCCCTCCCACGAAGATGATCATGATCTGGCCGCCCACCATGATGCAGTTGATTCCCAGGAACCAGTAGTTGCGGAACATGCCCTCGAAGATGTTGAACTTGTTGTCCAGTCGTCGGTTGTTGAACTCGTTGAAGATCTGCATCCACACAAAGGTATTGAATACAATGGTGTTGAGCACCGTGTCCGGGTCATGTGTCCCAAGTCGCGATCCGATGATATGGTTTCCACCAAAGTAAAGCATGAAGGTGACGGCCAGCTGATACAGAGCTTGTCCGAGAATCATCTTCCACATGATGACCGTGAATAGAGACGCGCTCTTGGGAACGGGCTTGCGGTTGAGGATCTTCTCCGTCGGTGCATCGGTCGCCAGGGCAAGAGCTGCGAAAGTGTCCATGATCAAGTTGACCCAGAGCAGCTGCACCGCGTTCAGAACACTTGTGCTTTTGCTGCTGTACAAGGATGAAACAAAGGTCAGGATGACCGCAGTGATATTGACCGTGATCTGGAACTGGAGGAACTTGGCCACGGCATCGTTGACGGCCCGGCCCCATGCGATGGCAGTGACAATCGACTTGAAATTGTCATCGAGAAGGATGATGGAACTGGCCTCCTTGGCGACTTCGGTGCCAGCAATTCCCATGGAAAAGCCAACATCAGCCGTTTTCAGGGCTGGTCCATCGTTGGTACCATCACCAGTGACAGCAACGGTTTCTCCTAGTTTCTTGAGTCGCGCTACTAAGATTCGCTTATCCTCTGGCGACGACCGAGCCAGCACCTGAAGGCGAGGAATGACCCGATCCATCTCGTCATCGGACAGCTGGCGGAACTTGGGGCCTTCCATGACGATTCCATCCTCGGTCTTGATTCCGCACGACGAAGCGATGGCAGTGGCGGTTACAATGTTGTCTCCAGTGACCATTTTCACCTGCACGCCGGCCGCATGGCACTTTTGAATAGCAGCGGGAACTTCAGGTCGGAGAGGATCCTGGATTCCCACGACCCCAATCCACGTCATCTCGCGGAAAATATCCTCGAATCGGGCAGCTTCTGGATCATCTTCCATGCAGCGAGCGTTCTTTGGGGGCCAGCTCGGGAAGTCCCGGTACACCAGTCCAATCGTCCGGAGAGACTGACCCGCGTAAGACTCAATTGTCTCCAGGATTGTCTGCCTGTCTTCCTCGTGCAGCCCATCAATGGCGATTTGATCGTGGGAAGTGCTTGGAGCCATCTGGGTCGTGCATGCGCTAGTCATTATCTCAGCAGCTCCTTTGACAAGGAGGCGATAGCCCACGGTGGGTTCCCGGTATACGACTCCCATGCACTTCCGTGCAGAGTCAAAGGGAATCAATTGGACAATTTCCGCAGAGGCACGCTCGGCAGCAACATCCATACCGAGATGATCTTTGGCCATTTGTAGCAAAGCCACCTCGGTCTTACTGCCGATGAACTCCTTGGACCCATCTTTCTCCTCCTCGAAGGCAGTGGAGTTCAAGGCAATGCTCTGGATGAGGAGGTCTCGCTGCTTGCCAGAATATTGCTTGAAAAACTCGGCAGGGGTCGAGACATCAGAACGCTCCTCTGCTAAAGTTTGCTTGAAACCTCTAGAGCCCAGAGTGCCTGCCACAACGGTCATCTTGTTTTGTGTTAGGGTGCCGGTCTTGTCCGAACAGATGACGGTTGCATTCCCCATTGTTTCACAGGCACGGAGAACGCGCACGAGGTTGTTCTCCTTGACCATTCGTGTCGTGGCAAAGGCAAGGGCCAGAGTTACAGCAAGGGGCAGACCCTCTAGATATCAGTCAGTAACAGTCATAGCGTAGCATTTCAAGTGACACTAACCAGGAATCGCAACAACGATAACCGTAACAGCAACAATGAGGATGTCGACGAATTCCTTTCCTTTGGCGGCAGGCGAAGCAGAGTTATGCGGCAAGTCCGCCACAAACCTGAAGAACAGAGCGAAAAACAAGATGATCGCGGCCCTAGTAAGATATTAGTGACATGATAACGAGGAGGACGAATTGTACTTACCCTGAACCCAGCCAACCAATCCAATTGGCAAGTCGAGCCAACTTAACCTGCAGGGGGGTGGGATCGTTCGATTCTTGCAACGAGAGTAAGATCCGACCATAGGTCGAGTTTGGCCCGACACTCGTCACTAGGTAGGTTCCAACACCCTCAAGAACTTTGCTGCCCGAAATCATAAACGGGTCGAGTTTCTTAGTGGCTTTGCCATCCGCAATCAACCGCCCAACTTCATGGCCATCCGTCTTCTTCATCTGATCTGACTCTCCCGTAGCGGAGGATTCGTCACATTTCACTCCGTGACCTGAGATGAGAACCCCGTCCGCAGGAATGGAGTCACCCGGTTCGACATGAAGAATGTCTCCCACGGTGACATCGAAAATGGAAATCATGGAGACCTTGCCGGAGCGGACGGCCTTGACTTCTCGGTCATTGTTCTAAGCTAGTTAGTCAAGTCATCTTAGATGGTCAAAACAAGATCAAGCACGTACCCGTTGGTTCAGCTTAGCAAACTGCCTTTCCTTCTGCCAGTCATTCGCGGCAGTCACGATAGTGACGATCAGAATAGCCACGCAAATTGCCACCCCCTCGATCCAGTCAACGCCACTGCCTTCGCTCGTGGTCTCGTAGATGCCTAGAGACAGCGACACAATAGCAGCGATCGTTAACAGGATGATGATCTTGTCGTTATAAGCAAGCCAGAAGAGCTTCAGGAAGCCCGTTGACTTCCGAGCCGGCAGGCGATTCTGACAGAACACACGAATGCGGTCTTGGAACTGCGCACCGTGTTCTGATGTTGGAAGATTAGTGATCTGGGGAAGGGGCTCCTTCGAAACATAGCCAGGGGAGGTCGCCTCTGGAAAGCTGATCGAGCCCTCCAAGAGGGTCTCATCCACGGACAGACCCGACGTCAAATCTGTTCGTAGGCCCCGTTCGAGTCCCCGTATGCCCCCAAGTGCCTGGAACGCAGCCAAAGATTTAGGATTCTGCATCTTGTTCAGCTGGCCGGGAGAGAAGGCGAACTTATTGTCTGCCACTATGAAGTCCTGCTCGTGGCGAGGATCTGGGTTCAAGGCGTCGGCCACCGAAACATCATCGTACTCCATCTTGGTCGGGGCGGTGGTGGCCTCCGAGTTGGCTCTCGATCTTACGGCAGTGTCGGCACTGGAAATGGTAGAGTCGGCGCGCGGCCGTAACGTCTCGCCGTCCAGCGACTGAGACGATGTCCGCCTGTCACTCCATACCATGAGTCTGTCTGGTGATAGAGTGGACGCCATGTCCGGTGAGGATGGTCGAGCGGATGACAAGCTGGTTGGTTCTGTACTGAGTGGGAATGGGTGCTGTTGGTCTCTGCATGAGTATATAGTCTTCTCATCAAGTGGAACGCTCAGACATACCTCTCTATCTGAGACCCCGAAAGGGTTCAGGCACTCGGTATGACGATGCTCGTCTGGGGTCTGCATTGATGCGACCGAAACAAGCTCTGATTTGGCGAGAACAAAGAAGCGGGCATCAATTCTGGTCGATGCAGTATCAGATTCAGATTGCACCGGCTAGTGTTGGTTTCCCCCCCGAGCGATTGTCAGTATTAGTAGAGACTGACGGGGGCTGTGCTTCCCAGCCTAAGATTCAATAGTTGTATTGTCTCATATCAGATTCTTCGGATCAATTCTAATCTCTGATTTAAAATTTCCACGGCACTGAGAAAGAAACTGTAACGCCAAGGGGGGTTCTACCAAGCACGGGATGAAAGGAAGCGCTGCAAGGCCCGAGAAAAAGCTAGCAGGCGTTTTGCTCTCGCCATTCCCCGAAGTATGAGGTGTGTGAGTGACCCATCGGCTTGGTAGCATATTACCTCGCGCTGCACAGCCTCCTTGTGTCGTCCTATCAACGGCGGCCTAGACCAAGGGGGTGGAGAGGCATGACCATGGCTGCAACTAAGGAGCGGGGGTATATACCCAAAGCGCTCTCTATCTTAAAGTCATAGACGACATGACACCTCCACTCTGTCAAAGCAAGTTAGATTGCACAGTCTAGGCGCCGACGGAGCTCCTGTCCATCCCCTTGCACTTCTTATCTTTCCTCCTCGAGGACGAGAACCAGGACGAGGAGGGCTCCAATCACAGGCCAGTTGCACTCGCGTCCCAACCATAGCGAGGCGCGCCGACCTGACAACTCGTGCATCCTGGCCGCTGAATGGACTGTTGTCGGGTCGCATACCCAACTCCAGAGGGAAATACCAAGCGAAGTGGTTCTTGGGACGTTGCCGCCGGGTGAGGTTGTTTCCAGCAGGTGAATATCTTAGCGGGCGGCTGCGCCTCCTTCGTTTAGTTCGGAAGTCAAACGGTGATTAGTCGGTCAATACCAGGTTGATCGGGGGTTGTTGTTGCCGTTGCCGCTAATAGCTGCGTTCCGTATTGCCTAGTGCGTATCCGGGATCGGAATTTCCATCGTCTCGACCATCACGTTTGACTTCATCCTGAAGAAATGCGCCGTGATGCACGGCCACACTTTGCGCCACACTTCCCACAATTCCCCCATTCAGCTGCTTCATCCGGGGTTCACCTCAGTGGCTGAGGCAGAAGGGTTCTGGAAATCAGATTATCTCCTGTGGCGTCATGTCTCAATTGACTGGAGCCTCATCAGTCATCGATGAGGCGATTATCTCATGGTGACCTGCACTCCATACGATGACCGGGTTGGACACTGCGGCCGTGGCTGGTGATCGTCTAGACTCTGCCGAGGGCATCACGATGGCAAATTTGCTAGCCAGCTGAGGTGGACGAATTCGAGTGAGGCTTGGAAGCTTAAACCCCTGGTGACGGCGAAATGAGACAGATGGAGGCAACACAGTTGCCATCGTGGGATGAGATGAGATGAGGCAAAGAAGAAATTGTGGCAGCAGGCAGCACTGTAGGTGAGTGCAAGTGAACAACTCCCGAGTCTGCCTCGCCATGTGTATTGTAATAGGGTACGGTTTTTGTATTACTAGTATCGCTAGCCTGGTTAGTATATACGCTTTCCCTGTCTTGTATGTAACTCTCTTACAGTATAGAGAGTTTACAGGCAGCATCACAGCATATCTTCATGATGAGCTATCGTATTCTTTGGAGTATACAGCCTACTGGTATAGCGGGCAGTGTCATGCTCCTTTCGTATCACCCATCCACGTCAGCCAGTTCAGCATATCGATTCCCCAACCCGCAGAAACATTGCTTGGATCGTTCAGACCCCGTATCCTCTGAACCTTTTCGACCCAATACCTCCTCCATGGCCCACGCAATTCGCTCTGCTCCCAGCCTCGCTCCCTCGAGATTGGCGGCACCCGGGCCCAGACGAAGGGACCCCAGCCGGCCCGTTAAGAAGAGAGGCACCTGGGATTGCCACATCAGGTCATCCGTGATGCAAGGCAACCCCTGTTTCGTTTCAATTGGATAATCCCGATTCATGCTCCGGAGCAGCGGAAGCTCGTTTACATCGGCCTGCATGCCCGTTGCAAAGTATATATAATCGATGCGAGGGAGATCGGGAATCGGAGGATCGGTCGTCAGACGCCATGTGCGTGAGGAGGCGCAGTACTCTCGGCCGCAGATGACGGTCCGTGGGTGTATAGAAAGTCGGTGACAGGCCACATGTTTCTTCAGAATCTTCTGATATCGTGGCGTGATACTGCCCCCGTTGCGCGCGGCTTTGATCATTTCTAGGCGCTCTTCATCCGTATCTGCGGACCAAAAAGTTGCCTTTTCGAAGTTCTTGAACTTACCCATCCAGTTTAATGCCAGATCGAAGTGCTTGACTGGTTTCTGGTCAGCATACATCCCACATCATACTCTCGGGTCACACCAGCTGGGGGGCTGTGCTGCCTACCTTTGAAATCCGACCTCAAAAGAAACCATACTTTGGTCACTCCTTTGCGAAGGGCCATGTCCACGACCTGCGCTGACGACAGCCCGCCTCCAACCACCACCACATTCGTCTCCTGACGCTGCTTGATCTTGGCCTTCACATTCGGACTGGGAAACGTGCCAATCTCAGTGCTATGACAAGCACCGTGCACCTCATCCCCGGACAGCTGGAACGGCATGATCTTCGTCCTCCCCGGCCCAATCGCCATCACCACCACACGACTATAGAACCGTGTCCCGTCGGCCGTCGTAACCGTAAAGATCTTGTCCGATGGCGACCACTCAGGATGATAATCGTAGCATATATCATTCACCTCACACTTCCTGATCATCCCCGGCGAGTCCAGCCCATACCGAGACACAATACTCCCACAATAATCCGCAAACAGGCCCGTCGAAGGCGAGAAGTAATCCTTGCGATCTCGTTCATCAATCTCCACCTCTCCAACAGCCCTATACCCATCAGCCCATACACCCTCACCACAACACAACACAACACCCCACAGGGAAAGATAAATCCACTTACTGTGCCCTCGACCGCTGCTTCATCTTCTTCTTCTTATGTTTACTCATCTCCTTCCCCACACAGCCCGAAATCTCCCAGAGATCCTCCTCCCGACTCGCCTCCTGCGTATACGCCAACATCCCATCCCGATCTCTCGGATCCACATGAAAGAACATCGGACTGCGAAGCTGCTCAATCTCCAACGTTCGAAATGCCCGATTCCATCGCTCCATCCACTTCTCTCCGGAACTATCCAGCACCAGCGTGGAAATCCCACCCGTCTCATTACCCCCTCCCTCCACACCAACCTCCAGCTCTGATGAAACCGACGACGCCAACGACGGCGGCGAAGACGCAGACGAGTACGAAGAAGAAGAAGAAGAAGAAGAAGAAGAAGAAGAAGAAGAAGAAGAAGAAGAAGAAGATGTTGAAGACGACCCCCTCCTTGCATCAAACCCCCGCCACTTCTCCGCCTTCACGCCCTTAAGTTTCCCCCGGTGCGCTTGCACCAGCGCCATCCGCCCACTATGTTTATTGATCCAGTGATACCGTTGGTGTTCGTCGTCGGTGAACATGGCCGAGGGCGTTTCTTCGCGTAGTCTGGCGGCGACGGCGAGGCCACAGGGACCGGCGCCGATGATGATTACATCGTGGATGTTGGGGAAGGATGTAGTGGTGGTGGTGGGTTTGTTGACCATTGTCTGGCTGAATCTTCGTGGTGAGGGAATGATGGTAGAGGTAATTTGCAATCCTGTATTGTGGTATGGGCTTTGGGTATTATGTTCGTTGTCTTGGTAGTGGGTTCGGGTTACTTATTGCTGGGGCTTACTTCCAGGGTACTTGGATCCCAAGGTCCTTGTCGCTGAAAAGGGAAAGTCGGGATTATGGTCGATGAGAGGTGTGAAGGAAGGGTTTATGGTGGAGTGGGGACCTTGGGGGTGGTTGTAAATGTTGATCTGTTTTTATACATAGTATTCTGTCGTTGTTGGTGGCTGTGGATGTTATTGGGGACTTGGTGGTCGGTGGGGAGGGGAGTTTGTCTGGGCTGCTGGGTCACTTGCTGCTTGCTGCGCCATAGTTGTAGACATGTACAGATCTGGGATAATGGGATTCGAGGGTCTCAGTTTCCGCTGCAAGATAACTATGCCTGCGTGAGAAGTATATCGGAGTGTCCCGAGAATACATTACATTACTATATCAGACAAAGCTATACAACAACGATGAAACAGAAATTAACAAGGAGAGTCCAGTCTCCGCTGAGAAAATCATTTGTGCCACTTTTTCGGTCGGGGTTCTGCAGTCATCGCCCGCGAACGAGGAGCGCCGCCCCCCTCCCGGCGATGCCAGGCATCTTGCGGCCACACCCAGCCTCGCACTCGCTTGGCATCACGGCGCTCTCCAATCTGAGGCTCGGGGATCCATTTGTCCTTCCCCTCGGGCAGGATGCGCTGCCGGGTCAACGCACCGGGTCCTCCCACGTTGAGATGGGCGGACGGTTGCGCCGGCAAGGGCACCGATTTCGACAACATCAGCAAAAAGTACAAAGCCAGGCTGGCGGTCATGGGCACATCCAGTTCATCCGATCCCAGCATGGGATAACTATCCAGCACGGGAGATTGGCTTGCCAGGGAACTGTCGGTGGATGGCGTGGGTGAGTGCGGATAACCATAAGCGCCGGAATACGGTCCTGAGTCGTGGCCGTGCTGGCTGACCGCGATTTTCGTTGGGATTGGGGCAGACAGTTCCAAGAAACCAAAGTAGGGGACATCATCGCCCTCGTCACAACCCGCCCGCACACAGACGAGCTCGATTTCCGTAAGGATGAAGCCATATCGGCAGGAATGCTCGCGCATGCACCGCTGCAAATGAGCCAGGCCGTTGAGATATTCTACCCTGCGGTGAGGTGCTTCATTACGCATCCCCGTGTTCCAGCGGTCGAACGTCTTGACGATCCCAACGAGCCGTCCTCGTGGCAGGCCTGAGCTTGTCCGTTCCGTGTCCGACGCGTAATTGGCAAGAAAGTGTGGCCCACCGTAGTGCTTGTTGGGAGCCGCGCGTGGAATGGGGACATCGTATAGGGTCAAGTGCTCCGGGCCCTGGGATACCGCCAAGGCCGCATTGATCCGAGGCGCATAGATGTCTCGGATGACGCTTACCAGGGCTGGCTCGCTATCTGGAGCTAGATAGGAGCTTGGAAGAATGGTGAAAGGAGTGAGGTGCGAAGGAATTGCCGTCTTGAGGAGCTTGGGAAGGCCACTGATAGAGTTGAATGTGGCCAGAGAAAACGAGGTCCAACTGCGCAAGTTTCGAATGTCCCACCAAAAGAACTCGTGCATGCCCCGCGTCGGAATCACGTTGACATTGCGAACGAGGTTGATTGCTTGCGTCGGAGCAGTCAAATACGAAAGCAACGTGGTCGACTGCTGCGGCCCCTCGGTCTGGTGGACAACCCCGACGGGAGAGCACTGGGCGCTTGAGGCTCGCACATAGCCGTATGGTGAGCCGGGGAGCATCAGCGGGACCTGGACTGGAGGCCACACTCTGGGGTAGCATGGCTCAACGGGCGAGTGCTGGGCATGGGGAGGATACACTATGATATTAGGTGTGACCGGCGTAGCTGGTGTGGTGGGAGAGCTCTGAGGGTGAGACGCGTATCGGAGGACCTGCCGATACGCTGGGTAGCTGCCCCGGCCCGGTCTGGAGTCCTCCACGTTGGGTGCAGATACGGATCGAGAATGTCCGCTAGTCGCCTTGCGCTTTTGTAACGGGGTGACGCTCACGGGAGACGACAATGCCGAACCATTGCGCGCAGCGTATGTCGGCGAGGGCCCCACCGGGGATACCAGAGGAACACAGCCAGGGGCCTCGACAACACTGCGATGGCTCGACCGGCGGTTGGAAGAAAAGGGCAGGAAACCGGGAGGATTCCGGGTATTTGATAGCACCCGCCGCTGACGATGAGCCCCACTGGTGGGTGGAGGCTCAATCACAACGTCTTGTGGCCGAATCTTCGGAAGCAGAGCAGGCCCATGGTGATGCTGCGGTGGAGAATCAACAATTGGACTGGTGGCCGATGTAACGGCAGACCAGGGCGATGAGTTGTTGGAGTAAACGGAGGAATCAGAAGCATTGCGGCTATGCCCCGTTCCGACGTATTCTTGCAGGTGCATTGCAGGGGGCGTGGAGGGTCGATAGTAGGAGAATTCCACGGACATGTTGCTGGTCTCAGGCCAATGTAGGTTTGAGACGATATAGATGGAATAAGCTGCCGGCAGATGGTTCAAAGGAAGGTCCAGCTTCCCACACAGGAATATAGTATAGGACGAAGAAATGAAAAAGAAAGAGATGTAAGGCTGTCAAGCTCGACTTGTCTTTGTGAACGACCACACTGAGCTCATTCAGATGGAAAACGGTTGGATATTAAATGCTCTTCGATCTGGGGCCTATTCCCTTGATCCAAAAAAAGATACAGGATCAAACGAATGGCTGCAGGCGACATGAAACATAGAAGACCCCATTGCGACCACCAGTCGCTAGCTCTTCTAGGTATCCATGAGGGAAGTGGTAAGGTCACAGACCCAGGGACTGCCGACATCTGCTTGGAGGATGTGCAGAGCAAACGACCATAGGGCAAGCGAAAGTGTTTCATCAACTGTCGCGCGTCAAAATGTTGCTATATTTGACATCTTCGTCGGTTCTTCAGATCTGAGCCAGGTTGTCGGTAGTCTGTTCAGGCTTTGGTTCGTCCAAATCTGCACAGGATCTATATTCGGCAACATGATCGTTTCGTCTATTCTGGGCCATTGTGCCTAGTTCGACGGGTTCCCGCAAGAGCGTCAAGCCCGGAATGTCTATTAGTCGGCGGCAAGCAGATGTTTGAGGAAAAAATAAAACACGAGCGACTGGTAGACCACCACGGCGCGTGGTGCTTGAGAGGATCGTTGCGGTGTTAGGCGCCGAGGGTTGATAGCAAGGTCTGGGGGAGCCGCAGCCAGGTCGATGGGCATTGGCTGGTGCGGCCAATGTCTGTGGGTTGCAATCGACTGATGCGATAGTTTCAAATCCAAAGAGATTCTAAGAATATACTTGACGGGGGCATGTCGATAAATCAGAGGCCGAGAGGTCGTCACAGTACGCGCCGGCCACGACCCTGGCCGGCGCCAGGACGCCTTAGTGGCTCTTCCCTGTTGACAACCTGCAGCGTGCTGATGCTTCGTGAATTGGACGAATCACATCCCTGCGAGTCAAAGTTGAGTGCTTATGATGTGATGAGATTGACATGCCGTGGGTCCCTAGGAAGGACGACAGAGTCGGCGGGAAGTAAAACAATAGCCCCGGCCTCATACCTCGAGTTGCTACTATTCTTGGCCAGGACCGCGCTACACTCTGGTCAAAGGGTTCCTGGACTTAGCAGCAGTTCGATCGTTTTCTTGTTAGGCGCTCGGGGCAGGGAAACCAACCTTGTGCGGAGTATTTACTTGCAACAGGTTCGGGCACAGGGAAGAACGGGCCACTCTTTTACCCCATGTCACATGACCCGTCATGCTGCGACTGGTCTAGAAGAAAAGAAAAGTCACGTTCAAGTCAAGTATCTTGATTATCTATATTATTATCATTGTCCTTAAAAGTCGAGTCGGAAACTATTCGTCGTCGCCTTATATAACTGCGTTCCAGCCCCCGTCTGGACAAGAGAAGGTTGCCTCACTGGGAGGACAAATGAACAAGATATGAAACATTAAAACCCAAGAAAAGGAGCAGAGGTAAATCAGACCCGGAAACCCGGAGGAGCATCCCGCTGCATCCGAGCTCTATTAAGGCGGAACAACACATAAACAACACGCATGCTGAAGGGAATCTAGTAAAAACCGTCTAAGCAACTGGTCATGTCCAAAGAAGTAAGGTCGAAAGCAAGTCCATCATGTGCTCGTCATCATTCATGCCTTGACGTCGTACTTGCGGCGGAACATGTCATCCACCTCAGTAAGGTAGTATGTGCCGGGGAAGAGCGTCTCCGGGTTGCCAGTAGGCTTGAAGTTCTTCTTCAGGTGAGCGTGCTCGCGGAGGGCACACATCTGCAGGTCCATGTCAGCAAATTGTTTTGGCGAAGCAATAGGAGACATCAGGGTTCTTACATCGACATAGGCCTGGGGAGGCAGGACGGTTCTGGCGCTAAGACGGTCCTTGAGGTTAAGCTTCTCCACAATGTTGGAGACGTCTCCGGTGATCTTCACACTAAGCAGGGAGCTGGCAAGACCACTGCCGTACGAGAAGAGACCGATACGCTTGGGCTGGCTGGGGTCAAAGGTGACGTGGGAGATCAAGCTAGCCAGACCAGCCCAGACAGTGGCAGTGTACATGTTACCGCACTGAGTGGCAACTTCAAGAGCAGGCTTCACACGCTCAGCAAAGCGCTTCTTGGTCAGGCCCATGAAGGTCTTCTCCACATTCTTGTCGGTGAGAGAGGTAGCGTAATCCAAGTCACGGAGCTCAGGAGCAACTTCAGCGAAAGCAGGGTGAGTGGGGCTGGTGAGGTAGTCGTTGTAGAGCATACGAGCGAAGGACTTCTGCACCAACTTGCAGGTAGGGGCGTGGTAGCAGAGGTAGTCAAAGCGATCCAAGCCAGTCTTGGTCTCGTCCTGGGCGGTACCGTTGGTACCGTTCTGGGTCTTCTCCTTCAGGGTCTTCTCGCGAGCGTTGTAGGCCTTGTAGCAGGCATCGACGGCCTCAGTGTAGCATCTCAGGGAGAAGTGACCGTCCACGACCGGGTACTCGCTGGTCAGGTCGGGCTTGAAGAAGTCGTAAGCATGAGTGACGTAGGAAGCACGAAGACCAGGCTCGAACACGATGGGAGCGTCAGGACCGATCAGGAGGGCCACGCAGCCAGCACCGCCAGTGGGGCGAGCAGCTCCCTCGGCGTACAGGGCAATGTCACCGCACACCACAACGGCATCCCTGCCATCCCAAGCAGAGGATTCGAGCCAGTTGATGCTGTTGAAGACAGCGTTGGTGCCACCATAGCAGGCATTGACGTTGTCGACACCCTCGACGTTGGTGTTTCCGTGAGGAGCCAAGAGCTGCATCAGGACGGACTTGACGGACTTGGACTTGTCCAGCAGGGTCTCGGTACCGACCTCCAGGCGACCAATGGAGTTGGGGTCAATGTTGTACTTGCGCAGGAGGGAGGAAAAGGTGGTCAGAGCAACGGAGTAGATGTCTGTGGGCAGTTCAACATCAGTATTGTCCCCCCACCCTAGAAGCTATGTCTCAGGCTTTGCATACCTTCACGGTCATCACAGAAGCTCATCTTGGTCTGGCCGAGACCAATTGTGTATTTACCCTCACTCACGCCATCGAACTTCTCGAGTTCAGCCTGGTCGACACACTGTATGGACAGTTAGTATACCGCTCTAGGTGGGAAGCAGCTAAGAGTGGATGGAAGCCGAAGGCGTACCTGACGAGGGAAGTAGACCTCAATGGCCTTGATACCGATGTTCTGGGGACGGGCAGACATGGTTATAATGTGAATAGGAGGGGTAAGTATTATTAGAGGAAAGTGGGACAGTAAAGTCAAGGTATGATGCACTCAAAAAAAAAAGAGAGCTATGACGGAGGGGAAGAGGTGGGGGAATTTCAAGAGAGTGATGGAGGAGAGAAAGAAGAATACAGATGAGAAGAAAAGGAGAGCTCCGGAGCAGGTGAAAGGGGAGTATAAGTAGTGAAAGCACACACGCGATATACAGTAGGCTGCGAGTTCCCTGAGCGGGCGAACGGTTTCCTAGGTAGGTGGTACTTTCCACCGGCCGGAGGCAAAAAAAAACGACTGGGTCAGTCCCCCCGTTCCTATGCAGTATCAGCTAGTGGCTGCTTAGTGCGTGGCCTGGTGGGGCCGTCTGGTCCTCCCTTCAAGCTGTGGTTGGCCGTAGCTGGTGGGCGCCCTGACCTGCCCTGGGTGCCTGAGGTTGTCGGCACCGGTGCTCTTCCCTTCCCCCAAAGCCACGCCGCGGATCTACAGTAGTTGTGATCTGAAGATGCTCGCGGAAGACACAGATGCGGCGTGCAAGTCCAACAGGAATTTTCACGATCCCCTCTTCCTTTCAGCGCCCGGCGATCGAAAGGGGCTGAAATCGCGGATGGGGAGACTCACTGGATGGTCTCCAAAGAAGATCCACCTCCTAATTTCCACAATTGTTGGGAAGGGAGAAAATCTGAAGGTGTCCAGGATCTGGTATACGCCGTACTCTTCATCCTATGTCCCGAAAACGGGAGAACAGGATACGGCTGGCTCCAACCACAGCTCTTCCACCCAACGCATCATTGCACAACCTGGCTCCTTTTGGTCTTACCGACTGCTGCTGGCTTCGGGTGGATGATTCTTCGCCCTTGGCTTTCCGTTTCACCGACTCTTGTGGGCTTGCCTTCGGGCCACACTGTATACTATCTACCTCCCACCGTGATCACAACATCCGCCGATATAGGTCTCCCACCCTCACCACCCACTGTCATCTAGATGCACTGGCACAATAGTAATAAACTACAACGATGCAGCAGAACTGCAGATACATTATGTAACCTGCTGTTGGCCGTTCCCTTTCCGCTCAGCCAAGCACTGGACGCGACAATGAGGTGCGTTTCCCTGGTATCCTTTGTCTCTCCCCTGCATCGGAAGTCTTGATTGCTCATGATGACAACTCTGTTTACGAGGGAAACTTCGTGTGGCCTCGGAGTATCTTCACGCGAATTCTTTAATCGAATTGCATATTGGACCACGCAGGACAAGTTGTCTAACAATCCTGGATCCGTGGGTGTCAAGTGTCGCATGCCCCTCGTCTCCTCCCTGTTCCACACTTTTCCCCTCCCACCATATGACAGTGATTATGCTGCTAACAAACCAACGCCCCCAGCAAGGGCCAAGGCAAGGCTGTCAGCCGATCCCCGGACTGCACTCGCAATCAGTTGCGTTTGTCCGAAGGCCTTGAGTATGTCAGCTTGGCATTCCGACATGTGTAGACGTCAGATGCAAACAACGAAAAGCAAGCAACTGTCTAGAAAGAAAGCCTCTCCAGAGTAAACCCAATCCCAAGCAAATCTCCCACTACATCCACCCGGGTGTGACCTGGCCACGGTGTGAAACAAACTGAGGGAATAATCAATCTTATCTTGTGGAGCTTTCGGGTCCAGCCAGTATACAAGACTCCATCTTGCCGCGACTCGGAGTCCTAGTCAGGGCCCCAGTGGGTTCGGATGCGGAAAATGTCAGGACTCCAAGATGAATCCTCCAGTGAAGATCAATACCGATCTTTGGCCGTGCCCCTCGCGCGAGATGGGTCGGCGGCGCTCATTTGTGGTCAACGACAACCTACTGGTGCCAGTGGCGAGGAAGATCCACCGTACTTCACTTCTTGCTTGAACGTTTCGTGTTGAGTACGGAATCCGAATGGGATTCTTAAAGCTCCGAATGAGTGGTCGTTGTTGGGGTCTCCATGCGGTCCGGAAATGGAGAAGCTAGCAGGTTCTCGGATACGTCGAAGACCACTACTGGGGCTGTGCATTTCTCCAGTTGATGCTAGTCTCTGGATTGCGTGTGTTGCAGATATTGTGGAAATGGTATGTGACTGGCTGGCCATGTGCGCGGTTGACAACGACTTGATCAAGCAATGCTGCTGGAACTTGGCAGTCTCAATCTGCATAGAGCCTTACGGTAGGTAACATGATATAATAGGACCCCTCCCTCATCACACATGGCGCGGGGCAATGCATTCCGGGGGGACCAAGAACTGATTAAGCAAAAGTGCAGATTTGGTTGACTAGTAACTTGACTCGAGAGATGGGCAGCCAATCGAGACATATTCTCAGAACTTGGCTCTTTCAACGTTGAAATGCACGCATGCCGTGTATATAGTACGGTATGGTCAGGGTCAGAAAATGTATGGCATCTCCAGTTACTCCGTGCAAAGTCCCTTCTTCCTTTCTTCTCTCTTCTAGCATCGTCTTTCATCCCTCCATCTTCTCCTACCTCTTTCCGCCATCAGCAGTTGCAATCGACCAAAACATAGCTATCAGCGGTTGTCAGCGGCATGTTTAGACCGGCATGTGGACGACTTTGGACCCAGGAAGTATGGATGATTCTTTATCGGTCGGGAGAAGTCTGATCCAGAACCCTTCTGCCTGCGGAAGCCAAGCCGTGGGTCGCCCAGTCCTCGACTGCGCCACGCGTAGCCTCAGTCACTGACTTCGACCTGACGGACGGTCCGGGGAACCAAGTGAGTTCTGGCTACAACGAACTGCCTCGCTGTGATCGGACGCTGCGATCTACTGCTAACGAACCCCCCGTTCCCTTCCTCTTAGTATTCCCTTCCCCCCCCCTTTCGCACACCCCCTCTCCGTGCCCTTCCCCCTCTCTTCTTCGACGTTCCCTGTCGTTCGTTCCCGCCCCTCCGATTCGGGAGCATGGCTGCACTTGTTGTCACTCCTTTCCCATCCAGATCATGATCCCGCTTAGCCCGGTATCTGTGATACTACCCAACTCGCACGGCTCCCGGGAGCCCCATATCTCCCGCCATGGGGAACGACGATAAGTTCGAATACGAATCCCTTCCAATCCCATCTTATGAAGAGGCTATCGGCGCTCGTCCGGGTTCTTCCCGATCCCATCTCGATTCTTCCGATGAAGTGAGCGACAACGCCGAAAGACAAGGCCTACTTCAGCGCGGCCCGAATACCGGTGGCCGCGCAGAAACTCGACACCATGGGTATCGACCTCCCACCGTCGAGTCCGCCCGGAATAGCCTCGATGACCTCGAGTCGGGGTCCGGCTCGGATAGGGGCTCGCTCGAGGAGTTGCAGCGGGAACTGGATCAGATGGACGTGGAGGATGCCGGCCAGCAATCATCATCTCAACGTTCTCGCCTACGGTCACGATTTTCGAAGCGATTTAACGACCTGACCCGTACACTGTCTTCGTTCAACCTACCCTTACGTCGTTACCTACCTACGTTGCCCAGTTTCCGGTTTACCGTCCACCTAGGCGAAGCTCGATCAGGCTTGAAGCACAACGGCTGCATGATCTTGCTGCGTGTCTTTGGGTTATTGCTGGTCGTCACCATAGTCTATGTCTTTTTCATCTCGGACATCTTCAACATGAATAACCGGTTCGTTATGGGACAGTCTTATAGCGCGGCATCCGTGGAGAATTTCGTGCAGGGACACATCAATGAAACCAGCATCGCGGAGAACCTGAGGAAGTTGACCGCGTATCCCCATATTGCTGGCACGGAAGGCAGTTTCGTTTTGGCGGAATGGGTCGCATCGGAGTTCAAGAAGGCAAATTTCGATGAGGTTGAGATGGAAGAGTTTCAGGTGTACTTGAACTACCCCCGGCAAGATGGTCGAAAGGTGGCGATTGTTGATCCTCCCGACTTGGCTTGGGAGGCTGCCTTGGAGGAGGATAATGAGCAGACTCCGGTATTTCACGGTCATTCGAAGTCTGGCAATGTCACCGGGCACCTCGTGTACGCAAATTACGGCTCTCGAGAAGATTTCCAATATCTCGCAGACCAGGGAATCAACCTGAGCGGCTCCATAGCGCTGGTTCGCTATTATGGAACAGAAACCGATCGGGCCCTGAAGGTCAAAGCCGCAGAACTGGCTGGTGCAGCTGGTTGCATAATATACTCCGATCCGGCCGAGGATGGATTTGTTCGAGGCCCTGCCTTCCCAGAAGGACGCTATATGCCAGCAGATGGGACACAAAGGGGCGCCGTCAGTTTGATGTCGTGGGTCGTTGGAGATGTCCTTTCACCAGGTTTCGCGTCAACACCAGACGAGAAGAAGAGGCTCAAGCCGGAGGAGAGCCTGGGCTTGACAAGTATTCCTAGCATCCCTCTCGCCTGGCGTGATGCTCAAAGGCTTTTGCAGGTGCTCAAGGGTCACGGCTTGAAGGTGCCGGCCAAATGGGTTGGCGGTGTCCCAGACGTGGGTCAATGGTGGACCGGAGACGCATCGTCCCCTACTATCAACCTCGTGAACATCCAAGATGAGGAAGAAAGACAGCCCATTTACAACGTCGTTGGGAGGATTATTGGGCTGGAACAGCCGGAGAAGAAAATCATTGTCGGTAATCACCGCGACTCATGGTGTTTAGGAAGCGCGGATCCGGGCAGTGGCACGGCTGTTTTTCTAGAACTTGCCCGAGTCTTTGGGGAATTGCTTTCATTCGGTTGGCGTCCACTGCGCACCATCGAGTTTATCAGCTGGGATGCAGAGGAGTACAATCTTGTTGGCTCGACGGAGCACGTCGAGAAGGAATTGCAAGCCCTTCGTGAAAATGCGTACGCCTACATTAACGTCGATGTCGGTGTTAGCGGGAAAGAATTTGAGGCCGCGGGAAGCCCCTTATTTGAAGGCGTCATCATGCAGATCCTAGGCCGGATCTCGGACCCTATCAGCAATGAATCGCTGAAAGATCTTTGGGAGAAAAAGAAGAAGCGTCTTGGGCCCTTGGGTTCTGGCAGC